ATACCACATTAAATTAATAATCTAAACAGAGAATAGTAAGCACAATGAAGAGATTAAAATAAAGAGTGATATAATTACTTAAAGAAAACTAATTTAACACAATATTCTTGTATAAATCATTTAAGATATTATATGATAGATTTACTGAATTTATTTCTGCTAATAAGCAGGATTAGTCTTAAAAATTATTATTAATAATTTTGTAAAAGTAGTTTTTTAAAATAGATACAATTAATAACAAAGATCAAAAAAAAAGATACTTAAAGAATTAAAAAATAAAGCCAATCTTAGAAGTATTTTAAAGTATAACAAAGTTAAATCAATTACATTGGATGATTGTTTCAATAATTCTACTCTATTCTTGATCATATTTTCATAACCTTTATTATTATCTGTCAATTGATATGAAAAGTGAAAAGATACATTTATCATCAATAAGCATTATATCCCCTACAAGGATTAAGATTTAAGGAGATAATAATTATATCTTCCCACAACCCTCTAATAATCTTAAATACTGATTAACTCAAGCTCTATGTGAATTCTTACATACATCCAAAAGAGCTACTTTCAACTATAATTTTCAATATCTACATAATATAATAAACAGTTATAAATCACTGAGATTATCTACAAACCTTTTTAAAGAGTCAGAATTATATCATCAATGTTACCTTGAAGATAATTTTAAATACATTAATTAATATCTAGAAAAAAAATAAATCCCTCATCATTTTTTAGCTTTTAAAACTGTAACTATTTTTGATGAACTCATCATCTAGTTCAATTTCACAATTAAATTTATTCATTATGAAATTTATTCAGCTATTGAAAGCAAATCTATGGATCAAATTTAAGAAGAAAAAAAAGGAACAAATGATTGATTGTTATAATTATCCAAGTTTATAGTGGTAAAATAATTTAATTTTTAATTTCAAAACATGAATTAACCTCTTTCAAAATTAGATTAATTTGATTACAAATTTATACTTCAGATATCTTTACAAATATAATTCATTCAATTTATTTTCTGATTTTTAAAAATTTTCAAAAACTTTGTAATCATTAAATATCTAATATAATTCTTAATTGAAAAAGATTAATGAAGAAATCAAATGAGAATTTTTGCAAAAAAAAGAAAGTTAAAATTGTTTGTAATAAATTAGTAATTTATATTTATGTATTCAGGAGGAACATAGTCTAATATCATCTGACAATTAATATAAAAAAATACTCCAAGTAAAATTTAATTGATGCTTGCCCAATTCAGTCGCAAATTAATTTCATCAGTTTTCTGTTTCACTTCTAAAAGGTTTTCTTGTCATATCAGCTGATAAATAAGAAATTTAACACTGTAATTGAATATTTATAAATTAATATTACTTCATTTGTGAAAAATTTGTTGATGCTAGTTAGAAATCTATTAATATATTTAAATGTACCTCTAAATCTACCAAGACTTGTTCAGGAAAAATCACATTTTATTAAAATCAGACCTAATGTTGCAAAATTCTTTTATTTGTGAGGTGGTAAGATTATAGGAACTCATCAGCCTTATCACTTAAATCTCAGGTCTAAGAAAATTAGGAATCCAAAACCTAATGGACTTTGTCTGAGTCTATTGGATAATTAATTAATATATGTAATAAATCCTCGATTACAGGATTGAATGCTAAGATTTAATTCTTTAAAATATGATCAAACCTAAAATATCAATAAATTATATTCTTTTTTTTCAGTGCTTATAACTTTAAAGAATGAATTCATTAGTAAATAAATATTTTATTGTCTTTATTGTTCATTTTATACTAAATCACTCTCACAATAACACTTTTACTACTTACTTCATAGATGTATTCTAAAATTCACAGATTTAATTAAAGATAATTTAAATAATAAAATCAAACATTCATTTTACTGCATTATCATTCTACAAATTGATCACTGCAAAAAATAAATTTATGAAAAATTCCTATCTATAACATATTAATTGATTGTTAATTATATAATGAAGATCGAATAAAATTATCATAGTTACTATTATTAAAATGTTAAAAAGTACTTAGAGAAGTAAGAGCTCAGATTGTCGAGAATCATAAGATTCTTAGAATAGATTGGTATTCAAGTTAGTTATTTATTGTATTCTATCAATATTAAAGTATTTTTAATAATCATCAGAATCAGGAAGTTTCAAATTGTATGATTCTCATCATTAACTCACAATTTACTATAAATATAAATACAATTAACATAATCCATTATGATGAATTTGAAATCTTTTATAATAAAACCAAACAAAGTAAAGCTGAAGATGACATTAAGAAAAATACAACAAAAAGGTACAAAAGTATTAAAACCAATACAATATATAAAAATTTTATTGAATTATATTAGGATAAGAATATTAATATTAGTAATTAAAATACATACTTAGGCCTTTATTTTCATTTTGTAAAAGTTTTTATAAAGAAAAAACAACAATCGGAAATTTGATTATCTCACTCTTCTTTCTAATGATAAAGCTAATTTCATCTTATTAAAGAGTTATTCAATAATATTATGTTCTTGATAAATGTTAAATTAAAATTGATTCAGGATGAAGTAGTCAATTCAAAAAAAGGCAATCGGGATTAATGGAATTTCTTGACCACCTTATGATACTAATTACCCAAAACTGTTTTGAGCTCCTAAAATTTCTTTATATTCATTTGATCCTAAGAATTTTAGATCTTTCATATCTATTGGCTATTTTATTCAATTATATCAACTACTTGTCTAATTTTATAAAAGTTGATTCATGTTCAGGCACTTTAGTATGAGGTAGTCAATTAATAAGTAGAGCCAACATGGTTTATAGTAAGTTTATGGATTCTGTTTTTGATTTTTGAAGTCAAGCTAATATTTGTGTTTTTAATTACTCTTTGGGTAGTTCATCATAGTTTAATCATCTTTATTAGTTGATAATTGTGAAATTAGTTTAATTNTAAAGAATGAATTCATTAGTAAATAAATATTTTATTGTCTTTATTGTTCATTTTATACTAAATCACTCTCACAATAACACTTTTACTACTTACTTCATAGATGTATTCTAAAATTCACAGATTTAATTAAAGATAATTTAAATAATAAAATCAAACATTCATTTTACTGCATTATCATTCTACAAATTGATCACTGCAAAAAATAAATTTATGAAAAATTCCTATCTATAACATATTAATTGATTGTTAATTATATAATGAAGATCGAATAAAATTATCATAGTTACTATTATTAAAATGTTAAAAAGTACTTAGAGAAGTAAGAGCTCAGATTGTCGAGAATCATAAGATTCTTAGAATAGATTGGTATTCAAGTTAGTTATTTATTGTATTCTATCAATATTAAAGTATTTTTAATAATCATCAGAATCAGGAAGTTTCAAATTGTATGATTCTCATCATTAACTCACAATTTACTATAAATATAAATACAATTAACATAATCCATTATGATGAATTTGAAATCTTTTATAATAAAACCAAACAAAGTAAAGCTGAAGATGACATTAAGAAAAATACAACAAAAAGGTACAAAAGTATTAAAACCAATATTAGGATAAGAATATTAATATTAGTAATTAAAATACATACTTAGGCCTTTATTTTCATTTTGTAAAAGTTTTTATAAAGAAAAAACAACAATCGGAAATTTGATTATCTCACTCTTCTTTCTAATGATAAAGCTAATTTCATCTTATTAAAGAGTTATTCAATAATATTATGTTCTTGATAAATGTTAAATTAAAATTGATTCAGGATGAAGTAGTCAATTCAAAAAAAGGCAATCGGGATTAATGGAATTTCTTGACCACCTTATGATACTAATTACCCAAAACTGTTTTGAGCTCCTAAAATTTCTTTATATTCATTTGATCCTAAGAATTTTAGATCTTTCATATCTATTGGCTATTTTATTCAATTATATCAACTACTTGTCTAATTTTATAAAAGTTGATTCATGTTCAGGCACTTTAGTATGAGGTAGTCAATTAATAAGTAGAGCCAACATGGTTTATAGTAAGTTTATGGATTCTGTTTTTGATTTTTGAAGTCAAGCTAATATTTGTGTTTTTAATTACTCTTTGGGTAGTTCATCATAGTTTAATCATCTTTATTAGTTGATAATTGTGAAATTAGTTTAATTGTTGATGATTATTCTCAAAGTAGTCTAGTTGATACTATGATTTAATAGTTATCCCTTTTTATTAATTTAATCTTTCTAATGTACACCACCCACTTCATATACATGGGTCTAAAAATTATGAATAGATTTACCTTGGCATAATGAAAAGTAGGCAGCATTTTTATCTAACAATTTATTAATGGGTTAGAAACCATTCTATGAAAATTTACCGGACATTAGCTTACAATTACATTGAATAAGCAGTCTATGGTCTAAGTCTATTGCTTATATTAAATTTCATGGAAAATAATTATTATATAAATATTTCTTATTTGATTTTATTCTGAATAAAATAATAATTTTCATTTAGCAAATCTTAGTTCATAGATATAATTCGAAAAATTTTAGCTCTGCATTAAAGTTCCAATTACTTTTATGTCTTTTGCAATTTATTTGGTTAATAGTTCATCAATTGTGTCCTGTCAAATTAATAAGGAGGTTTTACCTATACTATTTCATAACTTTAATATAGCTTGGAAATTGATTGACTTAAAGAAACTTTATTACATGATTTCATATCCATCTTATTCAAATCTTAATCTTTTTTTAGGCTAATATGATTGTGTTATTCTGATAAATCAATAAACAACGATTATTGGAATAATGATTTGGTTGATTAAGATAGCAATGATGAATATAGAATAGATTGATTCAGTATTTTATTATAATTTCCTTCTTATTCTCCCTATAATGATATAATGAGGAGGGAATCCTACTGACATATCATAAAGTAATAAACCAAATTGCACCAATCAAACAACTTATCATATCCACTTCCTAATCATTGAGCATCATTACTTGCAGTTAATATTTCGTATCAATTTAAATAAAGCATCAACTTTTATTATTTTGATTTTAATTACACATAGCTTTGAATTAAAGAAAAATCGTGCTATTAAGTAAATGTACATCTTCCCTTGAGGGACTGGTCTCAACGGGGTTTGAAGAAGTAGTCCTATTTACGAATCCTCAAATCTCACTCTCTTCCTTTCTTTCTGATATACTCGATTGTCATGGTCAGTGCTTGCTCCCAGGTGTTATAGAATGCTATCAACAACTCTGGGAGTCAGAGAGGGCAGTCTCTCGGGTGATCCTAATTATGACATCATCAGAAATATAACTTTAATTAAATTTTATAACGTTCTAGTAAGTTTTTTTTTACAACTCTTTACTTCAAGCATATTATCAGAATTATGGTAAATAAATTCAAATGGAAGAGTTAGAGAAATCAAAATATTTGATGTAGCCTATATTTGCTTTGCTCTAATCAGATGGATAAGTAATATCTAATCCTGTAAATTATTGACACAATTGTCTTAAGCAAAAGCAAAGTAATATCTATTAATTCAAATTATACTTGAATTTAGAGCTCATTGAATTTAAAAAAAATTGCTAATATTATTTTAATAAAATCTGACTTAATCAAAATTTTAAGAAATTTCCATGTTTATAAAATATCAAAACTTACTATTTCAAAATTTTTAATAATGAAAAGTCAAAAAAAGTTAGAGTGATGAAGAACCTCTGGAATAAATCAATTTTTTATTAAGAAATGACTAACTAGATGAGCATAAAATTTAGAAATTTAATTTTAATATTCCAGCAACAATTGGAATTGATTGAAAAATGTGTTATTTGAGAAAATAAGATATAGATTTTCATTTGAATTTAATTTAATCTTGTATTTAATAATCTAAATTATCTTATAATCAAGAAAAAGGAAATTCTAATAGATATCGTTTCCATTAACAATATTAGGATATTAAATACTTTTTTTAATTATCCTGACAAAATTTGAGAATTATCTAAATATTCAAAGATTAGCGAAGCATATTTGAAATTCCTATCAAATTGAATCTATATGCATATCATTTTTAAATTATTTACATCAACACTTATTACTATATTGCTTTATCAAACAATTCACACTAATGTTTTTCAATTATATTATAAAGTTTGAAGCCGTAATCCTAAGCTTGTCGATAAAGTATAAAAAATAAAATTAAATATGATTAAAGCAAAATAGAATATAAGTGCGTTTTTATGAAGCAGTATTATTTTGTCAATTTTTAATTATCAATATTTTTAGATTAGAATAAGAAATCCTATATATTTAGGTGCAAAATTATATCATCCCTCATCATCTAAATTAATATTCGAAGATTAAAAAATTTATGGTATGAGATTATCCTCAATTGTACTCCCTTTTACCTTACTTTTCTGGAATTTGTTACCCTTTGTTGAGACATTACCAATTCACAGCACTTGAAACTTTTTTTAAGAGTGAGGTTTCTTGTACTGTCTTACCATTCCCTGGGTACTACTCCTTGAAAATTCTTTATTATACTCTATGATGATTTATATTTCAATATTGTAAAGGGCTTTAATAAATTAATTTTTTCCATAAATTTAATTAACAAGCAAGTGATTGAATGATTAGTTTTTATTTAAACCTTTAAACTTGAAGGCCCCCAAGCAGATCAAGGTTTCCTAATAGAAAAGTTTTCATCCAATGAATTTACCATCTTATCTATTAATATATTTTAATTGAGCTACAATAAATTCTTATTCATTGTTCCCTCGAATATGTAAAAAGTAATAATTAATCTTAATTGTCTATGTAAAAAGGTTTAGAGAAAGAACCTTAGGCTTTTTTTTAAATCACAAATGGAGTAATTAAAGGATTAAAAATGTCTCATTCAAGAAGTAAATTAAAGGATAAATCAAATTTAATTTTAATATTTGTATAAGTTGATAGAGGAAATTTTCTTTTTCCAATCAGTAGAATATTTTTAATTCTAACTTATTCTAATTTATTTATTAAAGTTAAGGTCAGTTCACATTAATATAATAACCTAAATTTATACTCAAAGTTCTTTATAATGATATTTATTGTAAGTAGAAATGCTAAATGGTTTTTGAGGTTGTTTTCTAAAATTTTGGCATAGTACTAATATTTAAAAAGATATTCCTTACAAGAAAAAAGAATCATATGGATTTACTATATAATTTTATTATTTTTATAGGAATCTCAATAAAATCAAACGAATTTTTTTATATTAATTTCCAATCTTCATTAAAACTTTCATATTTACCTTGAGCATCTTATTGACATTACGATAAGGGAAGCCATCATTTTTTTTCTCGATACAAATTATCTCTCTAATTAAATTCTCTTAAATATAACAATTTTAATAGATGCAATACAAATAATCTATATCAAAGTTTTTTAATTTTAATTCCGATTTCTTCCTGTTATAATAATTTAACTATTCTTAGCTTAAAAATCATTTATCAACAATTGGATTAGAATACAAGAAATAAAATTAAGTATTGGCTGACAATTTTGAAAGAAATATTAGAGAATTCTATGCTTAATATTTAAATTGAATAATGTGTTATATATATAATATTAATAAAGTAAAAGTTTTATTTTTTTTCAGCACAACAATTACCTTAAGAGCAATTTACAATTTTTTCAGGTTAGTCTTACATAATTTGATTCTTATTTAATTATACTTTGTGAATTTGAAGTCTTATGGAATTAAGTGTTTAAATTATGCTATTTAATTAAATATTTTATACTTAAGGAATGAATGTGATATGTAGAAAAAAATGGAATTTCATGATTCACTACGTTTAATCTGTCTTAACGAATTAGAAAATGGTAAATTATTATCATGTTATCGTATTTATCATAACAATTGTTTAAAAAATTGAATTACAGGGAATTCAAATCAATTTTATCCTAAATACAAATAGCCAATCAAATTAGATGAGACTACAGTATATTAAATTGATAATTAAACTTAAAAAATAAATATTATTATCTGAAATATTAAAAATATATATAGAATATTTAAGATATTGAAAATGCTTAGTATTCATTACTGTTTGAAGATTTACAATATACTTCTGGATTTACTGAAATCAAAAGACTCTAACATCAATCATATGTATAAATGTTTGAAAGGTTAAGAAAAAGGTTATAAAGCTGGACTTGATATTTAACTCATAGTTAATGTAAATAGGAGAAATATATTGATTCAATAGTTTGATATGGATAAGATATCATCTTTTTCTAGGTACCAATCCAGGATAAAGTAAATGAAGTTAAGCTATGAAAGTAAAATAGAAGACTTTCTGGATGCTGAGAAAATAAGCCCATAATATAAAAGGGTAGGATAATTTTAGTAAGATTATGTTTTCCACATAACTAAATTATCAACTAATCTGTACCAAAAAAATAATAGTTTAAGACAAAATTTGTCTATTGTTAAATGGATTATCAATTTAAATTAACCAGAGATTAAAAACAAGGATATCAATTAAATTTTTGAAACTCTCTTAAAGAAGAAGCAGTTGAGTTAAGCATTGATGATTTAGAAGATTTTAAGACTTAAATTTAAGTTTAAGGAATGGATGTAATCAATCCAAAACACCAGCCTTAGTGGAAATGTGTTCCTGATGTTATGGTGAAAGATGGCTTCATGAATATAATAATCCTGAGAGGAATTTATATGGTACTATAGAAAAATGATACAGACAAGACACTCAAGGCTTTATTAATAAGAAATCCTCATGTTTTGATTAGAACTCAGGATGCAAATAAATTTGAACCTATCCATATTTATTTTTTTCTGGGATAAGTATCTGAATATAATAGCAATATAAAATGATTTAATTGTATGTAAATTAAAAATATATCAGCTCTAGCTTAATAAATACTGTCTATATGAAGAATAAAAGGGACGTAATAGGTTAAAATTTTACTTTTTTTATTTATGATGGTTTATAGATCAATAGAGTATGTAGTTTATATGTATTTTCACAAACAATCCAAAAATTTCATTAGATAAAGGTAGGATCCATTTTTAATCTGGCAGCTAATTTTTTAAAATAAAAGAAATGAGGTTGCATCATGAAAAAATTTTGTTCAATTAATCAGCTATGATGTATATAAAATTTAATTTAATATAGATTATATTGTATATATGAATATGATAATTCCGTTCTTTATTTCCATAATCATGCATTATTGCATATAAACGATTTAAAATTAATTCATAGAACAGATAGTACAATTAAGAAAGTTTAGTTTGAATTTTTATTCATATTAGCTCTTTCTGATTTAAACAAAAGATTTGAATCCTTATAAAAGTAATTATAAGGTTTATAATATTTAATATATTTTTGATCTTTGACAAAGATTATGGATCGTAAAGTCTAAGTATATATGGTTCTGAACTATCAAAAACATACTAATATAATCAATTTTATAAGTTTTGCTGTATTTTTTGTATGATGTATATATACCAATTTTTAACAAATGAATTTATTTCTAATCTTTAGAATTTTTTAAACATTCCAAACAAGCTATCTATTAATCAGTATAGTTCTGAAATAACCAAAATTACAAACAATTTATAATTGTATAGGATTTATATAGAATACTTAATCAAAAAATGATTACTAATTTTAATTAATAACTACACTTGCTAATTAAATGAACAAACACTTGCTTTATAATTATATTCTTTTTGATTATCAAGAATATGATAAATCATCTTTTTAAGGCTTTCCCATTTTTTACATATTATTTTGCTATGCAAATTCTTATTGATAATTTTAAAATTAGACATTTCTATTTTTAATATTGAGATAATTTTAAACAAATTTCTATATCTTTCAATATTGTAATTTAAATTAAATATTGTAAAGTTATTTGATGTAATTTAAAAGAATAATTCCAAAAGAATCCTCTTATTTGTTTGGTACCTTCTTTCCATATCAATTACTCTTTCGTTTCAATCCTATTTGAAAATGTTGTTAAATTATACTGAAACATCTATAAAATCTCATTCATTTGTTGTTTAAATTTTTCAATGAAATTTTTCACTTCTTTTTCTAGCCACTACTTAGCCTTATCCAATTTCTTCACATAAGAATTCTTTTTATAATTCCAATCATCTAAAATTTCCCCATTCTGTATTTACACTAATTTTTCCAAATCAATAAAAGAAGATTCTGCTAAATTGTCATTATTTATGATGAGATTAATGTAGGAATTATTTTCTTACTCAATCATCTCATAGATCAATTTAATTGAAGATGCTAAATCTTCCCATAACTTCTTCATAATAGCTTCAGTTTCAGATAGCAATTATTTGAAGCCTATTTTATTTTTAATTAATTCTGATGTATCCTCCAACTGGTTTTCTTTAAATTTCTTTAGAAGAGTTTCATGAAATTTATTAATCGGAGCTGCTTGTTTAATCTCTACTCTGTTTTCATATAGGCATTCAACACACATCTTTCTTTAACATTAACACTTGTGTTAAGCCACACATACTAAAGATATTGGACTTCAAGGATGAGACGTGCAAAACATAATCTTAAAAATAATATTTCTAATTTCTATTACTTTTTCAAATATAAACCAAAAAAGTATCTTGTGTATTTTTGTGAAGATAAAGACTAGACTTAGTAAAGATTCGAAATTCATTGTATTTGATGTAAATCTGGTTGATTCCTTTATTTGTTAAGCTTAATCTTTTATAATATAGAATAGGATTATTAATTTGTAAAATTAATACGAATTACTTAATTTCATGTTATTTCAAAATTCTATATTATTTCTACAAAAGTGCTTTTTTTTATAACCAAATACAGATTTTATTTTTTGTTCACACTTATTATTTTAGTCTGCTTTTCTTCAAATTTGATACACTATTCTATCAAGCTTGATAAAAACTAATCATAATAAAATTCAAAAAATTTTAGAGTAATCATTTATGATTAGAACCATCAGCTCTTTTAACAATTTTTTTAAATCTATTATTAAGTCTTAAGATAAGGGTAAGGATTAGTTGTTTAATAAAGACTCAATTAATTCAAATCGATATATTTAATTGATTATTTAACGAAGCTGATATGGATTATTTGGTTTCTTCTTTTTCTTTCAAATTATTAATTTTTAATCACTTTTCTGCAATTTTGATCATATCCAAAAATCTAATTGTTGAAGATTATAAATAGATTTAGTTTTTACTTTTCAAAATAATATAAATATTAAGGATTGATATATATGTACTTAAGATTTATCACCTTTTAGCTTCGATGTAACCAAATTGTATTCAATTTTAAATTTACAATCTTTTGTATCAGCTGCCTAGATTACAAGATTAAATGAGTAATTAGAAAATTGTCTTTAATGAGAAATTGAAAAAGGATTAGAGTTATTACTTTAACCTATTGCCTTCATCATATTGATCCATCTGATATATTTTTAATTAATCAAATAAGTCGAAAATGATGACAAACAGAATATAAAATATATCAGAGAATTTACATATTTTTTTTTATATACCCTGACGGAGTAATGTAACAGAGAGGATATTTTTATCTTTTTACCTAAAAAATTGTATTTAAATAACATTATCATTTATTAAAACTCTTTTGGATGTTATTGTTTAATTATATTATTTTTACACTTAACTTCATGTCAATTATTTTGAAAAGAGATGTAATTCTTCTTTTCAGCTGCACATTATCAATACTTCTATTTCTAAAATATCAGCCTTAGCAATAGTAGGATTATTAAAACAATAACATACATATTTAAGTTAAACTTTAGTTTCTCGAATTTAGATTATTTAAAAATAATTCAAATAATACTTTATTCAATACCTTTATATCCTAAAATAAATAAAGCCAACTAATTCATTTTTTAAATCAAAAATTTTAAAGCACCCAGCTTTAAACTAATGACTTGAAAGTCTCATAAATTTTCATTACTTTAGAGATAAAATATCATTAATGTAATGTTTTCTTCTCAAAGTTTTGAATAAGATTTTGAAAGGGATAATAATAATTTATAAATATTAATAGTCTTTAAAAAGAATTTTTATAACCATCAAGCATGTTATAAATCCTCTTGATGTTTTCAGAGGGCAATCATCATCAAATGTGATTAAGATTTAAATAAATAATTCTAATAAAAAAAATCAATAAGTAGGAACATGATATGAGTTTGAGTTATTCTGATATCAATAATTTTACATTTTTTTTTAAAGTACATAGAAAACTCAAAGGCAACACCATATACAATATCCGGTCATTATGTATTTAAACAATATTTTATANAACTATTAAATCATATTAAACTCATAAAACTTAAGTTTTACCAAGATTAACTTGAAGGATATAGAAAATTACTTCTTTTAAGCATATACAATTAATTTTTAAATAACTTCTTTAAAATAGATATCAAGTAAGAAAGGAGCTAAATGTATTCCAGATTTAGAAATACCTTATACTTTAAAACAGGATCAAAAATAGATAATAAAGTCATAAATCCATTCCTAAAAACTAAGTTCATTAGAACTAAAGTACTTACTGTATCTATATTAAGATCTGAGTATTTAAAACAATCTGAGTCTATCTATATTGTTATAAGTAATAGACATATCATAGAAAATCACAGATTTTGGTAACTAGTTCTAATTATTAAATTTCTTTTTTAAGAATTCAATAATTTAACAAAAATATAATAACAGTCCAGGCCATTTTATTACAAATTCAATTTATGAGGGATTGCAAATTTCCCTAAACTTAGGTATAAACAATGTTTCTAGTTGCTTTATAAAATAACTCTGCTGATTTGATCAAAAGTTGGAAGATTAGGATGTGCTTTATTTAGAGGAACTAATCTAATTGAGAATATATAATCCATTTTTTTATTAACTTATATCATCATATAGTTTTTCATTGCCCTTAGCAATGAATTTAGTTAGGTATTAAAGTTAAGATAAATCAAATGAAACAGCTTTTTTATTAGATCAGAACATTTGATCTTGTAATCAAGACTTTAACATTTTTGAATTTAAACTAGTTTTTCAATACATAAGTGAAGAATTTATTCATCGTCTTATACCATTTCAAAATCTCTTTTAAAACAAATCATAATTGATACTTCGTTTTGAAAAAGATTTTAATTTTCGAGTTTTTAAATTTATGGAATTATTTTGATTTTTTAGTAAGAGTTAAGGCTTTATAATTTCAAGTGTTTAGGAAAAGTTATATTAAATGCATAGCCATATTTTATATATTGTACATTAAACGATTTAAGGTAATTACAAAATTTTCAGGATTAAAATATACTCTATATCTCTTGATATTCATTTAAGTACATATGTATCTATAAGTATTTAATAATTGGAATCATAGATAGATTTTCCTCCCTTCAAGAAATCTCATTTAGAAGGGTCTTTGATCAGATAATTAATGTTAAAAGGGGCCTTATAGTAGAATTAAGATCTACTCTTACAATGATAATAATTTAAATTCTTTATTAGTGGTAGAGGTAATGTGTATATTCAATAAAATTAAGATATTTTTCCAAATTAAAAGAAAAATAATCCATTGAGGAGCAAAAAATGAAAGCCTAAAATACAATATCTTACCCATTTTGCATATTTTCGGTCTGCTCCCTTTATTAAAAAGTAAAGCCTTACCAATCTATCAACATAATTTCTCAACATAAAAGACATAAAAGTTGGGAATTCCATGTCTTGAAGCTAATCCAGATAGTTCAAAACTTATATTATTCTTGCCTTGTCTATAGAATGTGTAAAATTTAATATTCTTCAACTTTAAGTGAAAAAGAAAAATAAGGATGTATATATAAGTTTTTGTGTATTAAGATTCGAACTGATTTAGATTTTTAGTATTATGGAACTCTATCTAAATTTCAACAAAGAAATGATTTGTGGTTTTAGATTCCTATATAAAGTTATTTTTGGTACTTTTTAATTTTTTTCCCATTTACATTAATGAGAAATTTTACAAAAAATAGCCAAGTCACGAATGTACCCTGTATCTATTGTTATTTGATTATAGTTTATAAAGATTATTGAATTCATTATTTAGTTAAACGGCAACAGCTTATTCAACTCCATATATTTAGTTAATGCGTTTTGAAACTAACCAGAAACTAAAAAAAATTGTCATTATAGATCTGTAGCTGTTCTTGTCTTTAAAATATTTTTTTGTTCTTGCAAAATTCTTAGTCTTTTAGCTTATACTAATGTTCTCCTATTAAAATGATTTTATTAACATCTAACTCATTTTTATAAATTGTATTCTTTTGCATTTAAACTTAATTAATTTTTCTCAAGAAAAATATACATAATTTTTCATTTAAATGTATTTTTCAACTAATGATATTTTCATTAATATTTACAAAAAACCAACTAAAATGTTTAATCCTCAAATAGATAATAACAAAAATTGGAAAGAATACAATAATTTAAAACAATAAACATATCCTATATTAATTTGTTATGATAGTAAGACAAAATTACCTATTGAGTTGAAATAAGTTTAATATACTGTTCAAGTTTAACCTGGTTTAGCAGTAGTGCAAATATGCCAAATCTATTCAACTGAATAAAATAAAGATCAATGTGAATTAGAATACTTATTTACAATAGATTAAAATTCAGCTGTCTCGAAAATGATTGTTGAACTTGGAGATTAGAAAGTTTATGGGGTAATAAAAGAATTAGAAGAGGCAAAAAAAGTATATTAAAAAGGAATCGAAGACGGAAAGACAATGGTGATTAGTTATGAAGATTAAGAAATATCAAATATAAAAAAAGTAAAAATTGGTTGCTTAAGTCCTGGTAAATCATTAAAAATTTAATTTGAATACATCCAACCATTAAAAGTCTTTCTGAATTAATTTTGGAAATTAGAATTGTCTCCGATTATAGATACAAGTTATCTAACAGTTAATGAATTAAAGAACACTCATAAAGATTATGCTTAATAATATTCTTTTGTGAAACAATGTGTTAACATTTAGGCAATCTAATTAAATTATAAGTAAAATATTACTGTATTAATTAATTTGGGAAAACCTATTACATACGCTAAGTCTCCAACACACTCGATACTATTAAATTCTGATATTAATATGAGGGAGAAATAAATTGATCTTTAAAATCAACAGAACTAATTAAGTGTTACTTTAGATTCAAATGATCCCCAAAATATGACACCAAATAGAAAGTTTGAACTATTATTTTCATGCGACGATATTAATAAACCTTATGCAACACTTAGCCATACAAATAATGATGCTTTGTAGCATATCAGATATTGTGCTACTTTAACACTCATTCCAAAATTTAATGAATTTCCAATAGATGATGCTTATCAATCATATCTAAATGGTTTAAATATGCCTTTATAGGCTAAAATCTAAAAGAGTTGTTATCTTTTTTTTATTGATCGCAGTGGTTCAATGGAAGGAATAAGGATTCAAAAAGCCAAACAATCGTTAATGCTGTTTCTGAGAAGCCTTCCAGAAGATTGTTTTTTTAACATAATTTCATTTGGTAGCAGTGTAAAAAAAATGTTCAATATTTTATAAAAATATAACTAATAAACATTAAACTAAGCAATTAAGTAAGTTCAAGAAATGAGTGCAGATTTTGGTGGAACTAATATATTATAAGCACTTGTCTAAGGTATTTATGATGAAAATTATTCTAAAAACAAATATAATCCAGAAACACTGAATGTATTTTTACTAACAGATGGAGAGGATTAGCCTGAAAAGATCATTGAGTTGGTATCTAAAAATCAAAGACCTGAAACTAGAATTTATACATTAGGTATTGGGAATTGTTGTAGTGAGTATTTAGTCTAAATATTAGCTGAAGTTGGAAATGGAAAATGTTAATTAGTAGGAGATAGTGAAGATATTAATTCTAAAGTAATAGATTTATTAGAAGATTCCCTAACTTATTATTTAAAGGGATTTTCATTAATACATAATATTGGCAAGGTTTCATAAATTATTCCTGATCCAAAATCAATAACTTAATTGAAGAAAAATCAAGAATTAACTTTACAAATTTTATTTTCAAAATAACACAAAGAGGAAAATCTAGAATTCAAGATTGATTGTTTTGACCCATAAATGAATAAATAAATTTCATATGAAGTTAAAATAAATCTTAAAAGTTCTAAAGAGAATGAATATTTCCATAAAATAGCAGCTCATAAACTGATAAAGTATTATGAAAAATCAATTTTCTAAAAAGCCAAACAAACGGATACAGTTATGATCAATCAAAAAACCCTAAAGGATTAGGATATAATAGAATTGTCATTATACAATTAAATTCTGTGTTCTAAAACAGCATTTATCTGTGAAGTCTGTTAAAATGAAAAAGATTGTTTAAAGCTTATCAAATAAAAGCTAATAATGAGCAAAAGACAAGAGGAAATTGTTAACATTCCTGTTAGTAGCTCATTATATAGCAGGTTCTATTAATTTATAACGTCAAGTATAAATAGATCTTAACCATAATAGCCGGAAATGTGTATGGCACCAATTTTTAAGGATTTTAATGATAATTTTGGAATCGTAGAGTAAAAATGTTAAATAGATTAATAAGAATTCAGCAAATAGGCAAATAGATTTCTTCCTAAATAAAGTATTTAATGTGTTTTAAAGCCAAAAATATTAAATGAAGATTACTAGATATTATCTTATTTTGAATTAGTTGACTGCATGTAAGCAAATGGTTGTTTCCTTTTAGAAATTGATATGGAATAAAAGCTAAAATTATACAAAATAGACAATAAATATCATTTATAAGATCCATGTTGGCAAACAGTGATTTCATTGTTTTATTTGGAATTATTTTTTCAGGATTCCAAGAGCTCTTGGTAATTAATTTATAATAAAGCCATAAATTACCTATAAAAAAAAGGAGTGAATTATTATTAGATAAAAAAGGAATGCATTTCAGATTATGGCAAACTTTTTTAGAATGAAGAAATTTGAAATTGACAAATAAAAATTAAATCCTAAATTATATAATTTATTATTATTAATCTTTAAATTTATAAATTTATCCAACTCAATCAATTGATATAATTTTGATTTAATGATAATTCTTTCTAGTGAATATTTATATTATAAAAATAGTTTTTATTGAATTAAATTGTAAATTTGATTTAAAAGAAAATAAAAATACTAATTTTATGATTAATCTTGGGAAATTCTATTTTGCTAACATGTTGATAATAAATTTTAAATGTTTGATATCAATCTTTATATTTAGAGGTAGTATATTCTATTTTTAAGTTCTAAATTTTAGATTGCAAATTTTATAGATGTTAATTGAATGAATTCACCAATATTTGTGAGGTTATTTGTTGTTTTTAATGATTCTGTAGTGATTAATATATTAATTTAATTATCAAAATAGGGATAGAGACTGTAAGTATGACTTTCAAAATACCCTTAATTTAGACATAATTATTCAGTTTCTTCCTTTTAATATCTATATTTTCATATTATTGATTTAAAAATTTAACAATGGATTTCCATCAAGAATTTATTCCTAAAATCTCTGTAAGAAATTAGAGAATGGGATTTGAAATTGAAATTTGTCCAATACTGAATCAATAACTTTAACTGACAGTGATTTCGTAATCTTAATTAGCAATGATAGATAACATTTTCATTTTTTCCCATTTAGTTCATGTCTCTTTTTTTTAAGCATATAGTATTAGAGATTAATAGTAAAAATGAGGTCTGAAATATCGATACCATTGTTATCTCATATGTCTTAAAGGTTTATATCAGGAGTTTATTTAGATAGCTAGATGATTTACAAGCGGTTATTTACTAAAATTACTTCTTGCATTTATTTATATTTCCAGATATTTATATTTTTTCTCTTTCTTATTTATCCATTAGGGTTTGATAATTAAGATTTATTTAAATTCACCTTGAAAGTATATGTTCCAGTTCTTTGATTAAAAAAGTTGTAGCATCATCAAGTATAACATTATTATATACTAAGGCTAAATAATCAACATCAGCCATTAAGGACACCTTAGCATATTGAAACTTTTTCTTTTTTTCTGTTCCTTACTTCATTTTTTCAAATCCTATAGGCTTGAATTAGTTTATTCAATTAAGAAAGGTGCTAATAATGAACCGCAATGCTCTCTATTTTTAAAATAAATTTTTTCTTTATTAATTGGATAATAAATGTACAGAGAATTAAATATCAGTTCCGATATCTCAATCTCTCTATCAACAAAATATTATATTTAGTTTCTCCCTTTTTAATTATCTCAAACAATCAATCCCTATCCATAAAATTGTGCGCATTTGATATATCAAAAAATATTATACATTTTTATTATTTGTATGAAATTCTATTAAATTTTCAATTACTTATCCAAAATGATTTTGACATGCCATTTTATTAATAAATCGAAATATTTTCCTAAATTTAGGAACATAGAATAATACTATTAAGTTCATAAATTGTCTTTAAAGTTTTGTAGGTCTAAATTAGTCAATTAGTAGCAAATAAGAATGCTTTATTTAGTGTTATTAATCTCATAAAGAACAATTATTCCATTTCATAATTTAATATCTAGTCCCAGTTTTTTGAATTTCTTTAATAAATTTTAGGTATCATAATTCAATGAGATTACATAATACAGCTTTATAATTATTACTTAGTTATTCAGTTTCATCTTCAGTTTATAAAATTATACAGATTTCAGGGAGCATTAAATCATCTTCCCTAGCATCTCTTTCTTTTATTTTAATAATTAATCAATACCACATATGTCACTACTTTATAATCTTTCACTAATTTATCTCCATCTTTCAAAAAATTCATAATGGATTACTCAGATTTTATGAATTTAGGAGAGAATAGCAGTGATTTTACCTTTTCTAATTATTCAGCAAAATTGTTATTTTATATGTAATCATATTGTATGTATTTGATTTAAAATTCTCTAGGTTTATTGCTAACTTCTAAGTATACATAAATATCTTCAACTTTATTTTAATTCATGTATTTATCAATTCCTGCTAAAGAAAAATTAGTATGGCAAGGTTTGATCAGATGTAACATTTCTAATATCTCTTTTTATTAATTAGGATCATGTTTGCAAAACTTATATTTTATCTGAAATTGCATCAAAATGTAAAAAATAGGTTAATGATCATGGTTATTAAGGATATACAAATAAGGAATTTAAATTGAAACTAAAATATTATCTATCTTTACTAAAATTACCTTTTGCTAAACCGATTAGCAAGATGTTGATAATAGAAATTCAAAAATTAAATTATACTTTGAAGACCTTGAGCTTATTATTTGAATTCATAATTTTTTGTTTTCATTTTAAAAATGAAATTCATCAATCTCCAAAAAAAATAAAAAAAAATTTCAATTTATAAATTAGATATGAATCGAATCTAATTATCATTCAATTAAAAGAACTTTTGATGAAGCTAATCTAAAGCAGGGATACAATTCATAATTAGTTTCAATTGTTAAAGTCTATAAATTAATATATTACTAAATTACATATGATTAATTCGATTTTTTATTTTCCCATTTTATTAACTACTACTTCAAATCAACAGTTATTTCAATGATGTCATTTACTTGCAATTTGAATCCTAAAGGTTATTCATTTTTTTCTTTATCATGATTAGAATATACATATCCATCCTTACACATTAAATAATATCTATTATAAATGGATGCAATACCCATGACCTAAATCTGAAACATACCCTCGATAATCCTTTGAGATAATATCTCTAAAGCATATACCAGAATAAAATTGGTGCATTTGTAAGACATTAAATTTGAATGTTATCACATTCTGTTTTGGAATAGGTTGATCACAAATGCAAACTTACCACACATTATTTTAGGCAAAAGCTATTTTTCCATTCTCTAAAATTTATATGTCTTTTTATTTAAATTTTGTTGAAAAAGCTAATTCTTTAGAATAATTTCTCAAGCTTGATTCTAATTCTTTATTGAAGATTATAAGATTGGTTTTCAGTTTATTTTCTATCAATTTTAAATTTTCATTAAGGTATTAAATTTATTTTGATTATTATAAAAATTAATTTTACAATACTTCTTCATTCTCCACTAAAATCTTAGACTTTTATTGTGTAAGTTAATTTTCATTTTATTATTATTTATAAAGCTCTTTAATATTATTTGACTATATAAGAATTTGATGATTAAGGTCTTAGATTTACTAATTCTCTTTCTAAATTGCTCTATTGTCTTAATTAAGAGCTTCCACATTCTTTTTTATTTCATTTTCAATAGAAAATTTCACTAATGGGGTTAGAGAATGAATCAGTTCATTTCCGAATTATTAATTCGCAAAATTTGGTATTGCTAATTAGGGAAATAAAATAAATTATTAATGAAGCATTGCTAATTATGATTATTCTAAATTTTAATTAAAGGAATTGAAAGAGTCATTGATTATTTAATCAAGAAAATTATCAATTCTAATGAAGGAGGACTAAAATTTTTAATTAATGAAATATACTTCAATGCATTATTGCATTTCTAAACCATAAACTTCTATTTTTTCTTCAAGAAACTTGCTTGTGAGGTTTTCATTATTTTATAAGATTTTTATATTGCTACAAATCATTTTATTTATTAATAATGATAGTATTAAAAGAATTTGCTTTATTAGCATGAATCGGAAAAATAAAAAAAAATAACAGACTAATCAAATATATTGAAAATATCCAACAAAAATAAAACTATGAAATCATTAATTTTTTAGATGTTATAAGGATCAATTTATTCGCTTTATGGTCTCTAAAGGATTCTTCACCTACCATTAAGTTTGATTTATTCCATAAAGAGTGATTACTTTAAATTTTGCAAATAAAAATTTGTTGTAACTCATAATTTATCTAAATTTAATTGGTTATTTTTTCTTTATTTAATTTATTCAAATAAGAAGTTCAGAACTAAAAAAAAGAGAGAATTTAATAAATTATTTTAGTTTAAAATTTTGGTTAAGTTAAATAATTGGCTANTTGATCACAAATGCAAACTTACCACACATTATTTTAGGCAAAAGCTATTTTTCCATTCTCTAAAATTTATATGTCTTTTTATTTAAATTTTGTTGAAAAAGCTAATTCTTTAGAATAATTTCTCAAGCTTGATTCTAATTCTTTATTGAAGATTATAAGATTGGTTTTCAGTTTATTTTCTATCAATTTTAAATTTTCATTAAGGTATTAAATTTATTTTGATTATTATAAAAATTAATTTTACAATACTTCTTCATTCTCCACTAAAATCTTAGACTTTTATTGTGTAAGTTAATTTTCATTTTATTATTATTTATAAAGCTCTTTAATATTATTTGACTATATAAGAATTTGATGATTAAGGTCTTAGATTTACTAATTCTCTTTCTAAATTGCTCTATTGTCTTAATTAAGAGCTTCCACATTCTTTTTTATTTCATTTTCAATAGAAAATTTCACTAATGGGGTTAGAGAATGAATCAGTTCATTTCCGAATTATTAATTCGCAAAATTTGGTATTGCTAATTAGGGAAATAAAATAAATTATTAATGAAGCATTGCTAATTATGATTATTCTAAATTTTAATTAAAGGAATTGAAAGAGTCATTGATTATTTAATCAAGAAAATTATCAATTCTAATGAAGGAGGACTAAAATTTTTAATTAATGAAATATACTTCAATGCATTATTGCATTTCTAAACCATAAACTTCTATTTTTTCTTCAAGAAACTTGCTTGTGAGGTTTTCATTATTTTATAAGATTTTTATATTGCTACAAATCATTTTATTTATTAATAATGATAGTATTAAAAGAATTTGCTTTATTAGCATGAATCGGAAAAATAAAAAAAAATAACAGACTAATCAAATATATTGAAAATATCCAACAAAAATAAAACTATGAAATCATTAATTTTTTAGATGTTATAAGGATCAATTTATTCGCTTTATGGTCTCTAAAGGATTCTTCACCTACCATTAAGTTTGATTTATTCCATAAAGAGTGATTACTTTAAATTTTGCAAATAAAAATTTGTTGTAACTCATAATTTATCTAAATTTAATTGGTTATTTTTTCTTTATTTAATTTATTCAAATAAGAAGTTCAGAACTAAAAAAAAGAGAGAATTTAATAAATTATTTTAGTTTAAAATTTTGGTTAAGTTAAATAATTGGCTATCAGATCTTTTTAAAATCTAACCCTCAAAGATTTTATGAGTTAGTTAAAATTTTAGCAACTTAATTATTGAATTATACAAAAAACTCAATTAACTTATTTTTTAAGCATTATAAAAATTTACTTCTATTAGAATTGGTGTGTCAAAGAATAAATTAAGACAATATAAAAAAAGTTCATATTTTACTTTTTGAATATGAATAGATGATATTAATATAGGCTAAGAGAAAGAAAGGAAAAAATACAACTAGAATACTACAAGATTGCTGTGGGAAAATTATAAAAGCATAATATTCAAAAAAAATTAGAAAATGTTCTATATTTAATTTGTCTTATTCAACCTCAAAAAAAATAATGGATTTTATAAATGATATACATAACAGATTATTTAATTTGATAAAATTATTTATTCATTTTTAAAGAAATATTAAGAAATATTTAAATAATTATTAATCAAATTAAATCATTATAAACTCAATCACCATCCATTCGCAAAAAATTAAGAAAACATGCAAAAAAATTCATTTATCAAATAATCCTGATATTAAATTAATATTGAATGGCGTGAACTTTATAGAAAAAATTAAAATTAATAATTTTTATCAATTTTTATTATATTGTAAAAAAAAAAATGAAAAATAAATATTATTTTGCAAGTTGTAAAATATTTTATTCATTATATTTTTCTACTACTTAGAAATACTTGATGAATACGAAAATACCATTATTTTTAAATAAAACACCTAATTAAGAAATTATTAAATTAGTTATAATTATGTTAATATATCTATAATATGAAATAATTTCGTTTTTTTAAAATGATCCTATATTATGAAATATACATTTATATCAAAAATATATTAATGGATTTCACTTTTTCATTTATATTTATCATCATAAATATCTTGTTCATTCATTAAATTTGATCATATTTGAAAATTTCAATTTGAGGATCTATAAAATATCAGACAAAGATCAAAACTAAATATTTGTGATTGGCAAGGGGAAATAAATCGACTAAATAACAAATTTATAAATAAATATATAATTCACTTTTTTCCTTTTTGTGTCTTCTATGGAAAAACTATTCTTAATAGAGGATGATCTTGACTACAAGCAGAATGATACTTCATTTGATTATCTCTCATTAATTATAATCCACAAGTGTTGCAATATTGTACAGAATCACAGATTAAACATTTGTATAAAAATCCAAATCCTCTTTTAGAATTACAAGATGAACACACATTTGAATACTCTCTAATTGTTCCCACTTTATGGCCAAATGGATAAGTTAAGTTTTCTAACAAAATAGAAGTTTGCTTTATCTGTGATAATTTGCAATTGCTGCCTGTGTAGTAGATTATGTTAGATCTATAATTAATTTTTGCTATATCAATTTCTTCGCCCTATTATTCTAATTGCTCATTTGCACAAGACATGCATAAGCCTTCCCCCCAGTAATGATTAATAAATTACTTATCTTCTTTATTCAGCTATTTTTCACATAAACCACATTAATCATACAACTTTATATATTTTAAAATATCTAATTTCTATTTAATTGAATTTTCTAAAATAGACTAATCAATTCCTTTTAATTGTATTGTAAGTGGTTCCATAATTCCATATTATTCTAAATTTTAAGAATATACCATTTATTTTTGAGTTTAACTCCATGAAAACGCTTTTTATTCTAAACTACTGACTATTTCATAACCAAAAATTAATCCATCATCTGAAAGTAATGGTATAATATCTTTATTTATTCTCCATTTAGTTGTAGCGTAACCTAGATGTATAAAGTTAAATTTTTTATCTTAAAATAAGTTAAGTCCATCAAAGCAATCATGTAAATAGTATTAAATTTTACACATTTTATTTAAATGTGAAAATTCGGTATTTAATTTCTGTTCAAAAAATTTGATAGAATCAGGATGATGATCAACTAAATGTAATTAAATTTAAAACACCTTTTTCCTTTTTAGTGCTAGTGCCAATAAAAATAAAGAAACATATCCAGAACCAAAACCCAGATCCAAAATATTTAAATTTTCTAAATTTTAAAAGTGAAGATAGGCCAACTTAAAACCTTCTATTTCTTATTTCAAAGAAGATATTCTCATATTCCCTACCCAAGGTTAACTTGCTTCCCAATCTAAATCGATTGTAAAAAATTATCTAGGAACATCATTTAATAAAACATCAGTTACATCAAGTGGTATTTCATTGTTTATCTTCCAACTTTTAACCTTATTTCCAAATATATCAAGTGAGGCTTTTACCGAGATTAATTTCTGAAGCTCTTCTTAATTTACCTTCTAATTTTTTGAAACATTTATTCTTTAAATTTTATTTCCTATTTAAGTTATTCCCTTTCTAGCAGGAAGGATCTTAGAGCTCTTTTATTTTTGATATAATTCAAAATTTTACATAGTATGAGGTCTGTTAAGAAGTGCTTTTTCTGCATCTACTAATGAAGTAATTAAATTTTCACTCCTTTAATTATGTTCATAAATTAAAGTTTAAAACTTTTTTTTTAGATTTCTAATAAATTTTTTTAATTCTTTAAATATTTTAATTTATTTATTAGGAAATTTAGCTTTTGAAACTTCTGTTAATACAATTTCTTCATTAATTTTAGCAGCTCTAGTAATTGACAACATTTTAATCATAGAAAAAATAAAATGAATGATCACTGTTGTAAAAGAAACAACAAAAGTTTAAATTTTTATTTGAGTTGGGTTCATACCTAAGTATACTGCTTATAAAATAAGTAATGGAGTGTCTTGAATAAAAGTTTTAATAATCGAAACTACAACTTTTTGTGGTACATCTGATTTTAAGAAAAATATATAAATTGTATTTTATTCAGACCATTTTTCAAGTAAATTTGTAACAATATTCATTTAATAAAGAGTTGAAAACTACGTAAATATATCTATATATGAAGGTTTTTTCTGATTTATGCATGGAACCAATAAATATCTCACAATCAAAGCTAAATCTAATAGTAAATTAAAACAAATTATTCCAACTCCAATCCAAGCTATGGCAACAGATATTTAACAAGAATTTACTAATACAATAAAACAAATGCATGTATACAATTCAAATTTAGTTAACTGACTAATTAGTAAATCCTTAATTATATAAAAATATCTTGCCAATATGCTACCATCAGTATATTCATTAGTAGTAACTTTTAGATTACTGATTGTCAAACCAAGATACCCTTCTACAAGAAAGGAATAACAAGCAAAAGCAATATAAATCAAATGACCTAACCATTGTTAACCTTAGCAAGTATTAACAAATATTATTGGCAAAAAGACAACAACAAAATAATAGCTGACAAAATAGATTGCAAAAAGTATAAATCCTATATATCTGATATTTCTTAATTCTTATTCTAAATTTATAATTTTAGGATTGTACTCAAAGTATGATTATTCTACACCAAATAATTTCACAATAAACTTTCCAACAGATGTAGTTAATACAGTACAAAATCCACAAGCTAAATATTTCCAAAGAAAATAATTTGTACAAAATATTCTTCTAATACAATAAAAACCTTCCTGTCTGATGTTTTAATAAATTCCTACAAAACATGAAAATACCACCAAAATAGCTCCTCCTATGCAACCAAAAATATAATCATTTAACTTTTTCAGCCCTCTAGTATAATATATTGAAATAGATGTCTCCCACACATCATCCTCTTTATTATCAACAACATATATATATAAATTTGTTATTTTTCTTTAAACCAAAAAATCTGTTGCTGTTTTCATTGCTTATTCACAAACTTCTTTCTAAAATTAAATACATAATAATTGTAAGGACATATAATTACCAGAACTAGATATTGAAGCGGATCTATCCAAAGTCTAAGAAGGTTGCTAATCAGGTAGATTTTCAATTAACTTTTCATTTTCCCCTAAATTACTTTACTTATCCTAAGATTTTACTTAATCCTCAAGTTCTTGTTATTATTCATTTTCTTATAGAAGTTTAATATTATTTAAGAAATTTAGAAAATCATTTCTTTATGAAGAAAATTCAATTTTATTTGACAAAATTGTTATTCTCTATAAAGCCTATAAGGTCTTATATTTAAAAGATAAATTACCAGAAACATCTAATATTTTTAACTTTTTAAACTATTGAATATATTAAATATTCTTACATGTTTTATTTAATTCAAGATAGCTTCTCCATCTATATCTGATAAATTATTTGACCTTAAAGAAATTGCCTCAACTTCATCTAAAAGCCTCATAATTGCGTCAGAGTTATTGAATTTAACTGTTGAACTATCTCCTAAATTATTATGGGCCAAACTTAAAAAATCCAATAAAGTTACATTTTTTAGTTGATCTAAAATTTATAATACATCTTCTAAGTACAATGAGTTATAGGATAGATCTAGGTATTTTAAATTTTTCATTCTTTTTAGATTCGAGAATAAATTTTATTTGAATGGGTATTTCTCATCAAATATGAAATTGCATTTTTATAAAACCATCAATTTAATTCTTTCAAATACAATAGTATCACTTATTCTTTTAAAGGTGAATGAAAAATATTCTGAAAATAATTTCAAAGGTTCTTGAAATTATATTGGATTAACTAAAATTCCACTTTGAATAAGATTTTCAGGAACATCAATTTATGGATGTTTTTATTGTATATCTAAAGGAGGTAATTTATTAGGTCGTTATATTTAAGAAGCAATTGTTTGTTACATTTCTAATTCATATCTTTTGTATAAATTGAATGCTCTTTCTTTATATTCTGTATAATCTATAATTCGTTTTATTAGAGGGTCGAATTTTTCAAATCCAAAAATACTTTAATTTAATTCTCTCATTTTAACACTATCTACTCCCATGCTTTCTATATAAAGTAACTTTTAATAATTATGTAATTCACTCTAGAATTATAACTCTTGTCTTATTCTTTACTCAACCCAAAATATGAAAGGAATATATTCGAATAATTATTCTTTTATTTTTCCGAAATAATATTTTTTAATTTGATGATCCTATCCAATAGATATAAGATTTGGAAACTCAGATACTTCTGTTAAAGGAAAGAAGGTTATCACTCCTTATTCATGCATTACATGAGAGTATGTTTATAAAATTTGTTTGCTTTTTATGTCCAAAATTTGAAAGGTTCCATCCCAAGAACTAATGCATAAGTGAGAATTTGAATTAAAGAATAACAATTAACTTATTTTTAATTTTGTAATTCCATTTTATGAAAATATTTATTTTCCCTATTTTAAATAAACTATCTATAAGTTCCCTTATTCCTATTATCCACTTTGGTAGCCGATTGCTAGCAGAGTCTAATCATTTGATACTTCAAGTTTACTAATCACAGAACTAAAACTATTTATCTAGTAAACAAATGTTTCATTTTTAGGTTTTGAATAAAGTTGTGCTAAATTAATTAAAAGTTTAAAATACATGATCTAATTTATACTATTTTGTTGTTTCTCATTCCTATGTATAAATAATAATGATTATTATAATATGACAATTTTGAAGTTGTTGCTCCTCCTAAATTTTGACAAATCTGATGTTAAGATTAATCAATGTTTTCATTCTGTATAAACTCGCTTATCATTGTAACTCTAAGTTTGTCACTGCTTATTGTTAATAAATGATCAATGCTTGAATGAAATATTATTTATAATGCTTTTTCATGATATTATGGTACAAATCTCATAAGATCTAAATCAAATTTCTAATTTTAAATGTCAATTGAAATTTCATAAATTAGCAAATCCCCCATAGTATTTCCTAAATTATATTAATTTTTACCTGCAATGATATAATCATAACAATTCGAAAATGCAACAGTTACTATTTGATGTTTTCTAAATTACAATTGCTTTTTATTTGTTGCCTTAAAAGCTTACTTAGATATCAGATCATATAAGATTATGATACTCTATTATTATAATTATAAGATACAACACACCTTGCTACAACCACACACAAGCATTTCAGAATTCCTTGAGATCGCTGCACTATGAACAGTCAATTTATTTCTAAATTGTTAAAAAAGCACAACATCATATCTAATAAACTCTTGCCTTTTTTCGAATGTCTTCTTCAATAAATTTAGATAATTTTTCTATGCTTCATCCATTTTTATTGAATTATAATTAAAATTGATATTATAAATATAAACAAGGTTATGTGTCAACAATTTTTGTTTATCTGTTAAAATATTACGTCCATCAAAATAATAATGAAAAAATTTGCACTAAGCAAAGAGATATTAAAAAAGTGAACAATTTTATAATTTATTGAAATAGAATGAGAAATATCATATTTTTTCTTTTTTTGGAATATCAGCTAAAGTTTTTCCTTTACTATGTACTCTTTTAAAGTCATTGTGGATTCCTTTTTCAAATGATTCTATCATATAAATATTATGATTACTCATTGAACTATATTTCCAATAGAAAGCATATGGAGGCATAGTGAATAAACAAAAGAACCCTCATATATTATAAGAAAGTCGTACCTACAGCTTTGACAATATTCTATAATTTCCACTCAATATTCATAATTAAATTTAATAAAAATATTCTTAATATGTCATACACATTTTCACATAATAATACTCATAACAATACTTAAAATTTCGAATTTTGCTTTATGCAACAAGAGTCGGAATTTGTACATCATTCTTCTAAATATATTTTGCTTTTTAATTTTATCTTCATAATTCACCATAGATACATATTTATATGTGATTTAACAACTATCAATTGGGTTTCCTAATCTGAATTCAATATTTTTTAGAAAATCATTTATTTTAAATAACATCAAAAGTTTTCTACATTAAAAATAATAAAATTACCTATCAATCTAATTTAATATTATTGTTATTTGTTTATGTTTTTTAGCTGCCTTTTAAATCAATATAGCAATTTCATCTTAATCTTTTGGTCTTTTTAATCTATCCTACATATTCATTGAAGTATTCATCAAATCTGAAAATCTTTTGCTGGTAACCATAGAAGCAAATAATTTATAATTTTAAGCAGCTCCTAAATCATTAGTTGCTTATTTTATATAATCTAAATTCATTTCTAAAATTCCTTGCCATAAAAGTGAATAACTAAGTCTAGTTTTTTCAGTTAATGTTGTGTAGAGTCCATGATCTAATAATACTACTTGTTATTTTCCATTTAATTTTCTAACCATTATATTACCTTTATGAGGATCTGAATGTACAAATCCATGCTTGAATATTTAATGAGCAAAAGCAGTTGAAATAGTATGAGCTATTTTAGGATAATTGAAATCATGTTTCTCCTTTTCTCTCAAAATATCAGAGAGAGGAGTGCCATGAATAAACTCCATTACAATTATCCTATCATTACAATATTCTTCATAAACTTTTGGTATATAAATATCAGGAAAAGGTTTAAGAATTTCTTTAATTCTTTTAGCATTATTAATTTCTCCATGAAAATCAAGCTCTTTTGGTAAATTTACCTATAATTCTTCAGCCAACCATTTATATTTAAAACCTTTAAAAATAAATTCTGCTACATCTGTAAATAGGCTGATTAATTTAACATCTCCATCAATTTATTCTTTCAACCAAGGATGCTAAATTTTTACTGCAACTTCTCTGCCATCCTTTAAAAATGCTTAATGCACTTATGCTATTGAAGCTGATGAGATAGGTTTCTTTGAGAAAGTTTAAAATAGTTCCTCTATTTTTTTACCTGTGGAAAGTTATATCTATCTCTCAATATCATCGAAAGGTGTTTCAATATTTTAAGTGCACATAACCTCAAAAGTTGCTCTATAAGGCTCTGGTATTATAATGTCGAGCTAAAAATATTTTTAATGATTTACAGATCCTAAAATCTATCCAAATTTGATGTATAAGCCTTTATTCTACTAGAAGGCTTATCTAAGTTAAAGAGCACCATAGTAGTGTTTATCATCCATTGGTTGATCTGGCTGTGTAAGGTATGCTAAAGCCATATTAGTTCCAGCTTTTACAACTCTATAAACTCTTTAAAATGCAAGCCAAAATTATGCCGGATTTGTTCGAAATTCAGGATAAAGATACACAGTAGAACCTGCCAATCTAGCTTTAATCTTTGAGATACGTAATTGATGGAATCATAACAGCTCCACATACTAGGTAACCAAATGATTTTATCATAATTAAATTTTAATAAACTTCAACTCTATTTTGGCCAAACAAAAATTGCAGATTTTTTTGTTTGACGATATGCTGTACTTGGAATAAACAAAGCAGATTTTCGATTATTGACAATTTTTTAAATAGCTATTTGATTCTGAAAGGCTTAAATTTTATGGTAATTTTATTAAGGAAAGTAATGTTTAAATTAGTATGGTTTATCAAATATTTACTTTTATTTCTATGATTATTGATCCTATTGTTGCTATGTAGAGATGTTCGTTTACAAGGCCTATTTATCTTAATTCTAAAATTTAATGAATTTTTTACTTATTCTTTTAATCTAAAACTCTCTGATTATTATGACTGATAAGATGATCTTATAATAGTGTGCCATCTTTATTTCTATTTTCTTTGATAATAACTACGTTGTTATTCATTCTATAAATTGTTTGTTAATTCCTATAAATAAACTAAATATATACCTTAGTTAATTGAGGTAAATAATGAGTTACCGGACATTTTGTTGAGTAATGAGAATCAGATTCACAATTCCAACAAAGACTATTTATTACATTAAAGTCATTTGAATAAATTAATTTATCTCGAATCATCCAATATTTTTCAAAATCATCCTAAAATGATCCAAGAATATCTATAAAGACTTCCCTCTTTAATTTATATAATCTGCTATAAGAAATAGAAGAGGCAGATGCTAATCTTGGTCTACCAGTCAAAAAAGACCACTCACCAAAATATTCTTACGACTCTAATTATTTGATCCAAAATGGTCTTTATTCTCCTGTGTTGGCAAAGATGAGAATTTAACCATAATCTATAAAATAAATAGAATAATCATCCAATAGATAATCAACATTATCTAAAAATATAATTTCATTTTAGGCAAAACTAATTTCTTCAATTTTAATTGAAAGTGATTTTAAAAATTCATTTGAGAAAGTTTTTGACATAAATGGAATTTAATAAAACATTTTCCCATATGAATTATAAAATAACTCTTCTTTGATTTCAGGTGCTAGTTCTGCAAAAACTTCTTGCTCTAAGGTTAAATCTCTAGTTCCTTCTTCATACCAATGTTCATTTAAATATCTTCTAACTCTTTCTTATACTACTAATGGTACTTATTTGGATTGCATAAATTTATTAACAGCTATTCTTTTTTTGAATATCTTTATTGGATGAACATTAAATTCTTCCATAATTTTAAATAATGAATTAACATTAACTTAGAATATGAAAACAGCAAAAAATATACCACCAAGACACCATGTGCATTCAAAAACATTTAATGGAGTTATATCACCATATCCCATAGTAGTTGTCATTGTTCCTAAACCAAAGTAATATGAAAAGAAAAATTAAAATCCAGGATTCAGTTCTCCTATAATTCCAAAATTACCATTGTTTAATAACCAAGAATTATATCCTGCTTCAACACTAGCCTTTCCTATTACATAAAAAATACAGGAAAACATCAAAAAGCAGAATTGTAACAATACAATAATCTTTCCTACATTATAGATAGTTCTTATTGTTCTATACAATAATGTGGCTTCTTCAAAAAGATAATCTATTTTTATAAGTGCGGGGTATTTTAAATAAAATAACAACAAAATTAAATTAATTGAATCATCATTAACAAATGATTAAACCCCAAAAGCCAAAACACCAATAATATCAAGCGCAAAGTTTAATCTTAAATACTAATAGGCTATTCTTTCTTTATTTGTAATTAAATTTCCATGCTCATAAAAAGCTGTCAAAAATTCTAAAACTATATCTAGTAGCAATAATATGAAAGATAAAGTATCTATTATGAACTTAGTGCTAGGTAAGAAAATCTTGAATTAATAGTTTAAAATACCCAAACATCACTACCATAGCACACTGTGATTGGTACAACAAAAAAATAAAGGAGAATGATACCAGCTATGATAGCCTTCCAAATCAACATAACAACAGAATTTGGAAGAAAAACAGGAAGTTTCTAATAAACTATAAATATATTTAAAGTATTTACATATATACAAACTATTGGTGGAATAAGCATTTTTCATAATTTAACCATTCCTATTTCCAGCAATTTCTTCTCCTTCATCAAATTAATTCAATAATGCATAGCCATAATCAATAGTCCCTGAATTAAAAGTACCTTTGAATCCAGGAGTGTTAATTTGATTATCGCTTGATAGAAAAGAATCATTCTTTTCATTAATGATCAGCAACGGTTATCTGTTAGATTTATTGATTCCATCATCAAGAAATGGAGAAGACATCTCATATTGATCTGAAGGTTTATCTTCTAAATTTCTTTAATTCATAACTAAAATATTAATTACATATTAATGACGAGAAATTGTTTAATTAATCAGTTAGATTTTTAAAAAATATGTATAATAATTCATAAGCAGGAATGTCCTAAAAGTACTACTAACCTTAAAAGCCTTTCGGTTATTAAGGATAACCTAGCCAGTCTTAATAAATGAACAGCAGGTATGGCAACCCATATGCTTAATAAATGCCTTAAGATGATTACTTAAGAGATTATAATTAGAGATATGATAGAAATCTACATGATTTACAAACCAATGGATAAACATTATCAGAGCTAGAGTTTAGATTAGATGAAGAAAGAAAAAATATGAAAAATGTGAGATAACAATTAGAAAATAACTTAGAAAATGAAAGACAAATGAGGATAGAGTTTGAAACTAAGATCATAGCATCTAGAGATGATATTTAAAGAAAGGAAAATATCATATAGGAATTAGAGTATATAAATAAAAGATAAATAGTTACAAATTATAAGACACTATGATGAGAAACGAATCATTAGAATAAGAGAACCTTGCTATGAGAAATGAATTTATAAGAGGACAGGAATCATATAATTAGAGATTGAGAGAATATGAAGACAGAATTAAGTTTTTAAATAGGTATATGAAAAAATTATGAAAGAAAATAACAAGAAAACGATGATAAATATAGGATTGAATTTGAGAGACTGATCAAATCCCATGATTAAAAAATATCAGACATGACCCAAACATTCAAAATATAGAGAGAAGATGCAGAAGCATAAATTAAAAGTTTCAAGACTCAGATTTAAGATTTAAATCAAGACATTACTAATTTAATGAATGAAAATATGAGAATAAAACTTGAAGCTGAAGAAAATATTAGAGAAACTGTAGTCAGAGTATAAGATGAGGAAATGAGAAAATATTTAGGACATTTAAGAAATGTAGAATAAAAATTAAAAGCCTCTGAAGAAGGAAGAGATAAATTAGCAAAAGATTATAATAATACTTTATCCTAGTTAGCTGAAAAAGAAAGACTCTTAAAATAAAAATAAATGGAATATGATCAAAATTACACAAGGTTTAAGTAAGAAATTAGTGAGCTTGATGCATAATTTAAATAAACTAATTAGGTTAGAGAAAAATTAAGAAATGAATTATAATCAAAAGATTAGATTATAAAATAATTACAAGCAGAAAGCATGGATTTATAAAAATAGGTCTAAAAAGTCAAAGAACATTATGCTCATCAAATAGCTGAAATTCAGGAAATAAATTCTTAAGAGAAAAGGGAGTTAGAAAAGGAAAAAGATGATTTGGCTAGAAAACTGAACTAATCAGAGGAAGTAAGTATTTTAATTTAATTATAAATAGACAAGAAAATAAATGGAAGAACATATTGAGAGATTAAAGTTACAATTAGAAGAATTAGGAGGATAGATACATTAAAATATAGAGAGATCAATATATTAGACAATTAACTAAACTAGCTTTTCGAGTAAATTCGAAAATAGAAGACCTTTTCAGCCACAGAAATATTAGTGAATATATTATAAACTAAAAAGTAATATATATATATTATTTTATGAATTGATTCATTATATTCAAGGATGTTAAAAGGAGTATTTATTTTAAGAATAAATATTAATTTTTTTAACTGTTAAATTTAATGATTAATCGATTTGAAGATAAACTTGCTTTGGGTCTTTCAAGAACACTTAAAGATTAAGAGAATATGATGCCAAAATCATCATTGATGAAAGATGAATAAAAGATATAGTAAATTCTTACGGTGAAATAAAAGGAAATTGAATATAAGATGAATCAAGAGAAGGAGAGGTAGTTTATATTGAATAATATTAGATTTAAATAATAATATGAGTTGGAGATTAAGATTTTAAAAGAAGATCTAGCTTACTAATCCCATGCAGCTGAGATGGAAAAAGAAAAATGTGTAAAATTGTTGAAAGATGAAATCTAAGGTTTATAAGATGAAATTTAGAATATTAAAATCTAAAATATTGAAGAAATCAGTAATCAAAAGAGTAAACAACAAAGAGAATTATAACAATAAATTTGTGAATTTTAGAGAGAAAAATCACAATTATTGGAAAGAAATGTAAAGGAGATTAAAAAGATGGAATAATTAAGATGTTAAGAATTAGAATAATGGAAAAATAGAACATTAATGGATAAAGATTAAACATTATAATTATTTGAGGAATAAAAACATAAAGAAATTAAATAATTGACTGATACATTCACTTATTAATTATAATAATAAAAATAAGAAAATGAATAATCTTTAAGATTATAAAAGACATAATATGATTAAAAATTATAGAAAATAAGTGATTAATTGGATGTAGAAAGAAGTAATTGTGAAATTCTAAGAAAAAGATTATAAGAATAGAAAAAGTAATTTGATTTGGATAATGAAGCTTTGAAAAAGGAGAAGTAAATTAGAGTGGAATAATTACAAATAGAAATTTTTTAAGAAAAATAAAAATATCAACAATTGTAATAAGAAATGGATTAGATGAAATTTAATTTAGCTTAAAAAGAACAAAAGCTAATTGAGGAAATAGAATAAAAGGAAGTTGAGTTAAGAAATTAATATCATGAAGACATGAATCAATTATACTAGAGATAAATTGAAGTTGCTTAAAGTTTAGAACTTTAATATAAAGAATTAGATGAAGCTGCTGAAAAAAAATATAATAAATTGAAGAGTTAGTATGAAGAATTATAATCAATAATGAGAGATACTTTAGATAAATAAGAAAGAAAACCTTTGAGACCTTTACAATAATAAAGAAGTATTTATTTATAATAATAAAACAAGGAATTGGTTCAAAAGATAGATAATAAGAAGAAGAAACAGGATTATAAATGCTAAATCTTTTAGAATAGGCATAAAGAAGATCATCATAAATGTCAAATAGAAAAGAATTAAAAAAACCTCTATCTTGATTTACTATTATATTATTTTATTCATATACAAATTCTTTAATCATAGATTTAGATTTTCGAAAATAGTTTTGATTTTTTCTTTTGTAGCTGGCTTAATAATGACTCCATCAAAACCTTCATTTATACTTTTTTCTTAATCAAAAATACTACAAAAAGCTGTGACTGCAATCACTGGTATAGCTCTAATCAATTATAATTGGCACTCAATCTATCTAATTATTTAAACAGCTTCCCAACCACTCATTATAGGCATATTAATATCCATCAAAATACAATGATAACCAGTACATTTTCCACTACATTTGTCCTATAATTTTTTCGAGATCATTTCTACAGCTTATTTACCATTAAATGCAAATTCAATTTCAAATCCCATTTCTTTTATAATGAAACCAACTATATCAATATTAAATTATTCATCATCAACAATTAAAATAGTTTAGCAATTACATTAAAATTATTTTTTTTTTGGAATTTCAATTGAGATATCATGTGAATTACATTTCTTAAAGAAATTCATTCCATTTTAAGAGTGTCCCTTTTTATAATTCAAAACTTTAACAGATGCACTCTAAGCTTCTTACAATGGTATTGTTAATTATTATGACTTTTAAATTGAAGATTTTTCCTCTAAATACTTTAAACAAAAATAAAATTAAGACCCACTATCTTTAACTGATTCTACAAATAATAAATTAAAATGAGAAGGTGCCAATTAACGAATAATAGATTTACATACTTATAAACCTAATCCTATACCTACTGATTATTTTGAAACCTTTTCATCTTCATCTGCAACATGTAACTAATTAATTTATTTTTAAAAATAATACCTTTTTTCTTAATGTTACTAATTCATCTTCATCCATACCTACTCCACTATCTTTGATATGGATTTCCAATAAATTAGGATCTTCCAAATAGATTTAGGATTAAACTTCATCTATTATACCAAAACAAGAAGGAATATATTTTTTTTTCTTCACTTCAACTGTAATTCCTCCATGTAAAGTAAATTTAATGGCATTAGTTAATAAATTTAAAATAACTTAACAAAATCTTTATCTATCTCCTTATATTATGTAAGTACAATTATCTGGAATATCTAATTCATAACTCAATTATTTTCTTGATATTTGATCTTTAATTAAATCAACACATTCTGTAATTGCATTAATTAATTCAAATTTATCTTCTCTTAATTTTAATTTATCATCTAATAAATATCTATAATCAAAAAAGTCTTAAACTTTAAATAATTACAATTTAGTGTATCTCAATGCACAAGCCAATTATTCTTACATTTCTTCACCTTTTAATAATCTATCTTAACATTATTTTATATAACCATAAGCAGCATTTAAATTAGTCAATAATTCATGTGAAATTGATCTTAACAAATTCTTTTTAACAGATTCTAATTTTTTTAAGCTTGTTTATAATAGAACTGGATTTAATTCTTATAAATAAAATAGCTATAATTCATCATCATCATTAAACAATTTATAATCTTCTATAACGTGAATTAGAAACTTCATTTCATGTTACATTGTAGAGGGAGATTATCCATGATTTTTTTAATAAGCATTTTCTCTAAGCATTTATTCAAATGACATTTTACCACTTGTTGGTGTTGAAGGTTTATTTATACTTATTCTATTTGATGATAACTTTGTTTGTTTCTTTTTTTAAAATAAATAAGGTTAATGTCTTAATTAAACAAGCAAAGCAATATCTGCAGTATATTATTTTTTAATAACTGATTCATCATTTTTTGTTGTGAATGTTTAAAAAAATTCTTATTGATATTTTAATTTTTTATTTGGTTTCTCATTCTAATTTAAATTATATATTAATTTCTTGGAACTATCAGGACTTTATTCTTCTTTTTTATATATAACTTTTCTTATTTTAAATTAATCTATCTAAAATTCATCTCCAAAATCTATTTGTGACATTCCTTTTTGATTTAGTTCTGCCAATTAAAGATTAGATAAAAAATTTAATTGCAATTTTGAATAATTTTAAATCCTATCAGGTGATTGATCTGTTTCTGAACTATTAGTTCCTTCAAGAGTTAATGATAAATTTTCAAAACTTTTATTTGAATAAAGTAACTGACTTTTATTTTTTTATACAATACACATGGCTGAAGGAAATGAATCTATAATTAGAAACAATGCTTGTATTTTTGAATAAATTGACATTAAATTTTATTCCCTTCTCAAAATATGTAATAGTATGATTGATATAACAATACCTAAGCTTTCATTAGATTTTTCTACAATTATCAACAGATAACCAGTCACAAAAATTCCTAAATGAATCAATTTAAAGGATACAGTATATGATATATTGAATTAAACCACATTAATAGTTGTATAAATCAATAAAAAAGATGAGTTTGATGAATAGAAATAATAGCAATACCAATTTAAAAGTAAAAGTTAACATATTCGTGTTATTTCCAAATATGCTGATTTACAAGATTAATGGAGTTTTATTAGTAAGAATAATATCAAATGTGATCCACAATTAATAGCAAGTTGAGTATATAGTTAGATATCACTTTAAGTTAGTAACAATCTCGTTAAAACGAATAAAAAAGATATTAAAAGTGCAGGTATTTAAATTAAATCCAATTCTATTTAATTTTCTTACTTTTTCCATTGCTGATATTATGCAGAGGCAAATTTATTATAAATGTTTTAAATAGCTCGAAAAATTGCACTTACCATCCTCAAAAATATTTAATAATTTCATAAAAATTATTTCAAACATTATCTGAAAAAATTGTGATTATAAAATTACTATAAAGTTAACAATAAGATCCATTTATATTAATAAAATAGTATAATGAAAGTTATTATCATAAATAAATTTATAAACTTTATAATCAAATGGTATAATTTCACTTAATCTAATGATATTATTTTTAATTTAATCACATTTAATATAGAGAACAATAATGATTAGTATTTAGAAAAGACTTTAAATCCAAAGTAATATTTAAATTTATGAATAATTTTATTTAATTATTAATAAATTAAATATAATAGTCGAATTCAATTTTCAAAATATTGTCAAAGGTTTTACAAACATATTCTTTGAGTAGATTTTCTAACATTCTCTTTTTCTTATTCAATATCCCTACAAAAATATATAATTACTTTTTACTTTTATTATTGTTTAAGATAGATTACAATTTTAACTGATAGAGGGATATATAATATAATTTTAATCAGCACATCAATAATAAAAGAGGATAAAACCATAATTATATATTAAATTACACTTATCTTTATAAATAATTGAGAATAATAAAATATGTATTAATTTTAGCAAAGAGAATCAATTGTTAACATCTCAACTATTATAATACATGAATATATGAATTATTTCTTTAATTAAATTGAACATGCTGTTACAGACTTAAAAGATTTTTCCAGATTTTTTTTAATAAAGTATTTAAAATTATTATTTGTATTAATAAACTTTTATATCTACTGGTCCTTTCACTGATCTATTTAATAGAGAATGTTGTTTCAAAAAGTAAGTTTATTCTAAATCATGAATGATATAACCTTTGAATTGTTCAAAAAAGATATTGATAATATAAAAATTGAAAATGAAAAATAGTACAAAAAATATATGAAATAGATAAATTATTTCTACAATATTTATTGATGCGAATATGATTCTCAAAACAAATCAGCTGATCTTATGTCCAAATATATGAACATAAGTATTAAATCTCAACTTTTTTATTTATAAGTTCAACTGTATTTTATTTACATTTTGTTAATACTAATTAAATTAAATATTGTATCTGATGAGTATTCATTAATTTTAATGCATAAAGCAATTAGAATGATTTTATATTCATAAAATTGATATTACAAATTATTATTTAACAAGATTCTCTAAATAAATTAAATGAAACTTGTAAATTAAACCAGATGATATTAATAAGGTCTTTCTTTTTCAATAAAAATACACCTATCGTTTATAACTCATATTTATAATATAAATAAAATCACTCATCAAATCATTAATGATTTATATTAATATGGATGGAAAATACCTTTTTTCGAAATAGAGTGATCATAATCCAAAGAAAATCATCTTTATTAAATAAACAGAATTGTGTACAACTTTGGAAAGCATTAATTAAGTTTAGATATGCAAATTAAAAATTAAATATTAATTTAGATAAATAATACACTAAATAGTTTTATTTAGTATTATTAGACTTAAAAGTTTTTATCTTCATGTTTATTATATGATATATATATGCTAATTATGGATTATTATTTAAATCTAAATAACGATATAATTGAGTATTTTAATTAGTTAATTTACCTAAAAATGATAAAAGATTAATAAAAATGAAGATACTAAAATAATTTTTGAATTTTCATTTTTAGTGTTTGATTTGTAAGATTAATATCGATTTACAATAATTAAATTTACTACTATTATAGTTAATATTATGATGTGAATTCACTATTCTAGATAAATCATTATAAATAATAAAAATTATTAACTTCTTATCATTTGAGAGAATGGGTTCTATTTGTAAGCAAGGCCAAAAATCTTAGAATGAAAAAGAAATCTAGATTGAGATTTAGTTTACTAATTCTAAAGATAAATTTGAAGCAAGACATAAGACTGCTAGCAACTAATATAATTGTTAAAGTACTAGGTAACTTACATTTCGCAATGATGTTGCTTCAAAATTTATTAGTTTAAGTTAATCATCTGATTCAGAACCAAATTAAGATAATGACCGTGGGGATAAAAGATCATTTTTCTCAAATTTTTAGACATTTTAAGCGATGCCTTCTCAAAAATCCTCGAAATTTGTTTCTCCTTAATTTACATTTTTAGGAGATGAAACATCAATTGAGAACTAGTTCCAAAATAAATTATAGACTAGATAATTAGAGTGAGATTAATAATTTTGATGAGAGTAAAACGATTTACGTATTTAAAATTTATTTGAAATTCAAATATTTATTTTTTCATGTATGGTCCTTTGATAATAACATTATTGAAGTTAAATTAGAACACAAAGTGCAGTTAATTAAATAAATGAAATATAAAGAAGTATTGAGATTTTCTGAAGACCTAGTAGTATTGGCTTAAATTATTTTCTATAGTTGGGGTATCACAATTATTAAGAGATAGAGGAAACTTCCTCATTATTAGTAATATATTTTCTTAGTTTTATACTTGGAAGCACTATTTAAGGGATTTCTTCATTTTAACATAGATTTTCTAATTTCACAAAAATGATGCTGTTTTACCTAGGTTATGCAATCAAGGGAATATCAGTTTGGAGTTCAACTTAAGAAAATATTTCAATCTCATTAAATGTTCATCTAATAATTCAATTTCATTTTTCAAAAGAATAAAGCATATAATAAAGAAGTATGCCTTACTATGCTTTTTTCTTAATTTGCATTAATACATTTAATTATCTTACAGTAACAACAGATAGCTACTTTATTTTCTCACTTGATATCATTTTAGTAGTTTTGGATGCAAATCATCTCTCATTAATTTTAGATAAAAATTGTAGGAAGTCTTAATACCACTAACCAAATAGTACACTAAATACGACAACTAACTAATAAAAGCTAGGATAAACATTTTAATTTGATTTGCCTACTGTAAAAAGTCCAAATGCACCTTCTAATTATTATGATAGATTTTCAACGAAGAAGTTAACATTTAATACTAAAATGGAAATATTTGAATGTACTATAAGATTAGAAGATTATTTAAAAAAAGAATTTGAGAATGATCTTTAGAAAAAAGATTTTAGAATTCAAGAAGAATTTTTTTAATTATCATTATTATACAAATATAATGATGTTACACATAAAATAAAAATATCAGACTTTCTTTCTGATTATTATGAAGAATTATCAAATATTTATTATTTTTCAATAGAAGACAATGATGCATTTGATTTTAGAGATACTGTTTTACTTATTGAATAGGTTAAAAATAGTGAAAGTGAAACACTTATTTAGTTATTGTTTTTAGATGTCCCTTAAAAATATTAAAGAAAATAAGGTAGAGTTAGAAAATAATTATTTTTTGATATGTGTAAATAGATATCTCATGAACTTGGAACTAGTTTAAATTCTCTAATGACTTTTAGCAATTTAGCTGTTGAAGATGAAGGTATTTCAGAATAGATTAAAACAACTTATATTTATCCTATTTTAATTAATAGTGTTTAATTTAATTTAATTATTAATAATGTCAGAGATTTTACTCATTTAGGATTACAAATATTTCAACTTAAATTAGAGGAAATGTAAATCATTTAAACTGTAGAATTTATCAATACATTATTTGAAGAACCCTTATAAAGTAAAGGTATTGAATTATCAGTTTAATATCATTTAAAAAATAGATATTTAATTACAGATAAGGAACGATTTGAATAAATTTATTTTTAATTATTGTAAAATGCAGTTAAATTTACTTTATCAGGTTAAATTAGAGTTAATATATATAATAATGCTGATAGATTCATATTATCAATTGAAGATACTGGAATAGGTTTAAGTGAAGTTGAAGAATAAAATCTTAATTATTTATTGGATAAAGACGAATTTATTAAAGTTTCTGATAATTCTGTTGGTTCTGGAATGGGATTAGTAATATCAAATATGATTGTTAAATAATTAAATAGAGGAATTCCTATAAAAGTAAAAAGATTATTAATAGGAACATAATTCTATTTTGAATTACCAAATGATATTTAAGAAAATTATTTTTCTAAATAAAAGGCATTAAGAGAATATTCATCAGGATCTCAATCTATAAAATTATTATCATAAAATTCATATATTGAGGGACCATTAGGTTAATAATCACACTCTATTTCTTAAAATTTATCTTCATAAAGATTAACATTTAAAAAGAAGAGAAAAGAAACAAAATCATTTTCTGTTGTTCATCATTTTGAAGATGAAATTGAAAGTGAAGTTTTGAGTGAATCACATAAAAATAAATTTTAATTTTTACCTACTTTTTAAACAAAATAAAAGAAAGATATGTTGGAATATTGTTTATAAAGTGAATGTTGTTCAAGAGCATTAATTGTTGATGATGAATATTACAATATAAGATGTTTAAAATTAATTATGCAAAAATATGGAGTAAAATGTGATCATGCATTTAATGGTTAAGAATCATTATAATATATTAAATAAAAAAAGGAAAAACCATGTGAACATTGCAATAATTAACATTATTTATTAATATTTTTAGATATTAATATGCCAATTATGGATGGATTTCAAACAATTAAATTAATTAAAACATAAATTTAAACAGAAGAAATTAAAAAGGTTTATTGTATTGCTACAACTGGATTATGTGATCTTTAAACTAAATAAAAGTGTTATGAAAGTGGAATGGATTACTTTATGACAAAACCACTTAACTAAAGTTTGCTTAAAGAAATTCTTTTAACATTTTTTCCTACTTTAGAAATTAAAGTTAATTGAACTTAATTGTTATGATAAAATATGTTTGAATTATCAACTTTGAATTATTTTTTTTATTCATATTTATGATAATTATTAAGCTATATTATTCTTTTAGTTTTTTTATATAGTTTTTAATTATAATTTTCAAGAATATACTAAGTTTTATAATGAAGAATAAATAGGAAATTAAAAAAACAACATATTAAAAAATTTAACTGTTGTTTTTCAATTTTACTTTTATATATATTATTAATTAATTAATAATTGCTTTTTTAATTAGAATTATTGTTTTTTTCGAACTAATTTTATTATTAATTAAGTTTATTGCTTATGTATTGGCTAGAGTATTTGTTTGATGCAAAGATTTTAATTGGCTTTGGGGTAGGTGTATTAACAGCTTCTCTAAGTCTAATCCCTACGCTGAGAGAACACAATCAAGAAAATGCGCAATCATAGATGAAATTATCAAATAAATCTATTCCCTCAACTAAGGACCTAAAACAAGTATATATAAAAGTAAATGAAAAACTATAATTTTAGACTGATTCATCATCAAAAGAAAGAAAAAAAAATAATCAGAACTCTGATCTGACTGAGTTAAATAAATAAGATTTCTATTTCAACTTAGACAATGGTATTAGAAAAAAAATAAAAGTGTAGAAGACTGATGAAGATTCATCTCCTAAGGATCATTAGTCATCCTAGAGTTTTAATGATGATGAAGATTCATAAAACTTCATTGAATTAAATAACAGTAAAATATTTTATATATTATAAAGTAAATAATAAGAATGAAAATAATTAAAGTATTAAGGATAATTTAGAAGTCCCTTCATCTTCAAGCTAATAAGGAAGTCAATTAAATAAAAAAATTGTATCTGAACCATAAGATGAATAAAAATAAAATTCTAACTTTGCAGTAGGAAAGGGAAGAGAATAGGAAGGAGAAGAAATTTGATTATAATTCAATGATGCAATTTTAAATTCTAAAATGATATTCATCTCTTTAGAACTCATATTTTAATCAATAATAAAATATGTAAACTTAAATACAATAGTTTCTAAATACGTAATAAATCATAGATAAATGAAGCTATTATCCTAATCTAAATTAGAATGGCTAGTTTGATTTAGATTTCATGAATGAAGAAGAACTTTTTGAGTGGTTACATTAAAGATTATTAATTCTTATAATTACTAAGGATGTATAAATTGGAGTTAAAGCAATTTATCATTGGTGCTAAAAAGGATTTGGTAAGAATTAAGTTTTAATATCTAGTTTATAGAATGTGGAATCCCTATGGTGAATTAAATCTTAATAGTATTAGCAGGACTGTAATTGAGAATTAACCCAAAAATGGTTGATGATATAACTTAATTAATTTAGGATAAAGAATATAAATAGAAATTAATAGATTAATTATCATAAGCTTAATAAAAACAAGTAAATTTAGAAGTTTCTAATGTAAATATTTAAATAAATATAGTCACCAAGAATTTTAAAAGCAAAAATTGATTAAAAGGAATCAGGATTATTTGGTAATATTTTAACAGCTCTTAGATGCTGGGATAAAAAATCAAAATGATAAACTCATATTTAAATTTATTTTTTCTATATTTTTATGAAGGTTTTTAATAATTCAAGAATAATGTTTAAATTAACTCATCCTTATCAGAATGATTTGATTCTTCAACTCTTACAAAATATCTTAACACATTGTAATTAATAAATTGAAAAGAATTTCAATGAAAATATTAACATCATTGATTTAATATTCTTTTTCTTTCAATATTGAATTTAAATAATAAAAATGTATATGTAAAATGGATATTTTAAAATTGAGTAAATATATTAATTGAATATTGAAAATTCAAAAAATATTTGATTTTTATGAAATATATAAAGACATTATCATACTCATTAATTTAGTTATTTAATACTTAATTATAATTTTTCATATTCTTCACTTCTATCTACTCTTTAATTTTTTGTAAGTTGATTGACTCTAATATCAAATTTTAATGCCTATGTAAGATCAATTAGATTTTTGCAACATTATTGAAATTCATCCAAATCAATTTTAAGATTGTTACAATTCATTTATTCTTCCTCATAACTTGATTTAATTCTCAATTCTTTTAGTACTCTTTTAGAAAAATTCCTTAGTTTTTCTAATTCTAAGTCTATATTTTCAGCTCTTTCGTTCATAAAATAAATATTAATAAAATAAATATAAAATGTCTAAATTTCAAATTACTTTATCCTTTCTTAATTTTGTAGCAATAAGTTCAAACAAACAAAATTCATCTCCTAAACTTTCTTCAGCTATAATATTTCTATCTTCCTTTTCCTTTAATTCAAGAAGATGCATTTATTTTGGATCTAATGAACTGCCATTCTCAAATCTAACCAAAATATTCTTCTTTCTATTATATGGTTTTTAATGTTCTCTTAATAAATATCTAGCAAACTCAGTCATCAATTTTGAAGACTTTCTTTAATGTTTTAATAAAAATAAATAAATTACTTATTAATAAAAGCATATAAATATATTGAATAAGCTCGTTTTATTTATTATGCATGTAATTTAGTTTTCTTCATAATTTCAAATAGCTTATCTTTAGGTATATCAACAATCTCTTATATTGTATTAATTATCTAATTTAAATTAATTACTTTTAATACTTTATTTGGTATTATATCTTTAAAATGTTCATGCAAGATTTTAGAATCAGTAATGTCTCTCATCACTTAAAAATCTTCAGATGGATCTTCTAATGTAATTTATAAACATTTCTCATCTTCCAATCCTAATTTATAAACAGCTCTTAACATTCTACTTCCATGTCCTTTTCTTTAATATTATGGTAAGAATAACATTTGACTTAAACGATGTCTTTGTTTATTCCATCCAATATTAAACTTAAAAACAGTAGTCAAACCAACAAATTAACGTTTTTCATATAATGTTAAATAAACCCATTCATTTTCATCACCTGGATATTGGACTCCATCAATTAAAACTAAAAGAAATGCTTATAAAAATGGTTTGAATTAGATAAATCCATTTGTGGTTACCATTTAACATTTATATATTTTGAAATCTCCATATTCTTCAATTAATTCTCCTAAGGGTTCCTGATTTTATTCTTCTTCAAGAGCTTTAATAAATTACTCTTCAGTAGAAAGAAATCCAGCCTCATATACTTTATTGAAGCTCTCTTATAAATCATCTGCATCCTCTGTTTACTCGCTATAAGATATCTATATTAGATATTCTAAAATTAAATACTTTAATATAAGGTTTCAATCCAAGTGCTGTGACATGAATTGTAATTTTAAGATCCTTATAGCCATAAATTTCATTTGTTTATCTAAATACTTAATGAACATAACTAGGTTAAAACTTCAACCCTTAATCTGCCTTATACTATTCTACAGTTTGCACTAGAATATATGTGATTGCTAAAGAGCCATTAGTAATAAATGGATCATCTTCTCTTTATATTTCAGGTGGTTTTTCAAGATATTTTAGAGCATTTAATCTTAAGTATTGTCCTTATTCTTCATCAAATAAGTTTGCCATACAATATATAAATAATATACATTTTGGCGCGAATCAAATTAATAAATAACTAGTTGATAGATAGTACATTTTATTAATTTACTTAAATAATTGATTAATTAGAAATTGAGCTATTGTATTTGTAAAAGAATCCTAATCAAATAATAATTATTTATTAATTATTGTGAATCAATCTAATGAATGTATATATGATTTTAAATATATATTAAATTCATCTTAATAAATAATTTGAATAGTATTTTCAATCCTTTTTTATGTGAAATGACTTTTAACTCAATTCATACTTTTACTAATCTATTTTCATTATTATTATAAATTAATGGAGAAATTAGGTAATCTTTTTGAATTCTTTGTCACTGCAGGGATCAAAACTAATGATTAAGGTAATCATAAGCAATCAATCTAATTGTAGATGTGATTCTTTAATCATGTACTACTGCAAATAAGAAGGATCTTGCTATACTTACTATATTTCCTAATCCAGTTGAAAGAAAGATGAACCATGTTTTAGCAGATATTGCCATGGTAAAATATAAGAAGATTATTATAATTTAGTGGTGCTTCCCTTTAGGAGTAAAGACTATCAAAGAGGGGGACAATAGATTTACAAAAATAGAAGAATATTTTAAAGAAGATGATGTTTAAGCATCTACAAATGAGATCAATTACTTTGTTATCAATGATTTTAAATAGCATATCAAGTTTTATTGTACATCCGCATGCTTTTACGAAAAGATGTTCTTAATAATGCCACCAAATGATAAATTAATGTAGGTATTTGTACCTAAAGCTTTTTGTGTCATATCTCGATATCCTGCTTTCATTCCACAAAGGAGTTTTTTGATGCAATTACTAAAAATCCAGAAATTACGTCTTTCATAAAATAGAGAAAGAGATAAAATAATTACTATAAAAAGAGGACAATAAGAATATTAGATTGAAGAAATCAAACTATATGACTTTTATATTAGAACAGCACTTACTTAATGTCCTATTGTATAGGATAAGTATTTGTATTTCAATAAATAGCAAGCGTAGAATATAGGTTAAAGTTCAGCAGTTCTGAGATCTGGATGAATTATTATGTCTCCAACTCACATTTAACAACACACTTTTCTATTTTTAAGTTATCAAATAACCTTTTTGATGTTTTAATTTTCAATTAACCTATATTTAATTTGTACAAGTTACTTTTATACATGATGCTTGAATATTAGATCATAATAGTATCTCGTAAACCTGCAGGAATAACATTGTTTTGTCAATCTTTAGTAGAATTACTTGTTCCTTTATAATGGCGTGGACTATTTATTCCATATTTAAGACCTGGATCATTTGATTTTCATAAATCCTAACTACCCTATATAATTGGTTTAGATAGAAATCTTTATGAAATAGTAAATAAAATAATTTAAATTAGTCTGAAAAACCATTGCCAAAAGAATTAAAAAGAGTGATTTATGATATAGATGATGGACGTATACTATCAAGATCAGATGATCCAAAATGTCCAAAATAATATTAAAATTATTTCATTCGTAAAATGAATACCGTATTTGCAGATCTTAAATTTTATGAGAATGTAAATAATATATATTATAATATAGGAAATCTTTGAAGAAGGTATAATGAAATATCGATAAGCATTTTATAATTTTAAATTATTAATGCTAAATGATATTTATAAGTACTTCAGTACTGATACATCAAATTAGAAATCAGAGAAAAAGATTGTTATGTTTGATTATAAGAAATTTCTAACTTCATTTGAAAATTAAGATTAACTCTTTTTTTTACAATTCCTTAAAACTTTATCTTTTTAATAATTTGTAAAAGATCTCTATAAAGTTATGGAATATAGAGAAGAGTTTATTAAAAATAACATATAAAATGTAGAATACTATTTTAGTAGTGTATTACAATTCTTTGATGATGTGAGATTTCTTAGTATTCGCTTTGGAGAATAAACCTTAGATGATAAATTAGTAATACTAGAAAATCTACAAAATAATTATATTAAAGCAGTACTTGAAAGATAAAATGAATCCAGTAATTATAAAGTAGTAGAAATGAAAACAACTGATTTCATTCCTGAATATTTGGAACATCTTAAAAATAGTAGTCTTAATCTTAGTATGGAAATGCAAGCTTTAGCTAAATTCATTTAAGCAGCTCCCTAATAAGAAGAAATAATTGTTGAATAACAATAAAAAATAATTTAACAAGGTGGACCAGATATGAATTAATCAGAAGAATAAGATAACATTTCTTAATAATCCTCTAAAATTCAGTCAGATAAATCAGATCAACATAGTTAATTTCATCATTCATTACCTCCCTAAGAAAAAGTCAATTGGGAATTATAAACTATAGCTGTAAGCAATGCATCAGAATATAGAAAATAATATTAAATTAAACATTTAAATCTTATAAATAAAAGGAATACTTTTAAAAGAAAGAATCTCTTAGAAAATGAAGAGGAAGAAGAATAAATGTAATTGAATCAAAATACAAATACAAATAACTTCATTGTGACCAATATTGCAGATAAAAATATGCTTAGTCTGCCTGTCAAAGATAATTAATCAATGGCAGCTAGATCATATTTTAATAAGAGCATGGTTCCTTTAATTGGAGATTATGGAAATGCTGAGATTATGGTACCTAATTAAGATAATATGATTTGAATATAATTTATAATGCCATAATAATGATATTTTAATGTACAAATTTATATAATAATTTAGAACTAATTAAACTAAAAATTAATATACCTAAAATTAATTTTCATTAATTCTTATATTCTCTTATTCAAATGAATAATATATAAGAAATTAAAAATATCTTATTTTAAAACACAATATATAGTCATTAATTCTATCAAATTTAATACTATAAATAAATTGAAATCTTTAATTTGTATATTTTAATCTCTTTTATTAAATACAAATAATAATTTAATTATGATATAAATATATATATATATATATATATATAGATTAAAACAAACATATATATGCTCATCATTTTTAATTCTTAATGAATTGCAAATAGCCTTTATTGTTTTAACTCAATAAGTATTTAATTTTCCTGATCAAACCTAAGTTAGCTAAATTATTCTTTAATTTATTTCTGTATTCTCTCTATTTTATAAATTAATATGAATACTTATTATCCTTCCATATCAGATTATAATTATTCCTGTTCTGTTTACAATTAAGCAATCTTTTTTTTCAAATCAGCTTATTAATTTGTTAATTTATCTAAATCAATAGAGGATCTTTCAAATATTTATTTAATTTAATCACACTAAATAATAATAATATATTTTACTTCTGCAGATCTTTTATCTACATCCTTTTTAAGTTCATTTTTTTCAATATTAAACAATTCTTATCTCTCATTACTAACAGCTTCAATTTCTTCTGAACTTGATTCTAAAGCTAATTATAAGGTTTTTAATAATTAAGGAACTTCTTCAATCAAATGGGCATTTTCAGGTGCCAATAATGGTTTCAATGAAACTTAATATATAAAATATGAAAATACATAAAACTAAGGTATAAGGGTTATCAATAACTACAGTATCCAATTCGTTTCTAATGTCATTACACATTGATTTAAATTTATTCAATTCATCATTCTATTTATTATTAGCTAAAAATGCTGGTGATTCGCTTAAATCTGGTTTTTTGGCTAAGAAATGTGCTAAACCTGAAAATTGTTATAAAAATGAATTTATGACTTTAGAAGTTTAGCTTATTTCCTTTTTTAAATTTTAGAGTTTATCAATCTAGCATATGATATATTTTAAACATACTTCATCATTACGAATAGCTTACATTTATGGCACAAATTTATTCTCTTCTGTTAATAATCTTTTTCTTTCTTCATATATTTTTTCTGAAAATTCTTTTTCTTTTGTAACAATTGTAAGTTCTTCACCAACATTCTATAATTAATATTTTGATAAAAAGATCTTTTATTTCAATGCTTATTTTCTCTCAATATCTATTTTATAAATTTTGAATATTAATACTGCTTGTATAGACAGTCTAATACTCTTTCATTGTTTTTTCACTATCCATAACTAGCTCAGATTCAAAATGATTTAAATTGATTATCAAATCTACAGGGTCTTTTGAATATTATTTATATATAATTACTTTAACTAGATTTCAGAACTAGCTATTATTCTTTTAAAACTTTTTTTCCATAATCACTTTGAGTCAAGAATTCAAAATCTTTGACAGAATCAGTCGCAAATGTGTATATACACAAATATGCTAACAATACAATTCGTTTCATCCGTTTTTAATTTATATTTCATTAATATAAGCAGAAATAATTTGTATACAATACATATAACTCTAAAAATAATCACTATCAACCATTATTGATATATTACATCATTCTCTTAATACACAACTGTAGTATTTAAAAAAATAAGGACTATTATGATTAAATAATATAAAAAGTAAATGAGGAAAATTCATTTTATAAAAACACCTTTTTCCCAATATCCCTCTATCACTTTATCTTTATTTTATAATTTTCCATATCCATGATACATTCCATCATACCATTCTCCTGTATATACTTTATCTTTAGAAGTGAATTTTCCAAATCCTTACTTTCTTCCCATATGATAATTTCCTTCATATTTTTTCCCATTCGGCCATAGAAATCTTCCATATCCATGCATATTCCCATCTTTAAATTCACCTTCATAAATCTCACCATCAACAAAATAATAAGTACCTTATCCATTAATTTGATTGTCAGAAAACTCTCCCTCATATTATGAATCATCTTTATACCATTGAATTTTCCCTTTTCCATGCTTCATTCCATTCAAAAAATCTCCTTCATAAATATAATATTTGTTATAAATCTCAATTCCATGTCCAGAAGGTAGATTTTCCTTCCATTATCCTTCATATTTCAATTAATTTGACATGTACTTACCAAACCCATGTTGTTAATCATTTTTGAACTCTCCTTCATATTATTCTCCTTCCTAAAACTTAATTTTTCCTAAACCGTTTGCCATATCGTTTTTCCAAGTCCCTTTGAAATATGATCCATCATGATAAAAAAACTAACCTTATCCTTCTCTTTTTCCATCAATTAATTAACCTTGATAAACACCGTTTGGGTATTCAAAATAGTCAGAGACTTAAGTTGTTGGTGATTAGACTTGAGAATCATGAATACTTTCGTAATGTAATGTTCTTTTACGATGTAATTTAAGATTGAAAGGGACTTTTTTGACTCTGTCATGAAATTGTGATTTTGTACTGTTTAGTGATTCAAGAGATTAAAACTTTCCTAAATCAGAGGTATTAAGAAAATGGATTTTGGGATCAAATTTGTAGACTTAAAATGAATCAGATTCATCTTCAATTTCTACAGATTTGAACTCATTATCATTGATTTCAGCATGGTTACATTAATTTCCCATTATAAAAATAATATCAAATTTTAAACTGACCTTCTTTTTCTTTTGGTTCATCTTCATCATCCATATAATCATCATCTAAAAAAGAACTTAAGTAGGAAGAAGCAGTAAACTAAATATGTTTAAAATTATTACTGAAGGAGTTTAATCCATTGATAAAGCTTATTTAATGGATTCACTATCTTATGACAATGTATTATCATGTCCATTAATTTCACCATTATTTAAAACAACTGAATATGGATTCTACTAACCCAAAAAGACTCTTCTTATATAAGAATAAAATCTATTTTTTACTGCATTTTCCTAATAAATTAAAATTATGTTTACTGGTCTTCCCTTCAATTATTTTGAAGCTACACTCCACTTAGCACCATACTCTTTGTAAACCTTCAATATTATCTCATCTTCTTATTTAGTCCAAGGAGATGTATTAATTGAAGGATCTAATACATTTAGATATCTTTCCCTTATTTGCTTTCCACTTTTACCTGGTATATGTTTTGCTATTTCTGCCCAATTCTTATCATATTGTTATACTAAAAAGGATATATTTTTATCTTCTTCTAAAGTCCATTTCTTTTTATTATTCTTATGATAAATAAAAAGATATACTTCCTAAGGATTTAATCTTCTCCATCTTTATGAACATTAATTCATATTTCTTCCTGGTAATTGTTCTGCTATTTTCCTCCAATTTCCATTAAAATTTATGTAAGCCTATCGCAAAATTGCATCTTCATTCTTATCCCATAGTTTAGCTTAACTGACTTCTTTTTTCTCAATTTTATCATTAACTTATTTTTATTGCTTTTTATCTTTTTGAATTCTTTTTTTCTCAATTTTTCCTGTTTCTAATGATAATTAGCTTTATGATCTAAAGATATCTTTATATAATTTTCTTACTTTATCATTTATTTTTTTGGGTATTCGTCTATTACATCTAATTATGAAGTTTAAGCAACATTATTTTACCTAATGTTTTCTAAATTATATCTTACTATGGGTATTGTCCAGACATTATTTATTAATCAGATGTTGGTTAACTACCTGGATTACTACCTTAATAAGGACCATTATTAGAGGAAATTGATTTTGCTAACATAGAGAACTGAGCTAGTTAATTAAAAATATCATTTTATCTTGATAGTTCCAATGCTTCCCAGCTAGCCATCTTATTAGATTTATTATCAGATAATGAAAGAAACCCTTCCACAGGTTCCACTCTTAATAATAATTGTCAACATACCTTCCATCTCAATTGATGTTTTTACTGCCCCTTTATTTATCATATTCTGAAATTGATTCTATTATTGTGATTACTACTATTGCTACCGCTTCTCCTAGGCTTCCTATAACTTTTGCCTTAATTCCTAAGATGTAGACTGCAGAGCTTTTTGTTCAACAGGAGATGGTTAATATCCTTAGCCTGTATCGAGTACTGGTTTATTAGAATCCTCCTTTATGCTTATAGGTTGATCTTATGCTTCCTGTTTAGGCCTTTTTGCACAACAGAAATTTAACCATAAGTCAACAAACATTTCTTTTTGTCAATAAAAATTATGTATTCAAAATTTGTAAATTAACTTATCATTTTCTTACTTGTACTCTGTATCATCATATTCAACTGTATTTTTTTAAAGTAAAATCTCATTTATAAATATTTAAAAATAAATAAGACTTATTAACATTATCAATCATATCAATTACACTACTTTATTTGTCATTATTATAAATTATAAAAAATTATTTATTTTTTATTAACTTTATTATCAATATTGCGTATAACTTTACTTTCTATTTCAATTTGTCCAAATTCCCTATTTTTATTTTATTTATGTTTCCCTCCATTATAATAAATTAAACTTATTAAATTTAATGCAATTCAAATCTACAAATGAACACAATTCACATTTTAATTAAAATACAAAAAAAAAACACTAAAATTCCAATAAATGGCTACACATTCCATCACCAAATTCAGACTAACTAAATCAATAAACAAAGAATAACTCAAATTATTAAAATAATAATTACATGATTCAAATCATCATGATTCTCAAACCAACAATTCACAATAAAATTAAAACAATCTTACTCAACAATTGTAAAATCTCAATTCTCAAACTCTAACTTTTAATTCTATTTTCAATGAAATTTAATAATAATAGCCATTTTCATATACTCAAAATTGCACTTACCTAACACAAAATTTTGATTTATCATTAAATATAATCCTTAGAAAATTATCTATTCAAAATCAATATGAGATAAATAAAAGAATAAAAAGTTAGAGAAAACATACTTAACCAATAAACAATACTAATGAAGGAACTATAAAAGAGGATTAAGAATTTTGATTTCAAATTTTTTATATATTCAATTAATTATTTTTTGAAAAAGATAACTTAGTTTATTAGTGTATAAAATTCATGCAACATTATTCTTGATATATTGAATAATGATATTATAATCATTTATTATTGTTTAAATTATGAATTTAGAATTTTTACATCAACAAGATATCTCATTTTTTTAAAATTTTTATTAAATTAATCTCAAAAGGATTAATTTAATATATTGGGAAAAAGTTATTTTATTTAATAATAATAAGATTTAATATACAAATATATATATATCTCAAATTTAGCTGTTTATTGCTTACTATATTGTATTAATTAATATTTTACAATTAGATCATCTGCTATTTCCTTGTTCAATTTAAAAAATTAAGAAAATTTTTAAACTATATCCCTGACTAAATCTGGCAATAGTTTGAACATTAACATATGTTATGCAACTTAAGTAAGAATACTTAAAATACTACAGTTGATATTTTCTTTTGTTCCCTTTTTTATCTTAGATATTTAATTTATAATAACAGATTCCCAATAATCACGATATTACCAAATTTAATGATTCACTAGCATGTTCTACATATACTTTGTTTAATTATCTTTAGTAAATAATCCAAAACTATATTGGAGTAACTATTAAGCCAATATGGCATTCTTATTTTCATAACACTTTATTTACTAACTAATATAATTACATAATCCAAAATTCCATTAGAAATATTTGTACATTAAATAAATTCTTATTGAGTTAATTAAAATGTATTTGAATGAAACTTTTATGATAAGAAATTTAAAAATTCTTCTTATTTTTATAATGACTCTTATATTTCTTTTGTTTCTTATTAAATTTATTCTTCTGTTTTATCAAGTCCAATAGGATAAATATTAGTTGTATTTATTTATTATTAACCTTACATATCCAGTAATTTAGTAAGAAAAGATTCTAATTCTATATTATAAGTTTCTTATTATTTTGTCTTTTTAATGAATTCCTCAATAAATTAATTTTAATCTTAATCATGTAGTCTCTTAAATTATAATTTATTAAATTACATCAGACATCTTTTCTAAATCATATAAATAATTCTTGGCAATAGAGGACTCATATACAAACACTTTTAGAATACAATCCTTAATTGTATTGAGTCTCTATAAATTTAATTATTAGATTTAATCTAATGTTGTTTCTGCTTCTTATTCATTCAAAATTTGTTACATTTCTAATTTTACTTCTAAATAGTTCTCCTTTGCTAATAGATATTCTTTCTTACATTAAGCAGCTCTAAACATATTGAACCTAATTATACTTATATTTTTATTTTTCAAGTTTCTCTGGTTAACAAGCAGAAAATACAAGTTCTAATGCACCTTCAATTTCATATTCTCTTTTTTTATTCTTTAAATATCCTTCAGCTGATTTTACATTTGACTTAATTGATTATAATTAGCTATCCCATAACTTTACAAATTCTATGTATTAAGTTGCTTTCTATTAAACTAATAACTATTTTATTAACTCTATTTCTCCCTTTATTTCTTCAGCAAATTATGATGATAATTATGCTCTGATTCCAAAAGATGCACTAAAAAATTCATTAAGTGGAGCCAATTTTGTTGCCAATTTTTCAATTGCTTTTGAATACTTCATCTCTATCTCATATCTATCTTAAAGACAATCACATATTATTCCTGTTTGTTGCCATCCTAAATTTGTATTAGAAATAATTGCTTAAGCCTTATTTTTCAATTATTGACTATATAACATATAAGAATTTTAATAGTTATTTGAAGAATTTTCTTTAAAAAAAAAATGATAATTAGCATTAAATAAATATATATCCATACTTAATAACAAAATATTAGATTTATAAAGATTTATGTTAGAAATATTATAATATAAATATCATCTTAAATGTTAAAGCCTTTTTAAAGTATCTAATCTTAAGTTGTCCTCACTTCAATTAATAAGATCGATTCTTTGAATAGATAATCTTTAGTATTTAATTTTACAGAATTATCTCTTAATATTTGATTTAAGAAATTATATTTGAAATAACTTACTCTTATATTTATTCTGTATTATATTTTGCATAATTCGTGCTTTAGTATATGAATAAATATTTTCATTAAAACTAATTTAAATATCATCAAACAGTCTATAAACAATGTTTTTCAAATTAAAATAACCTTTAGCAAAGAAATATTAAAGGATAATTTTTAAACATTCTTGAACAATATTTTTATCAATAAATCCACTAAACATTATGGATATAATTGTAACAAAAATAAATGGCATGAACAAAAATTAGTGAATATATTTCCTTTATGATACAACCTTGGAACCTAAAGACTAGAATTTAATTCATAGTTTATTAAATCCATCATATACAAAATTAAACTCATTAGTGTTGTTTTTATAATACAGATAATCATAATTTTTATTTATTATTTGATTATAAGTATATTTTATTAATTAAAAAGATTTTAGAATAGAAAACTCTATAAAAATGGATATAAGTTATTATACAATAAAGTTCATGATTTAATCTTTCCCTTTTTATCTATATTTTTACATTTTTATCATATATATTTCCTTTGTTTAATGCTAATTAACTCATCTAGTGTGTCAGTTAATAAAATTATTATATAAATGAAACTTGTTTAAGTAAATAATAAAATTTGAATGAAATTAAACTAAAAATTATTAGAAAGACTAGATGAGTCTTTAGCTTAAAGTTTTCTTCTTAAATACTAAGAAGAGAAAAATAGAAAGGTTGCTCCAGAGGAATTCATCAGTGATGATTATAAAGGAAATTTTAGAGTAAGACAAGTTGGAGATCGGCAAGAAAATATGAAGAAAAGCAAACTTGATGCTATGTCTACTGCCACATCCAATTTCTATAAAGAGACAGCCACACCTAATTCATCTAAGCCTCCTTCCTCTATTAATACATCTAAATTATTAGATTAAAGTAAGATCTCCTCACTAAAGCAATCTATTATATCAAACAGAATTACATCTGCTTAGCCAGCAAGACCTTTAATGATTAAAAAATTGTAAAAGAATACTGAATAATTATAAATTGAACCTAAAGAACAAAAACCTCCAATATTTGCATTAAAAAGATTGTCATCTGCCAAATAATAACAATAAGATGAAGAAAAGTCTATCATATAGAATTAAGAATCTAGTCTTAATAATTCTTTAGTAACTAAGCCTTCAATATTAAGAAGATCTTCATTGACATCACATGGAAAAAAAATTGAAATAAAAAAAGAGGAAGAAGTTGAAACAAAGAAATTGTCTTTACCTAAAAAGTAAGAATCTCAAATATCAGAACCTATATTTTAATTTTAAATTGCCAAAAAGAAAGTTGATGATATGATTTACGATATTATGGATATAGATACTTTATAAGAAATTACAAAAAAAAATGAAGTAAAAATATATCTCTTAATTCTAGAGTTAGTTTGATTAAATTACATCTATTTAATTTAGATTCAATACAATGAATGATTCATTATATATGTTAGGAGAATACTTATAAAATTTACAAGAACTTAAATTGAATAATTCATAAATTGAATCAATGAGATTATTAGGAACTAAATTGAGAAACTTATAAATTCTTTGGATTAATAATTCTAAATTAACTGATATTTCAGGTATAATTATTAAATTTATCTATTTTTTAGGAATTATGAGTATGCCCAATCTTGTAGAGTTTTATTGTTCATTCAATAATATAAAAGACATAAGTCCATTGGCATTTCATGAAAAAATATCAATTTTAGATATTGAAGGTAATGAATTAGCTGACGAATCCTAAATTGATTATTTAGAATCTTTAAATTTACAATAATTGTTTATTAGTTCAAATCCATTAATAAAAGATGATAATTTGAGAGATAAACTCCATTAAAAATTACAAGCCACAGAAATCTATATTGATGATAATGATATACCTACAGAATCTTAGATAATTTCAGAAAATAGTCAAATCAAATAGTTATATGATATAGCAGAAATGATGAATTCAAAATTTGATGTATTTTTATTAAATTAAACTTAGCTCATAAAAGTAGAAGATTTGAAAGATTTAGAGGAGAAAGTCAAAATTTAATTAGACAAAGATATGTTGGAAGAACCTGATGAAGATAGATTACTTAGTTTAGCAATCAAGTAAAGGCCTATTGAAAAGTCAAAATTAAAACGACCATAAACTGCATAAGTTCAATAAAATTATAATGTAATAATTTTATTATAAATTATTATTAGCCTGATCCTACTTCAGAATTAATTGGATTAGATGAAGCATTTGCAGGTAATCCTATTAAAGCAGCAAAAAAAAACAAATAAAATAGGGAACAAATTTTTGATCCTACTGATAGAAAAAGTATTGACATATAAACTTTATTAAATAAGTTCAAATGAGTAATGTAGTTAAATATAAATATATAGAATCATTAATTTCTAAGGTCATCTATTATGCCTTTTCTCTCTAATTCATTTATTTCTTCTTTATCATACCATTTTACTCTCTTTCCTTCTACCCATTCTCCTATTCTCATTACATTATCACTTGAATAATAAATTCCAACTCCATGTTATTTACCTCCCTACCATATTCCAATATATTTTCTTCCATCTTCCCAAATGAACACTCCTTTACCATGTTTCTTATCGTTTTCATATTCCTCATTTATTATAATTAAAAATACTCCTTTATATTTTCTTCCATCTGGCCATTTAATTTCACCCTTACCATGCATTTTATTTCTCATCCATTCTCCTACATACAATCTTCCATCTGGCCATTAATAATTCCCAAAGCCTTGAATTTCATTATCATAAAATTCACCTAAATTGTGAGTGCCAGTTACCTTGATAACAAGAACCATCAGCAAAATTTAATTTGCCTTTGCCATGCTTTTTACCTAACTAATAATCTCCTTCATATTTAGCTCCATCTGGCCATATCTCTATACCTCTTCCATGTTAACTATCATTTAACCACTTACTAATGTGTTAAAACCTATACTTCTCCTTAATATTTGGCCCCATTCACATGTACATAAGTCCCTAATCCATTTGCAGCATCATCTACCCAATCCCCATCATAAACATCTCCATCAGCATGTATAAGTTTTCCCTATTATATTTATTCAATTTTACTTTTCCACAAGATTTATCTTCTTTCCATTCTCCTTCATATATAGATCCATCTGGCCAAGATTATTTTCCATATCCATCTCTCTTGCCTTCTAGCCATTCTCCTTCATATTATGCACCATTTGGTAATAATATTACCTAGATATTATATCATTTTTACTGAAAGCTTAATTCTCTCTCCTACTCCTACAGTCTTTTGTATAATAGGATTTTAATTTGCATCTTAAATTTGAATTGGAAGATTCTTTTCAATTTACTTAATGGACATCTTACTATGTTGTGATGATGCCATTAAATCAGAAACAGTATCACTTTTCTTTTTTTATGTTTTATTCTCAACTTTTTCTTCCTCTTTATTTATTTGTTGAGAATGTTTTGACTTTTTAGTTTAGATTTCTAGAGATCTACCAGAATTTTTTATAGTTAAAATCTCTTCCTTAGTACAACAAGTATTCATTGTACAGGTTTACCCCATATTTGGTATTTTGAGAAATAAATATTAATTCTTTGAATTGAAAAATAAATTTTTTTGTAATAATCAACTAATCTTACAACAACAGAAGATTGAAATGTTAATTATAATAGATATAATATTAATTTGAAAATCCTTCATCATTAAATAAATTAAATTATTTTAGATTCCTAATTTAAATTAGATGTTCTGACTTATTTCATATAAATAGTATAGTAACAAAACTTAATAATTATATATTTAAATAAATTATTTTCGACTCAAATTTACAATTAGTCATTATAAGTAATAATTAAATCACTATTCAAGCTTTGATTCTTGATTTAAGATTTTCAATCTAATCTACAATCTTAGCAAACATTCTTTCAAATAACTATAATTTAATTAGAATTTACTTCATTCACATTCTCACCTCCAGCAGCACTACATATCATTCCTTCAAATCCCTTTTTCTTTGCATAAGCAAGAATGTCTCCACTATCAACTTCTTTATTCTTTAAATCAGATTTATTCCCTACTACATAAACAGCTGCTTATTTTAAATCTAATCCATTATCAGTCATCATCTTCTCCCATTTAGGTAAATTTTGAAAAGATTATCTGTCTGTTAAATCACAAACTAAAACAACTCCTTAAGCATCAGCAAAAAATGGATTTCTGATTTCTTTATAATCTTCATCACCTGATAAATCGAAGAAATTTATCTAACATGAATTCAAAACTTCATACAGCAACCTTCTTATTTTAAATCATCATTTTTTTAACACCATAGTCTACTCCTATTGTTGTTACATATTTATTGATGAATCTGCCTTCACAAAATCGTTTTATCAAACATGATTTACCACTCTAAGTATCTCCAACTGAAATGACTTTGATTAATAATTATTAATCTTACATATATATATATTAATATTTTTATTAAATAAATATTATGAAATTGTATTTAAATTTATTACTATATATTAGTAATTGACATCTAATTATTATTTAATTGTCTTACAAACAATTATTATTTAAATATATACTTAATATATTTATTTTTTTAATCCAAATATATAAGTGCAAAAATTAATTCTTAACGTTAATATTAAAAATCTAATTTTCTGCAATAATGAGTTAATTTTAAAGACCTACTTCATCAAGAAAAGGCACAAATAATCTTCCAACATAATCAGGTGATTTAGAAGAATATATGTATTAAATAAATTATATAGTAGTCAAATATTATTTGATCATTAAAAGAGTTGTGAGAAAGCTGGAAAGTATTTGGAAGCAGATTAAGCTAAAAAAAGATTAGCAGAATTAAAAAAAGAATTAGATATAAAAAATAAAGGAGATGTAAAAGATAGACATTGTTCAGAGAAATAAGAGATTGAGAAAGCACATCTTGAAGAATTCAATTAATTTAATTAATTTTGGGATTAAAAGATGATAGAGTTTGATACTGAAGCACAAAAGATTAAAGAATAAACACTTTAAAGACATGAAGATGAATTAAGATAATTTTCTGAAGAATTAGAAAATTCACTTCCTTTAAAACCAAAAGATTCAGCTGAGCTTTTAGCTTTGAAAAAGACAGAAGAATAATTGGCTAGATAAGAGAAGTATTTTATATAATGTTATATATTTAGTTATTTGGAAGCTCATGTAATTCAATCTAGAATTTAGGCATAAGAAAAAGATGAATATGAAAAATGGACATCATGTAGATAATAAAAGATTAGAAATTTAATTACTCAATTAAGATAGAAATAAATAAATGAATTGAATGCTTTAACATAAAGAATATTAAGTGGATAAGAAGAATAAAGAAAAATTCGATCTCAAGAATTAGAAAAGTGAATTTTTTGATCTAATTTTAGGTTACTATAAAAATATCAAAATGTGAGAAAAGAATTAGAAAGTCAATAAACTTAAGAAATTACTAGACTAGATAAGACAAGCAAAACTTAATGTATAATATATATATTTAGAATTTATAGCTATTATGTAATAATCCAGAATGAATCAATCAAGAATGTAATAAAGTTAAACAAAAGATGAGAATCAGTATATAAGATGATATTTAGTTAATATACTTTTATTATATATAAATTAAAATTCAATATGGGTTCAGCATGCATTAAAAAGCCATCACATTCGTAAAGATAATAATAACAGCGATAAATTTAATCTCGACAATCATAAAGTACAAATGTATCAACACATTAAAACACACAACGTCAACCTTCAGAATCTTAATAACCTTAATAGCAAACTAACTAGATACATATCAAAGAAAATTCATCTAAGCTATAAATGAATAGTGGAGTAAATCATTATTATTATTTAGTTTACTTCACCAAGATCTGATTTAAATGATAAAACTCTACCAAATAAGAACGAACTAACAAAAGTCGAACCTTTGAAACATCGCTTTCTTTAATAAGAATCTGATAGCTATCTTTTCAAAAATAATGACGCCCCTGATTCTGATATAGCAATTTAAGTTAAAGAACCAGATTTAACTAATCCAAATGTAGCTAACGTATTTAAATCTCTTTCTCCTTTTTAATATGATCCTGACTTCAATAAAAAATTTAATGATTGCATTTCTTTACCTCCTCATGTAATTATAATTACAATCCAAACTAGTAATTCATTAGCACCGGAATTATATATGTAGGTTAATGGAGAAATAAATAAAAACAAGGCAAAGGGCGTTAGTATTGGCCTGATGGAACTTATTATGAAGGATATTGGTAAAATCATGGAGCAAATGGCAAAGGAAGGTTGATTCGATCTGATGGCTCATATTATGTATTGAATAATTTATCAATAAATTTAAGGAAGGAGAGTGGGTCGATGATTTACAATGTGGATTTGGTAAATATGTTGATTGTGAAGGTAATATATATGAAGGAGAGTGGAAAGATGACGAAAAGGAAGGTTAAGGAAAAGAAATTTGGAAATCTGGAGATACTTATATAGGTTAATATTAAGGAGGTATGAAGCATGGGAAAGGATAATATATATGGTCTAATGGAAACTGTTATGAAGGAACTTATTATAAAGATTAAATTGATGGATTTGGCACCTATAAATGGCCAGACGGTTAAGTCTATACTGGAGAATGGGTGAAGAACTAAATGAATGGAAAAGGTACATTTATTTGGGCTAATGGCAATAAATATGTTGGTGATTACAAAGATGATAAAAAGGAAGGTTATGGAGTTTTTTCTTATTCAGATGGGAAAACCTATAAGGGAATGTGGCATAATGGAAAATAACATGGAAAAGGAATATTAATAGAAGCAAATGGGACAGAAATTGCTGGCGTTTGGGAAAAGGGTAGATTAGTTTAATAAGAGTGAATCTTAAATTTTTATATATTTTGCTTCAATAAATAAAATTGAATTTTCCATATTATAAAAATACCATTATCATTTTAAAATTTAAAGTGTAACAAAAAAGTTCTAAAACTCTTTAAAATTGTAATTTTAATAACTTTATTATTTAATTAAAATTATTTTAATATATAATTAAAACTAATAGTTTAAATTACACTTTAGAAGTTAAAGATTTTTGAAGCCCATTTAATGAAAATAACTCATAGGTATATTTTCAACCATCTTATTACATACAACTAACCATCTAGGTTCATTTATTTTATGATTTTTGAAAAAATATTTGAAATTTCATAAAAATGAATGTAATGTCCATAGAAATCAATCAATTTTGATGAAGAAAATAATTTTTTCAATCCTTATTCTTTAAAAAGGCTTTTAATAGGAAGATAAGTAGTAGAATACAATTTTCATTTATTCAGATTTAGATTTTATTTATGATGTACTTCTATTAAGAATTAATATTATTTTCATAAAAATCTTAATAATATATTTTGCATTCATTCTTTGTTAAATAATTTATTAATTTAGTGATTCTTAAATATTGCTTATTTAAATGATGTTAAATACAAATATTAATTAAATTCTATCTGAATTCATAATTTTAGCGCTAGAGCTTTTCCTGTATACAATCCTTTTAAATTCTATTGTTTGCAGCTTCCAAATAGGATAAACGAACAACAAAAATTCAAAAGAGAATAATTGGTCTAGCACGCTGTTTACTGTATCAATTTATAACTATTTTAATATTGTTATAATTAAATTGAGTTAAGGGGATAAAAAAAATAAAAACATAATAATATATTTATGAAGTTAAAGATATTCCTGGTTTAAAAACAATTAATATTTCTGAATAAATTCACTTTTAATTTTTTTTTCCATTTTTATATTCTTAATCACATTAATCTATATCATTGTTATTAATAAATATAATATATTTATCATAATTTAATATTATTATCAAAAGGTTAGAAAATATAAATAAATAATTGATTAATTTAATGTAATAATTTGTATTCTATAAATAAATACTCATAAGTTAATTAATTCCAAATATAATAACTCTCTAAGAAATATTATCAATCATGTTTGAATTAGATAATAAAAAAAATAAATAGATTTATTTATATTTTAGTAGATTTAACTTATAAATTATAATCTATAATAACTATATACTCTAAACAGATTTAGAATCTCTAATTTTTATATTAATAATATCTAATAGATGAAGCTTATCTTAGTATCCTTTAAAAAAAGATTAGAATTAAATAAAATAATTAATGCAATTTGTAGAATAAATAAAGGATCTGTGTGAAGATAATTAAAATTGCAAGAAAGAAAATTGTTAAGATTTACATCCCAGAATTTTTGTTGGAATTTGCATTCCTTATTTGCATAGTAAATGCAAATAGAAATCTAATTGCTAACTAAAACATGTAAATAAGGAAAAACTTAAAGAATTATTGTAAAGAAGTCTTATAAATGGAGTTTTTCAATTTAATTTATGCAGAGCAGGAACTACTTGTACTAAATCTAGTTGTTAGTTTTTACATAGAGAATGGATGAATGATATATGCCTAGACTATTTTGAAGCAAGCTGTTAATAGAAATAGGGTTGTAATTTGAAACATATTTATTGGAATAATTTGGCAAAGGAAGTATATAAGAAATACAATTAAGAAGGTGTAAATCCAGAAAATTATGACCCAAAGAATATTAATCATATATTTCAATAATCTTTATGTACTGATTATTTTGAAGGAATCTGTCCATATATAAGAAATTGTCCAAATAAAAATCATATAGATTGGGAAGATGTAGGAAAAGAAAATTTTTATAAGAAAACAAATTTGAGATAATGTACTTAGTAATTTAATAATACATAATATGGGTCTGTTGAAATAAAAGATACAAATTTTATTGATCATTTCTTTGAAAGATTACATAATGAATTAAGGAAGAGACAAATAAAAAAATCTAATGTTTTAGATGTCTTATTTATTATAGATAGCACTGGAAGTATGACAGATTATAAAAATATTGTTTAATAAAGTATTTCAACAGTAGTAAATTAATGTACAAAGTTGGTCAATGATTAAAAATTAGTAAGAGTGGGAGTAGTAGGTTATAGAGATTTTGATGATGATAAAAAAATAGAATTTAGAGAATTTACTAATAATCATAATTTGATACATAATTTTGTATAGCAACTAGAATTTAAAGGTGGAAATGATGATCCTGAAGATTTATTAGGAGGTCTTTAAAAGGCTCTTCGTTTGGATATAAGTGGATACTAAGAAAGTTTATTATTTTTGTTCTTATTTTGTGATTCACCATCCCATGGACCATATCATTTAAATTTATGTGATTTATATCGAGATTCAGTTTAAGAAGGATAAATTGAAAAAGTAATACTAAAATTTTATGGCCGTAAAAAAGATAGGACTTTTTTCATTGGTTTTAAATTTACAGACTAAACTGATTATATGTTTGAAAAAATAAAAGAAGCACTTCCAAATGCTATTATACTTGAAGCCAATGATTAAAATTTACCTGAAAATTTAAGTTAACTAATTGAAGGATCTTATAAAAGCTCAATGATAGAAAACCCAAAATAAGAGAAAAAAATTAAGGCAAGATTTATTTATACTACTTGTTTAAAATTTGAGATTTCTGATTATGAAAAAATTGATTATTGTAAAAAATTTCTTGCTTATTAAAAAGAAAATGAATCTTAAGAAATGACAATGCTTATAATATAAGAAAAATGTATTGAATTAAAAGGATAAGAAAAAGGAAATAACTGTGATATTTTTCTAGGATTTGATATATTAAGAAATAGATAGATTGTAATAAAAATTCCAAAATATATTATTGAATCATATAATAAAAAAAAATAGCTTACAGCTCAATAAGAGGAAGAATACAAAAAATTTTTAGATACTCGATATCTTAGTTTATTAATAGCATAACATTTAGCTTATCATTTTAGGATTGCTACATAAAACATTTAGGAAGCACCTCCTATCTTTTTTGCTTCACCTGTTAAATATATACTTGATGAACCATTCTTTGGTAGAACATACTTATTTGCTGAATCATACATTAATAGACCTAATAGAAAATGGTAAAAATATACAAATAATAATCGTTATTCTGATCATTAAGAGTATCATTATACTGCCTTTTCACACTACACTTATCAAATGACAGGAAAATAATTGGTAATTACAGATTTATAAGGAAAAGAAAATGTATTATCAGATCCTGTCATTCATACACTTGATAATCAAATCAAAAAAATTCTACAGGATAAACACAACTTCAGCTAAAAAGGACTTGAAGAGTTTTTCGACGGGCAACATCCAGACTGCCACAAATTATGCAGTGAACTTAAATTATATGAATATAATAGAGGTGGGGTTCTTACTATTGATGAATAAAAAAAGAATACAGGATGGATTAGATAACCTGATGAAATTTTGCCTGGTATTTGTGAAATTTGTGGATAATTTACAAAGTCTACTTATGAAAATTATCAAAAGTAAAAGTCTAAAATGGTTTGTGAAAATTGTTTAGATGGACAATTGGAATATATCGATATTACTTGTCAATGTTGTTTAAATGATTACTCTTGTTAAATCAATATTTAGATCAAAAATTTGCAATTACCAGAAAAATGTTAAGATTGTAAATAATACTGTATTGAGGGTAATCAGAATAAATGCTTGTATTGTGATTCAATTTGTAAAAAAAGACTAAGGCAACTCTAAATTTAGGATCAAAAAATAAGCATATGTTCTGTAGCATAATAGTTTCTTAATTCTCTAAAATGCTATTATTGTAAAGCCTTTTATAAGTTTGATATTAAAATAGAAAAAGAGAATTACGAAAAATCATTTTATTTATGTTTAAAATGTTAATAAAAAGGTTTAGACTGAGTTTTACTAATTTTTTTAAAAATTTAATCATTAATAATAAATTTTTATCAATGTTAAAATAAATCTCATCTTTTTTATTATTAATATATTCTTATTCTTTTTTTTTTAAGAATCAAGTCTTAAATTAATGTTTAACTATTTTCATAAGAAATGAATATAATTATAATTAATATTAATTTTTATTGTAACTGATAAACTTCACAATTTTGGTATTTATTAAGGAACTTCCTATATACCTAATACCTTCTCTAAAGTATCCAATCCATATTTAGAAGGAGCTCCTGTTTCCTTTAATAAATTTCTATTTAATCTAGAATTTTTCAGATATTCCTTATTCATAAATTTTTAATGCCACTCAATCATTTTATCAGTACCAGGTGTTTATAAACCAAGCATTTCTGATAAATCCTAAAATTCAATATTATGATATAATTACTTTAAGTATACATAATCCATAAGGAATATCTTCCCAAAAGATTCTAGCTTCAGTATTTAATTAAACACCTCCTTAAACAGGTTTAGTAGGTATTTAAATAGTAGCATATCCAGCATTAGTTCTAAATACAGTTTTCAAATTAGATTTATCTTTAACTTGATCACCATATTATTAAATAATTCTTTCCTTAATTGGTATAATTAGATCTAAATTAAAATGAGGGTATCTTTTGAGGATCTCTCTTTTGATAGCTTAGATTTCATCATCCAAAATTTGGAGCATATAGGCACTAAAATCATCAAAATCTTCATAAAATGTAGGTACTTCACTAGGTTGAAAAACTTATTTACCATCCCAATTCTAAAAATAAACATAATTATTCATACTCGAAATACAGCATAGACTCTAGCAGGATGAATGATTTGATTGCTAGGAGTTAATGTTAAAGTTAAAAAATTGGGTGCTTAAAGTACAGGAATTTAAAACATGTTCTCCAATAATAAAAAGAGTTCTTCTTTCCTACTTAAATTTGAGAGTGCACATTAAAGCTTAGTTTTTGGACCAATTATTCTTACAGATTCTCCATATTTAAAAATTTTGCAAAGCCAAGGAATATTATAAAGACCAAAGTAAGTGATGTTATCGGTTTTGATTCTATCTCCAAAAACGCTTCTGCACATCCATTCAAATCCACCTTATGCATATAATGTACCCTTTATTCTATTTATAATAATATTTACCACAAATGAATCCTTTGTTACAAATGGAGCAATTTTTTATAATATTTCATGATGAACATGAGCTGGTCCTCCTATGATCCATAATTTTGCTCCAGGAAAATCTTAAGGATTATTAGAAACCTTATTAATTTTTCCTTAATTATTGAAAATTAAAGAACATACCAACAAAATTTCCAAGTGATTCCCATGGACTTCCTTTGGTCAATCCTACAATTTCTTGTTTCCAATCTTGAGGTTTTCTAGTAAAGACATTCACTTAAATGTTTTCAAAACGACCTGCTGATGCTACAGTGGCATGAGAACCATTTCCACCTCCACATACGACAATATTTGTTGGAATCATTTAATTTTATTTGATTAATTAGATTAAAGTGAAAGTTAATACAAAAAAAAATAAAAAATTTTTCCGATACCGGGGATTGAACCCGGGTCCCCAGGGTGAAAACCTGATATCCTAACCACTAGACTATACCGGAAATGTTAATAGGTTAATTAACATTGGAGTTATATTTGGCAAAAATTTACATATTATATTTCATTATCTTTATAATTTTTCAATATAATTCAATAATTCTCTTGGTGTAACTTATTTTCTATCTTCAGACAATTTAAATTTTTGCTAATAATGAGTATTATTCACAATATATATTGTAAGTTCTAACATCTTTTCTAAATCTAATTCATAAAAATTTTAATTCTATAAATATATATAATAATAATACCTTCAATTAATTAAATACTTCTATATATCTTTCAGCTTAATCTAATTAGAAATCTTTGTCTGTATATAATTCATCTGATTTGGAATCCAAAAGCATTACTCTTACATTTCTGGGAATGACTTGAATATCTTACTCATCAAGTTTTAGCAGTTCCTTCAAGCTTGGGTTATTTTAGAAACACTTACTTCAATTTATTTTGGTGTCATATTTTCCATTTTTTCCTTAATGATTTTGTCTATCTACAATTTTGGAAATATTTGTAATTTTTATGTATCACTCTAATGTTAATCATTATTACTAATATTTTATATATATGTATAATATACTTTTAAATATAATTACTTTAACTTCTTTGTAGATAACGTGCTTGGTGTCCTGTGTTTTCAGGTTGACTAAAGTATCTTTTCAATTCTAAAGGATGATTTTCTGGAATCAAATGTGATTCTTCCATAAGCTTTTCCAACAATTAAATTTGATCTCTCTTTAAACGATTAGCCTCTTCAGGATCGACATAAAATTAAAATTCCTCCATAACAGGTCCATCAGGTGTTAGATGTCTTTTCTTCATAAAATTAATTCGAAATTCATCCAAGATATCTTCTCTTTATTGAAATCCTTTAACTTTCTTTCTTCCTAATTCAGCAATAACATTATTTTGAATTTCAGCAATGTCTTTAGATTATTGTTCTTTGAGCATTTACTCTTATCGTTGATATTCTTAACGACTGATATTAGAGTGTCCTAATGATTGCCATTTAAATTAGTAATATTTTTGTTTGTCTTTCAATTCTCTCTGCCCCATTAAAAGTATTTACTTAAGAGTTTTAGAGTATTGAGACTCTTTAGAAGACTCATACAAAATATCCTATAAAATCTAAATTATTAATGAGAATAATCAACCTATTCAATATTGATAGATTCTATAGGACATCGAATAAGATTGGTTTATTCTGGATTTCGAATGGACTCAAAGAGTATTTGGTTTGTTTACTGTTGCTCTTTTGATTTTTTTTTTATAATAGGCAATTCAGGTTAGATTTCCTCAAAGATGTCGCTGTAATCATCATCCTTCTCTATCTTGTTGTTTTATTTTCGCTTAGTATTCTTTTTACTCATTTATTTAAATATTAAAATATCTAATTACAATTCACTTCTTTTTTTTCGGGGTTGTTTTTAAAGTTCTGAATGCATTAATCGAAAAATAGGTCAAAAAGACTCCTCCAAGGATTGGGAACACAAGCAAGTAATTGAAATTCATTCCAAAAACACCTATTGGAGGAACTGTAGATTGCATTTCATTTTGGGTTTCCTTAAGAAATTCAGTTTCCAGAGTTTTGATAATACTTGAAATGGTGTCATCTAATTATGGGTTTGGAATGAGGTCTTTGTTTTTCAAATCTTTTATATAATGAGTGTAATCAAAGCCCTTAACAACTTCTCTATAAGTTAAATGAAAAGATAGTCCAGCCTCAAAATCTTTGATTATCTAAAAACGCGTGTTAAATATGTATGCTTACTTATTTACTATCTGCGAGGGGAAGGGCAGTAAAACACTTTTTAACCATATAAACTCTTATATCATGTACAATTTTCTCTTTGTCACTCTATGAATAACGTTTAGCCACGGAATCAACTACATGATCAAAAGTCTTAAAAGCATAATGAAATTTATATACCTTGAATTTTTGGTTGTCTTATAATGTGATAAGCCAACATGAAGTGATAACTTCTATATTATCAGACACACCATGAACAAATTAGATGCAAAGACTTAGACAAAGAGCCAATATGTATGGAAACATGATTTATTGTATTATTATTAATTTAATTAATTTGTATGCCACCTAAAACGACAAAAGATCAGAAGGGTCGACAATTATTTAGAGTAGGCACACCATTAAAAGATGTGATACCATAGAGTGTTAAGAATCCACCAAGAGATCCAAAACCACTTAAAGGACCAGAATAAATTAATAAATAGAGTATGCAGGGTAAAATGAATTGATAAATGTTAAAGAATATCATCCATTTCCTGATCCAGAGGAATGGCCAGGTGATGAAGTTGTTTAAGCCATAAATCTTCTTTAGGGAGATGCTTAACTTACTAAGTGCAATTTTGAAACTGACAAATATGTTCCATTTTGGAGAAGACCTAAGAATTTTTTAAGATAAAGATGGCAATAGTAAATATATAATTGATGTTAGAGAATCTGAACATGAACCACCTTATATGGAAATGAGAGAAAATCGATATAATATGAATGATGATTATTATTAGACTAGACTTGAAACAATTGAAAAAATACATTTTATGGAAAAGGAAGTTGAACATCAATTGACTATTTGTGAGAGTTATGAGAGAATGGAAACATCTGAAGAAGTAGAATTAAGAAGAAAAGAATTTTTAGAAAAATAGGCAGCTTAATAAAAAAATAAAAAGGGTAATAAAAAACAAGCGGAGGAAGTATTTGATGAAAATCCAAAGATGACATCTGATGTTAGATTAAGTGATTTAATTTGTAATGATACATTACCACCTAATTCTCGTTGGATTGCATCATAATTATAACAGATTAAGGATAGAGATATTAAAGATTGTTTTACTCAAAAATCATTATCAAGCAAGATATATCCATAAAAGGATGGAGCACCAATATATAATCCAAATGGTAAATATATAGTCAAGTTATATTTTATGGGAAAGGAGAGAAAAATATAAGTTTCTGATCATATGCCTACAACATATGATGGTAAAGCATTATTGCCTCAAAGTGTTGATAAGAATCAATTATGGCCTATGATTATAAGTAAAGCAATATTATAATTATGGGATTATCAAAGTAAAGGTAGTTTAGTTGGAGATGGATTTGTAATGTATTCTTTAATGGGATTATTAACTGAAACTATTGATTTGAAAACTATTAGTGGTTGGGGTGTAATTGACAATATGATGAATAATAATCATTATGTCTAAAAAGATGTTTTTGTATCTACATATAGTTATAAAAATCAATCTAATTTAAATACAAATAATAGATCTAAGAAAGAATATCTATTAGAATTATTAAGAAATCCAAAAAAAGAATATGATAATTATGAAATTGCCAGAAATAAAAATAGTTCACCTTCATAACATTAATAAATTTAATAAGAAGAATAAGATGAATAATAAGAAGAAATGTAATAAGAGGAAGGTGAACAATAAATTTAAAGATTTAGAAAAAGTCAAAGAGGATTCTCATTTGAAAGTTTGAGTAGATCTTATTCTATTCCTCGTCCATCAATACCTCCAGGTAACACAAATCTTAATACTTGTTTCTCATATTCAATTGTAGAATAATTTTAGAATGAAAATGGGTTTAATATGGTATATGCATAAAAGAGGAGTGATAGAGAATTAAGATTGAGATAAGAATATTTTGATTTATGCAAAACACCTATGAATAAAATGACAAAAGAAGAAAAACTAGAATTAAGAAGAAGAAAAAAAGAAATTAAAGAAAAATTACAAGATGATGATAAAAAAAGGATTTCTTTAATTAGTTAATAACCAGTTAAACATAGATACTTAAGATTAAAAAGTGATGTCTAAGGTAAGGATCCAGTAATTGTTTTCAGTCCACTTGCAGCTGATGAAATATATATTGCAAAAAAATGTATAGCTAATAAATTGAATAAACCTCCAAATTATGATATCCCAGAAATTAAAGGAGATGATAAATCAGTTGTTTCAGCCAATATGAAGAATACTGATGATAGTTTTACTGTAAAACCTTTAGAAGATTTCTCTTCTGTTAATAATGCATAGGAACCATTTAATAGAGGAGAAGGAGGGTTTTGGGTACATGAAAAAGAATTTTTAAGTCTTTTTGATTACATTTAAATAGCTTATGATCCAAAGAGATATAATTTACAAATTTTGTAAATTCAAAGCAATCCAGATAATGATATTGCAAGTTATGATAATATTGAAATGATTATTGTTTAAAGAGATCCAGATTCTGATGATAATGCTTAAGTTGCATTTCTCTATGGATTTTAACCAAAATATTCTTAAGATAAAGATCTTAATGAATAAATTAGACCATATTCTATGTTATAACGATTTGATTTAGAAACATATGAGTCAATTTTGGATTACAAATTATTAAATTAATGTGTTAGTTCATAAATGCTATTATTAGATAATAAAAATCATATATTCAAAATGAATATATATTCACCACTTAATTTTACTATATGGTTTGCATCTAATAATAAAATCAATACTTAAAGTGTATTCGATTATTTAATTGATTATGAAAATTATCAAAAATAATCCTTCTAAATAGATTATCCATCATGTGAAGCCAATAGATACTTTGTGTATTTTAGATTCAAAGTTTTCTTGAATTCTAACAAAGAAAATGGATCATTTGTTTATAGATTGAAAAGTACAACAGATAATTAATTATTAAAATTCCTTAAAGTTAAATTATGTGAAATACCTCCTCCTGATAATAACTTAATGCTCACTACAATTGAGGGAGTTCATAAGAATTTATTTGAAAGTGAATCAATCATTAATGGTACTTAAAGAATGATGCTCAGAAGTTAAACTACCTACTATTTTATATTGGAAGGAACTCCTTAATACAATACATAAGAAGGCACCTTCGAATTAGATTTCTTAATAAATTAAGAATTTACTTTTACATAATTAGAGAATGTAGAGCCTGCTCGTTATTATGATAAATATGTTCCAACTAAATATGGTACTATTTTTAGGGAAAGAATATTTGCAAATGAAGCATAAGCTAGCATTTATGTTAGATTAACAGAAGGATAATAAGCTTAATAATAATAATAAGTAGCAAAAGGTAAATAAACAAAAGGAGGAGCTTAAGAATTAGAAATAGTTGAATCTGAAATGAAAGGAGAAAGACTTATTCGTTTAGAATTATTTCATGGAGATGATTTGATAGTATATAATTATGGAATTAATTCAGTCACACTCTCAAATATTACAATACCTAAAGATGAAAATTATGTAATATAAGCATCATTTGATCTCAGAGAATGGCCAGAAGCTAAAATTAAATCAGAAGAGACTGATAATTTATATTGGTTCACAACTATATTTGCATCAGATACTGTTGCACTTGTAAGAGATACAACAAAAGAAGATAAAGAAAAAGCAATTAAAAAATCATGGGAAGACAAAGAACCAGGAAGAGCTGCAAATGCTAAAAAATCAAGAACAAAATATTTAATTACTTTGAAAGAAGAATTAACACCTGAAGAATAAGCTATTGTAAATGCACCCAGAATGACAAAAAAGTAAAGAGAAGAAGAGGCTAAATAAGCAGCTCAAAAAAAGGGTCCAAAAAAGGATGATAAAAAAGTGGGTAAATAAACAAAAGTTGAGGCACCAGTTGAAATAGTAGCTTAATAACGATAAATACCTAAATCAGAAAACCATGTTAATGAAGCAATTACTTAATTTCTTTAACATTTAGAATAAGATAGAATAATGGATCATTATGCTAGACATGCTGGATTAATTAATGTAAGAAGTGATGTATAAAAAAGAGAAATTTTAGAAGGAATTCTAATGGGAAAGGAAGAGATTGCTGGAATAATCTAAAGAAATCTTAAAATGAGAGAAGAAATTAAGCTTCTTTAAAAGTATTAAATATAAATAGCTATTATAGGGATAATAAAGAGATCTTAATTAATGAATTTTAATCTTATAGATCATCATATAAATAAGAACTTGCAGAAATATATTAATAAAGAGATGCAATCAAATAGGATTTAACTTAATTAATGAAAAAAGAGTAATAATTATTTGATGTAAGATTATGTATTAATAAAAATAGTTATGTAAATAAGAAAAAGTTGGAAATCCAGAAGATGTTGAAAAATTAATTGCTGATCCATCTTAATTAGATCCTGTATTAGTAAGTGCTGCCAAATAAGTTATTAATAATTGGAAGATAGCAATTATTTAAGAAAAAATAAACAATGCATTATAAAACTTTGACATTGATACATTATAGAAATGTGTTGATTAGATTTAATAATTAAATATAGAAGGTATAGATACAAGTGCTGCAGATGATATGTTGGATGAAGCATCAGGAAATCCAAATTTTTAGGCAGAAAAATTAGCAGAACTTAAAAAGTAAGGTAAAAAACCAAATAAAAAATGAGAATTTATATTTAATAATATATTATTTTAATATTACACTTTATAATTAATTATTATTATATATGATAAATGATTCTATATATAATTAATTATATGTAAAATTATTAAAAAGTAATTTTATGCGCTTCTGATCTTCATCTAAATTTTGAAACTGTCTAATTGTTGATAGAGAAAGAAAAACATTAAAAATTTGATGCAGTTTTTTTATTGGGTGATTTTTTGAATTTGTAACATTAATAAGGAGAAGATTCAGAGTTGGATAATTTGAGAAAATTATTAAGTCCTTTTAAGTGTTTTGGTTGTCCAATATACTTTATTCCAGGAAATCATGATAGTGATGAATTATTATAGGATAAATTTATAGAGGAAGGATTTATAAATATTCATAAGAAATCATTATAAATACGAGATGATTTATGGATAGTGGGTTTAGGTGGTAGCATTCCAGGTAGTATAGAGATTTATCCTAAGGATATAATTAGAAAGGTTTGATTTGGTAAGGATATCCATACCAGAGTGATAAAGAGTATTAAGAAGATCTTGAGAAATTAATTATACCAGAAGAAGGGAAGATAATTCTAATAACTCACATTGGTCCTTCATTAAGTTAAACAACAATTAGTAGTGAAAATGGTTGGGATGATGTAATTAAATCTGGAAGTGATTCATAATCAAATTTGATTAAGAATAAGTAAAATATTATATTAAATGTACATGGACATACACATGATGGAGTAGGAAGTAGAATGATGAATTAATGTAAAGTAGTTAATGTTGGTCCATTACTTTATGGTAATTATAGTATTATCAGAATATCAAATAAAGTGGATAAAATTGAACATATATTTATTTGAAAATTTATATTTTAATTACGGATGCTAAGCAAATATTCAATTAGATCATTAACTCTATTACGTTTTCCAAGATATAGGTTTAGTTAATAACAATAACAACAAAAAGAGTAGTAGGATGAATGGGATGAGAGAACTATAGAAGCTGAAGAGGCTAATCCAACTTTGGAGAATAAAGAGAAAGCATTTTCATACTTTAGATTGTTTTCTAGGATATTTTGGTGGACAACATCAGCATTGTTTGGATATAATTTATATCTTAATAATTATAAAACTGATCCAACATAAGAATTGGGTAAAATAACAATTTATGAGTAGGTTATTAAAAACAAATTAATGATGCTGCCAAATATTGCTAAGATTAATATTAAGCATTTTATGATGTAAAAATCTTAAATCTAGCATTAGTTTATGACTAAGCCAGCAATTGATAAATTATTGCCTGATATCCCTGAATTACCATTTGGATATGAAATACCAAAGACTTTGGTACTTAATATCTCAGGTACTCTCTTACATATGGATTATGTTTTTGGTGTTGGGTATATATTAAAATAGAATATTTAGAGGAGAAATTAAAAGAAGAAATGGTTTATAGAGGTTCCTTGAAAAATTACCTAAGATGTATGAAGTGGTTATTTTGAGTGATGATGAAACCATGGTATTAGTATAATTATTATGCAGTTTACATAATAAATTACTTAAAAATTGGATCCTACAAGATAGATATTTGCAGGTGCTTTTGGTAGAGAATCTATGGTGTTTGAAAAAGGAAGATATATTAGAGATTTGAAATATATCAATCGTCCTCTTAATAGAGTTATAGTACTTGATTCTGATCCAGAAAGAATGTATTAATATTAAGACAATGGTATTTTCATAAAACCATTTGATGGAAAACAAAATGATGAAGTCTTGAAGGATGTACTTTTACTCTTAGAACGTAACAAATATTATAATAAAAACAGACCTCTCTAAACCTCAAATTAAGGATGTCAGAGCAGAACTTAGAAAGTTTGGAAATTTTGATCCTCAAGTTAAATACTTAGATGAAGTAAAAGCTAGGGAAATTAATATTAAATAAACAATGAACAAAGGGTTGTTTGGAATAATGAATCAAAGAAAAAATCCTTAATTTGAACAATCTAGAAGACTATGAAATAATTTAATTATCATATGTTTGTTATTTCTATGTAATTATTATATATAAATTATTATTAAGTCATAATAGTTTCATAAATTATTTCTTTTATTCTTATAATTTCTATCTCTTTAATCCCTTCTTTCTCTTTTAAATCTTTTAAAGTGCAAGACCTGCTTTATTAGTCATCCATTTTAAAGCTAATAATTTCCTATTTCTTTCTAGTAATTTGTTAGCATTTTATTCAAATGTAACATTATTTTATTACCATTTCAATAAGGTTTCAATAATAACTGATGTATTCTTATATTATTCCTCATACAATTCAATAAATTCTTATTTGACCATCTTTTTTGAATAATATTTTCCTAATATAGAATGGAATTCATCCTCTTTCTTCTCAAGATGTCTTAGTTGTTATGAAATAAAGTGGAAATCAATTGAGTTTGTCAACAACATAGAATAAAACGTTGACAATAATATCTTTCTTATTCGAATAAATTCATTTATTATATCAATTTATTAGGTAGTTTTTAATTTTCTTGGTAATTCGTATTCACCAAATACATATTAATATGGTTTATAGAATTATTACTTTTTTTCTTTAAAAGTTTAAATTATTTTTCTTGTTTTATTTTCAAGTTCTTCACTTTTTTATTATAAATTAGACCATTCATCTAAACAACTCTAATATGCATTATCAATCGTTTATACTGTTAATTTATTTATAACATTTAATTTATATAATTTAATACCTTTAGCAAAGAATAATTTAATAATATTAGAATTATCAGTCAGAGCATCAAATCTTTATTTTTAAGGAAGGTTGACTACATTCATAATTTATTTATATTATTCCAATTAATCTTAAGCAGTTTAATTATTAATGATTATTTTTATCTTATTTATTACATTAACTTTAATATCATCTAAATTCAACACTAATGTGTAGATGAGCATCATAGTTTTAAAACTGGTTATTTATGGTAGATTATTTTATAAATTAGACAATTGTTAAATTATTTTATCAATACCATCCTAATTTTAAACAGGATGGAAGTTTGTTTCATATAAATATGACTATTAATCCGGTTAAGTAATCTTATCAAAGTAAATAAAGTATCTATTTGGAATTAAGATTTAACAATTATTCTTAGTTTATAATAAATATCCAATTATGTTATTCATTAATAAATAAGTTAATTAACAATATTATTCATCTGGAGTTAAAAAATCTTATCTTACTTCTTGATAAGAGAAATATAGATCTGTGGCATCAGAAATAACATTATATTTTTTACATATTAAACATTCTAAGTATTGAAGATAAGGCTCATATTTGTTACATTATCCTTATTCAATTTTTCTATTAATGTATTGATAAGTGAAGTGGTTATTATTAGCATAATTCATTAAATGGATAAATTTTATCATAGCACAATGGAAAGATTATGAATCATTGAATTATTAATTGATCTTTTTTATAGCACAGTTAGTTATATAAGTTCTTGATTCTGATGATTAACATTTGATATATGGATTCTTCACAAGATAAATTTATTAAGCTTTTTACCCTTTTTTTTTTTCAAATAACAATTTCTGATTAATTTGATCATTCATTTATTTAGCTTTAAATCCTTACTTTAAATTATATTCTTTTTATATTTTCAAATAAATTTGTTATTATTCTTACTTTATCCAATCATCAACAGTTTACAAACTAGTGTTCTCTCTTGATTTTTAATTTTAAATAATTGAATTAGTGAATTTTTATTTACTGTATAAATAAATATTAATGTTTTCAAAGTGATCCTCATATTCATGTGGGTATAATTGATCAAAATGATATTCTTCAAAAGTAGCCCTCCTTATAGAATTTATGGAATTCAATTCATTATTAAGTTTCTTTATAATCAAAAATATTATAGAAGATCTTGGAGCACTAATGAATTCAAAATCAATATCTACAAAGTAATAATCATCTAAAACAATTTTATTTCCCTTCAATTATAAATTATGTCTGTTTTCAATTAAACCTTATATTATTACAGATGATCTGTGAATTATTAATGAATTAATATAAGGTTTGAGTAAAGTTACATTTTCTGGTTATCTGATTTTAAAGTAAAATAATACACTTCTAGTGACAATTTTTGATAATTTTTATAAGCAATCTTAATTTGTATTTAATAAAGTCTTGATAAATCTAATAGATTTTATTAATAAAGTATATGTTTTCACATCTAATTAAGTGATCCAAGATTGAGTCTTAACCACTCCTTAATTATGTACAACATATTAACAATAAAGTATAAGTAAAAATACAGATTAATAAATTTCTAATTCATCATGAATATTCTTGTAATCAAGTATAATGTTACATAATTTATTCAAAATATCTTCTGGAACTTCTTTTTTATTAATTAAATAATAAATTACTTCTTCACTCAATGAATACATTTTTGGTAGATTTTATTTTGGATTTAATTCAACTTTAATATTTTTTTGAATATCTAATGTATTATGTCTATAAAATAATGTTTATGGAACCTTATGATTCAATACCATTTATGTGATTAATTCTCTATAATATTATTCTAAGGTGATAATTGCAAATTCCATTTCTTATTAATCTTTTGGATAAGTAAATATTAACATATCAACACTTCTTATCATTGTTGAAAAACAAATATCAAGCTTCTTTTATATTAATGTTAATATTGTTTAATATACTTATGATAAATCTCTATCTTTATGTTCATTTTCGAAAATCTTGTTAGTTACTTAATGACTTAAATTGGTGTAATAAATAAACCTCCAATTTTTGAAATCCATAAATAATTTACATACTAATAATGAATTTTAAACATCCATTTAATATACAGTTTTCTTCCAATATCCTAATAAAATTAATTAAGAATAACATTCTAAACCTAATGAATTTTAAGTTGTTAGTTTGATATCATTAAATTTTAATGTAATGAATTCTGGATTAATGTTTTCAAAAACATTATGAACTGCAAAAGCTGCAACTAAACCTTTATCAATTTATGTTTATCTTTACTTTCCATTAATCAAGTATGAAACATTTAAACTAGATGAATGTAATGCAATTGGTGAATATGTTGATGCAATTGATACTAAATATCTACCTAATTGATCAGCTAATTTGTATCTATTGCAAACAAAAATACATAATTTGTAATTTTTGAATTATTCTAAAATATCTAATACCAAATAAATAAAGGAGATATCAACCAAATCTAAATCTAATATAAAATCAACCATATAATCAAATTCATTTTAATCAATTTATTTATTACTTAATTATGCAGATTTACTTCTTTAATTATACAATTAATATTTAAATTCATCTGAAAACATTGAGATATATTTAATAATTTACTACATAATTTAATCTTAAATAAAAATATCTGTTTTTGTTTTTACAAATTAAACATTAGGATTGCTTTAAATTTAAGCATAAGAAAAAGCAGAAAAATCAGATTGCTCACTCTTTTTTGATGCAATAGATTCAATAATAGATTTGTTATCATTTTTTAACCATTAATCTTCAGGATCAAAATGTGATAAATGTTCAAAGTTTTATTCATCTTCATCTTTTAATGTTTTTTCAACTTAAAATGATTCTGATTCTGTAACACTTAATATTTTACTATCTTAAACCTTACTTTATTCAATTTAAAAACTTTCAATGTTTTAAACAGTAAAAGATTCAGAATCTTCTGAATTATTATTCATACTAAAAATGGATGGTTATGATTAATCAGGAAGTGATTTGATTAATTAACTACTTAATTCAATAATTTATTCTTATTTATTATCTATTTTTTATTCATTTTTTTCTTTATTTTAATTTTTTTCTAATTAATATATTTCTCCCTCTCCTTCCTCATCATCTTCATCATCATCTTCTTCATCTGAACTTTCTTCAATAACAAGTGTATTTTTTTCTTAATTTATTTTTTGTTAATCTTATACTTATTCAAGTTATCCAATCTAATTTGTCATTTTATTTAATATTATGGGCAAATACTTCTTTAGAAAAGCAGATCTAGTTTCAACTGGAATTTTATCTCTCAATTAATGAATTACTATAAATATTTCTTCATATGCTTCTGCTTTTTCGCATGCATCTACTGCTCTAATAAAATCATTAGATTTCCTAAAATAATCTGCTGCTTCAGAATACTTTTAGCATTTATAAGCTGCTTCTCCAGCCTCATTAAACATTTAATGTTCAGCATATATATTTAATGCTTCTTAATACATCTCACATGAATAATAACATTAAGCTGCTTATTTGTAATTCTATATTTTCAAAAATAATTGAGCTGATTCTGAAAACTTATCTTTCTATTATTACTTTATTGATACTAAAAGTTATTTTTTATCTTTTTTCTTCATTGAACTAGATGAAGATTGTGAATATTATTAAATAAGGACATTACCTTATGTTGCAATTTTGAAAGCTCTTGCTTTTATTAAAAGTTATTCATCCTTAGATTATTCAAAGCATTTTTCAGCTTATTCATAATATTTGTTTCTAAACATTTTCAAACCTTATTTTTTCCATTCCTCTTTAGATGTTTATTTTGCAAACCTTTCAACATTTTTATCTTTTATATTTGTTCCAACAAAATGATCAATTAAATTTAGTTTTTACCAAATAGTTTAAATATATTATCTAGCTTAAGGATTTTCATCATATATTATCAATCTTTGTCTAGGTCTTGTTACAGCAACATACAATTATTTAATCTCATTACATAAAGAACTATAATTGTATGTTAATTCATCATAAAATTTTTTTTATGTTATAATTCTCTACACTATAATATTACCATTCCTTTCCTCAAAACCTGTAAAAATAGTTGCTTCATCATCTAAAGTCTAATGTTGAGTGCAACTATCTTAAAATTTCTCTTTAGATATTTCTTCATCAAGAATTTCACAAGTCTATAATAATTTCCATTAAGTATCTCCTATATAATGATCTTAGAAGAAATTAAAGAGGATTACATCATCAAACTCTAATCCTTTTGCTTCATAAATTGTTAATACAAGAGCATGCTATAAAATAGTAGGAATATCTTTCTTTGATTCTTAATCTTTTACAATTACAACTTAATTGCAACCAAATTCAATAGGTAATCTTTCCCCAACATATTATTTTTTATCTGCTGTTTCTCCAGACAAAAGATAAAATAAATCATCTTTATCTCCATTAAGTAAGATTGGTTTAGGACCTGAAATGTTTGATCTTTCTTTTTTTAATTTATCAATTGTATTTGGAAAAAAGATTTCTAATAAAGAAACCAAACTATTTGCTAATTATAATATATTATTGTGTGATCTAAAATTGATAGTGAGTTAATGAATTTTTAAATCATTTGATTTTGCATTATAAGAAATTTCTGGTTTCTTAAAAAGGGACTTCAAATCTTAAAATCTAAATCCAACACCTTTTGCAATATTTTAAGCAGTATCTCCACTAAAAAATAAACCTTATTCAGTTATTTTACACAACAAAAGTAAAACTGCATGAGGTAAATCTTAACACTCATCAATCATCAAATAATGAATTGGAATAAGATTACATTTTCCATAGACTAATTAAACAAGAATATGATTAACTACATCCATAAAATCATAATATCCTTACTAAATCTTCCATCTTTCATAAAGAATGTAACATTCATAAATTTCATTAAAAAGTTAATCATTTTTATTTAATCTTAAATATACTTTTTTAGGCATATAATGTCCAGGATATGTATGAGATGCTGCAGCACCTTTAATATGAGAGTATATTTGAGTCCAAACAAATGCTGGATTTAAATTATTATTTGAGTATCTATTTTTTTTACTAAACCAAAAATTATTTAAAAAAAAGTCAAAATCTACTTCTTAAGAAAGTTTAGTCATATTGCTCTCCACTTTAGATTATTATTAAGGTTTGTTCATTAAATATATTTGTCTTTAATATTCTTCTTCAAGTTATTATTCATCCATATCATCAATATTTAGTTCATTCTCTTCAAATAATGCTTCATACTCTTCATCATCATATTCAATATCTTAATCTTCTTCCTTTTTATAAGTATTTATAAATATGGTTCCTGTATTTTCATTGCTCCATTAAGCATGAGAATTAGATCTAACTATTTTGTTATCTTAAGTACGAGAAAAGAATGGATTTGATAATGATCCATCAATTAATAGTACTAACTTTTTAATTGTTAAAAATGCTGGAAAATCTGAATCTTACATATCAGCAAATGAATGAAATGCATTTAATTCTTATTTCAATTTCTCTTCCTCTTCTTCCCAATCCTCTTCATTTAAATCTTCTTAAAATCCTTCTTACTCTTTTTATAATTATATCCCTCCAATTTATTATTCAAAATATGTTTCTTCAATTTATTTAGCATCTAAAATTTAAACAGTACTTTAATTGAATTAATTCTCAATTAATTATTTTTATGATTCTTATTCTTATTCTTATTATTATCGTTTTAATCGATCTTTTTATTTCTTCTTCTCTAATTCTGCTTTAATTTATGCTGTTAATTTTCCATAATATCTTTTCACTTCTGTTGTCAATACAGGACTTGCAGTTGCAAAAACACAATGTAATCCAACATTATTATTAACTTCTTCATCATCATATTTATAATTCTAAAGTACATTTTCATGTTTCTATTTATATAATTCTAATCTTAATTTAAATAATGTTTCCATTGCAAATAATCTTAATATTGAACAAGTTGTCTTACCTGTCCCACTTCTACCAATAACCATAACATTTCCATCTGATCCAACAACTTCTTATTCCTCTTCAGTTAATTTTATTTTAAAATTTGGAACTTTTTATAATAATTCAACAAGTTTAGCTGCTGATGAAAAATCAGCATATCTTTTTAATAAATCTTTATTTATCTTAGCTTAATATTCTCTCATTTTCTTAGCTTATTAGATAACTTCATAGTCTTTACTAACCCATCTTTAAAGTTAATTATCATATTTAAATGATTTCTATTCTTATTTTGTTAAATAAACAGTTGGAAAAGTATGTGGTAACCATTTAATAATATCATTTTGTCTTTTTTTATATTCTAATTCTCCATGCATACTTCCTAAATCATTAGCTTCAATTGAAAATAAATATTCCTAAGATTAATGCTTCTTAAATTGATAATTTTTTGAGTTTGTTATCACTGCTTAATAATCTTATCTATGTATGGCAGTTTAAACATCTTAATAATAAGATGTAATTAATTTTGTTGCAATATAATCAACATTGCTATCATATCTACAATCAATGAATGTAATTGTATGTATATAATCATAACCTAACAAATCTTTCTAATATTCTTAACCTACTCGAGCAATTTTAGGAATTTTATCAATACCAACTTCCCAAAAAAGTGTAATATTTTTATCTGTTTTTGTATAGAAGAATGCCTAAAGTGGACCAAGATGTTCAAAATTTATTAATGTTGTAATCATAGATTAATCTGCTTAAGAAAAATACCCCATTAAAATTGTTTACATATATGCCAATAAATGTATAGTGTCATTATCTTTTAACAATGCATTTGTAGCAAATTTACCTAAATTTTATTTAAAAATATATACTCATAATTTTATAACTCCAACGACTACTATCTAATAAATTAGTATTCAATATTTAATAATTAACATTTTAGTTTCTCATTTCAACAAAAGGAGCATAATTTAAATCAACAAAACCAGCCAAAAGATTGTCTGTACGAATTTATGAATTTTAAGTTAACCATTTTTTTGCAAATTAATTTGGAGTAATGCTTTAACTTTCTATAATACAAAACGTCAATTTTTCATAAATGATATCAGAAATTTTTTATTTATTTTAATTTAAAATCTAACGAATTCCATCTTCTCCAGCTTAAAAAGTTTTCTTACCTTATTTCTTTCTCATAATTTAATAATATTTTAAATATATTTAATTGATAATAATTCTTTAACATTAATCACCACAGTCACTGATTATTTCTGATTTTTAGTACTATTTTATATTTTTTTTTTTAATTCGTTAATAATGAAGCCTTCAAGACCACCTGTTTGCACAATAGCAAACCCATATATCATTTATGATTAAAGAGTACCCAGACCAAACTCTACCAAGAATGTTACTGATACTCGATAAGTTATTAGATGCCTATCTTCTAATCATGAGACTCAATAAGTGACTTATGCTTACTTTCCAACATAACCAAGGTACTTTATTTTATAAAATTAGAGCTTAAAGTCCAACTGCTATAACTCGAATTCCTCATCAAGAACATATTGTTGTTAATTAATTTCAAAATTTGCCTACTGAGAGTATTCCGATGCAACATAAAAAAGCTATTAGTATGGAATATAATCCTCTCCAATAAGAACAATAATAGAAATATATATAAGAAATCAATTAAAAAAATTAAGCTATTCTTGATTTATAAGAATAGGTTTCTGAATTGTAAAATAGATTATCAGAAAAAGTTCATGAATATTCATCATTGAAAGATAAATTTGATATTGAATTCAAAAAGTTTTAGGAGGAAATTTAAATCTAAATAAAAGGAATAGATCTAAATATTTAACTTAATGAATACACTACTTATTTTATGTAAGAAATTGATAGAAAAGTACTCAATTTATAAGGTAATATAAATTCTTAAATTGATGAAATGAAAGCAGATTTAGAAAATAAACTAAAGTAAAATGAAAATTTATCAAAAAATCTACTGTCTAATACTACAATTAGATTAAATTAAGATGAATAACACTTTTAATAAGAACTTTAAATTTTATAAAATAAATTAGAATTAAAACTAGATAGAAATAGAGCTGAATAGATTATTAATTAATCAATTACAATCATGTAACAATAATACTAAACTTAATTATAATAAGCTCATTAAATAATTGCTAAAATTAATTCAGATAAAAGTGATGAACTTAATAAAATTAAAACAACTATTAATAATTCTTTAATATAGGTTAATCAATAAGCATAAAATTAGATTGAAACAATGTTAGAAATGGTTAAAGAAAATTCTAACAGTTAATAAACTGCAAGATAAAACTCTTAATAACTTAAATAATAATACAATTCTTTAGTTTCTAAATTTTCTTAAATTTAATAGTAATTTACTTTAAAGATTTAAGAAAAAGATGAAAAAATAAAAGCAATTTAAAAATAAAATGATGAACTTAAGAAAGAGATTGAATAGTCTTAATTAATAATTTAAAAATAATAATAGGAACTATATAAAATATCATAACATAATAAAATTATGAAGTCTCCTTGTGTATAATAAATATTATCTCCTAAAAATATAAAATCCAATAGTTTTTACACAAATTCAACTAGTGCTGGATTGAATTTTACAAAAAATAGACCTTAAAGTGTTTCTAAAAAAATGAAAAAATAACCAAATCCTCATCATTTTGAAATTAGCTTAGAAGATTTTGTAGATTTTAATGAGAATTCGATTTTAGATTCTAATGATAGTATAGAATTTATAACTGGAGATGGTAAATCAAGTAGAATTCAATCACCTAAAAATCCTTTTAAATCTTCATAATTAATTAATATCAATAGATTATTGAATGAAGATTTTACAAAGGCACCATAAATTGGAAATGCCAATAAGAAATAATCAGAAAACATATCTCCTTTACATTAAGCTATTAAAAGAAGTAATATATTCATATTTATATTAGGATTACTTTATTTAGGTAAATCATAAAAGACACTTCTTTGTACATATTCTGGAGAGTAATTATGTGATGCAGAAATGGGTATGCAACTTTTAGATGATAGTGGAAAACCATTCATCATTAGTGAAGCTGAAAAGAATGAACTAATAGCAAGATAACTTATAACACTTATTTGATTATTATTTATTTTATACACGTAATGTTTACTGTATTTGCAATTCTTTTTTATGGAGCTTTGAGTATACAGTTCACATTCCCATTAAGATCTAAGGAATTGAAATGCTTTGGAGAGATTATTGGATTAAATATTCTAGTTGTTGGTTCTGTTTAAGCAAATTCAAGTGAATATTCATTAAAAATACATGTAAAAATAAAACTAAATACAAAGATCCCATAAAAAAAGGTTGATAGCATTTTACAATATTCTCATAGTTTAGAATTACATAAGTTTTCATTTACAACAAATAACACTTAAGAAAATTATTAGTTTTGTGTACATAACTTAGCAAATGCTGGAGTGAATTTCAATTTTACTTTGGCTACAGGAATGGATGCATAAGATTTTTCTTTAGTGGCTTAAAAGGAAGATTTGAAACCTATAGAAATACATCTAAAGAAGTTGAATGGATTAATTAATTCAGTCGAAGTATATAATCTAATTATAATTATTCTAGCAAGAATAAAAAGAAATAGAAGAAAGATAAGCAATAAGATTTTCGAATGTTAGCAAGATTTCATACAAAATCATTATCTTTAGTATAGTCACTTTGATTTTGATGACATTAACAAATTTTGTTTAAGCTCGTTAATTGAAGAATTTCTTTAAATAAAAGAAGCTCATTTGACATAATTTCATATTTTTTGTTAATATATTATAATTATATTTAATAATAATATTCTTATAAACAATAAATATTTACAATACTTTTAATTTTTAACATATCAAAATAGATAAATATTAATAGTAAGCATTATTTTTAATGCTCATATATTTCTATATTTCACTTTCTTTTTGTTTATTAGGATAATAATCATTTTCCCCATTAATTTTAAAGAATTTAAGAGTATTGATATATAACATGATTTATTTATTAATCTATTTAAAACTATCTTTTAATAACATTATTGTTATTTCCAATCCTCTTGAATTATATTTATGAACTAAAGTTTCTGAAAATATGTAATATTCAAAAACAATAAAATCATATATTTTTTTATATTATTTCTATCACTTATAATAATTTAAATCAACAGCCACACCACAAACAGTAGCGGTACCTGAATATTATTTGATGCTGGGAGTTGTCCAACCACCAAATTTGTATTTAGGAAAGTCATCAAAAGTTGGTGTTTAATCATAATGAGGATACCATAATGGAAGAGAAGCAAAGTGAGAACATGCTGATGCACTTCCAAAAATGGATGTCCACATATATTATGAAGCATATATTCCTACAGATTTACTGTTTCCTTTTAATTCATTTACAAGTTCTTATAAGAAATTGCAATTGCTTGCATAATCATTTGTCCATTCACAACCAGTGCTAGGATTTGTTTCGACATCTACCCATACGGTTCCATATTCTTATGTTTACTTATTGCCAAATGTTTGTACAAATTCTGATACTTGAGACTTTACTGTTTTTTCTAAAAGGTTAATATAATATCAATATGATTACTTCCTTTACAAGGAAAGAAATATACATCACCTATTAATCCTGCTGCCTTAGCTTTTTACAAATTTTAATATCCATCAAGATCCACTGCTCCAAAACTTCTGTAAGCTCTAGTAATAGCAAATTAATATCCATTTTTTTTGAAGCAAGAGAAATCATCATGCTTTGCATGCAAATCAAATCCAAGTACTGCTAATGAAGTATAGATCTATAATGCTACAATTAATAATGATGTCATTTTCATTATTAAGAAATAAAAAATTAAATAATATAAATTTTATACTATTGTAATTTCCCAATCTAAAGTTTTATCAATTAAATAAAAAACATAGATTGCTATATTTATATTTAATTAAAATATATTATAATTTTATCCTAATAGATAATCAATAAATAGTTTTATAAATTGAATGACAAATTCAATTTTCAAAGTAAATTAAATAATAAATTCAAAAATTTTCTACTTATTATTAACTTATAAATTTATTGTAAGAAGATACTTAGATCTAATATAAAAATAGTTCTTTTAGGAATAGATTTTTAAATATTTTATCATAGAATTATTATTATTATTTATTAATTGATATTCTAACTATTTTTACTTTAATGTTTAGAGTTATATATTGTTATTTAATAAGTTCTATACACTTTTCGATTTATTATATTTATTGAAGATTTAATAATATTATTGATTTTAATAGTAATATTAAAGAAAATCAAAATTATTCATAATATAGTCAATGAATTTATAATAATAATAAAGATAAGAATAAAATTGTTTCAATCATATTGACTTTTAACTTATTAATGTAAGTAATCTAATAATGATGTTGCCTTTTTTAATTCTATTTCATCTAATAGAATATTAATTTCTATATTTGGTTTGAATTCAGTTGAGAGTCTAAGAAATCCATAATTTGGTTATAATATTTCAACAATTTCTTTTGTCATGATTTCTTATACTAATGTCATGTTCTCAAGTACTAAGATATATTAATATGATAATATTAGTATTTTAGAAGTATTCTTAAAACATTCATGAATTGATTTAGTAGCAGATAATATTTGTCTTTACATGTTATTTAATTATGTTTCAGTTTCCTTCAAATAAAAGCAGGTAACTATTTCGATATCTTTATATTTTCCATTCATAAAGCCAATCAGGAAATTAACTACTTGAGCATCTAAAGCAATATATTTTTAAAAGTATTTAGATTTTTCATAGAAAATCCTTGGATATCTGATTCTTGTATCATTTGGTTTATCATCAAAATGAGTGGCAGTTGAAACAACACCTTCAGCTGCTTTAGCACTAGCATCTAATACACCTGCTATAGGTTTAACTACCAAACCAGATAAGCCTTTTAAAGTTCCCTTAACAAATCCTTTAAATCCATTTTTTTGTGTTTCTTAATATGGTTATGTGACAACACCAGTAATTCCATTTGAAAAACCATTATAAAGACAATGGCCTGCTTAGGATAATCCATCTAAAACATGATCAGGTCTTTTCAACATAAATATTCTTCTTTTTTCCAAATAATCATCATCCATAGTAAGTAATGAAACACTTGCACTAATAGATCCAGTGACTTTATTAACAGAATAAAAAGCACCAGCAACTGTATTTTTTAAAAGAGATCCTGTACCTTTACATAATCCAACTCCAAATTCTAATGGTCCATGTCTTAAACCTTATATTGGCATCTCAACAAAATCAACAACACCATTTGTAATTTATTATACAAACTTTACAGGATTTCCAATTATTTCAATAGAACCAATAATTTTTAAAATAGATCTGATAATTTCACTCTTATAATGATCTTAAATAGATTAGAGTACAATTTCTTTAGAATCATAAACAGATCTTAATCTAAAACAATCTAAAATGATTTCTGCTTCATTAAAATTTTAGACTGTAGCTCCAATAGCTGTAGAAAAAAGATTAAATACATTTTCATCATATTAAATATTTGTTCTAAATCTTTTATGAAATGAGAATCTTAAATCGATTTTGGAGAGAACAAATTCTTTAATGTAAACCTATTTTTTTGATCTTTTTATTTCTAGAGATTTCCATACAATACAAGGATTAGATGAATTTTGTTGAAACATAGATTCTAAATAATAATGTCTTTGTTAAGGAGTTTAGAAACATAAAGATTTGATTGAATGTGGTGATCCATTATATTCTAATTCAAATTAATTTTAGAGACATTGTTTGACTTATTTGATTGTTTCAAGAACTACTTGAATATATTCTTCATCAAATTATAATTGAAATGGTTAAATATAAATCTTTATTGAATTATATAATAAAATGGCTTTGACTTAATGTTCAAAAGAGCAACTGGCTTCTAAGAAATAGTAATTTCTATCATGTGTAACTTAATAATATCTTCTTAATGTCATTAAAACAGGAGTAGTAGTATCCAAAGAAGTATTATTATCAATATGGAAAAACTTAACTCTTAATTATGCAGTAGTTTCATTTTCAGTCTGCATAATTCCTAATTCTATACCACTCATATATATATAATTAGCTTCTAAAAGTATATTTTATCGTTTTGTTATTATAGAAATACCTAATTGAGATATATACAATTTAATCAATTTGTGAATATCTTCAATTTCTCTTTTATGAGAATTTGTCATATTTCGCATAGTTTCATTAACTTATTAAAATGTAATAACTCTGGTTTGTCCTTAAAATTCAGACTTAATCCAAATAAAATAATTAGAAAATTTGATTTCTTATAGACTTTCTTATTATTAAAAATCTATGATTTCAACATGTTCAACTTTCTAATTATAAACAAATTTAACTCTAAGTTTAAATGAATGACTTGGCTATTCCCAAGAAAAAGGCACTGTTTAATCACAATCTAATACCCATTCTTAAAAACTATTGTAACTATCTTATCCATAATGTATCTTAAATGGCCTACATTTATTAACCAATTTGTATAGCTGATTTTCCTCATTTTGTTATTCTAATAAAATAAAATTAGTTGCTTTGACTTTTGTAATTTCAGCAGTAAGGAATAAACAATCTTTAAAGAAATCTTAACTTGATTAACAAAGCATTGAAGTTTATAATGGTAATGATTCTTTATAATGTAAAAACTCTTAAGGATCATATTTCTTTAAATTGAATTATTTATAAATACCAGATTTCTCAAAAATTCTACTTTTTTATTATTCTATTGAAATATTACTTAATTATTAGCTATTTTCATTAGTACCTGAAGAAAAGAAATTTGTACTTCTTATTTCATTAATAAATAAATCTCCACTCCAATTATATTTACCATGTTTCTAAATTCTAATTGATTTCTCTAATCTACAATCAGGCCAAATCAAATGATATCTCTCATTTGGATTTAATCTTTTTGGTTATGACTCATATCCAGATTAACAAATATTTATTTATACACCTGTATTATTTAAAATAACAAATCTTGGCATTATTTCAATGACTTTTGTATAAACACCTTTTCTTATAACATTATTTGCTAAAGAAATATGAATACCAAATTCATTTAATGATACCATACCTCCATGTTTTTATTTTAATTATAATCCTAAAGATCCTAAAATACCCACATTAACTTCATTAGATATACAATCATCTACACCAATCATTAAATATTTTATGGTATCAGTTATTTAAATTTTATCATAATTACTCTCAAAACATTCCTTATCTGGTTTAGGTTCCTTATTTTATCCTGATAAAATTAAAGGCTTTTAATCTTTTAAAGTGTAATATTTTAATCTTTAATTAGTTGTGTTTATAATACAAGTTTGTACTGAAAAATAAATTAATTTAGTTTGTTTAACTTATTCTTTTTCTACTTTGATATGACAACTTTGACTGGCTATAGTATCTCTTAGTTCAAATTAAGTAGCTTACATAATATCCTATTATTAACTTAATTCAAATCCATGAACATGTAAATTAATTCCTAAATGATCCCCATTCTTTAACCAATGCAATTATAATTCACCTTATGGAACTACTTCTATTAATCCTGCTTCTATTTTTATTGTTGCTGTATAATTAAATTCTGTAACAGTTATAGATCTAACAAGATTATCATGTTAATCATTTTATAAATGATTTAATGAATTTCCTCTAGATAATGCAGATTATTGTTTTTCGTATTATGTTATAGTATTTGGTTTTTTATAATGATTAATAATGAGTTTTTAAATTTCTAAATTTTCATTAGAATGAAACAAAAATTGAAGTGGAACTGGTAATAAATTGTATAAAATAAAAGCAGGTTTAAATTCTATATATTTGACATTCTAAACTAAATTTGTATTAAGAGTGGCTAATGTATAACATGGATAATGTTGTATTTAAATTGTTATATCATGAAATATTCTCTTTATAAAAATGGGTTCGTTTGGTTAAGTTAATTTATTATATTTGGAATCTGAAAAATGAATTACAATAAAACTATCATCTTTATATAATTCTTATGGCATAGCTGCTTATTCTCCTGGTTTGAGGATAAAGTTTTTAGTTATTTTAATACATGATAATTTGATTGACAAATCACAATCTGTTTGATTAACAAACATATATGGAGAATAAATTGTAATTGTTTTCTATAAATTTTCAATTTAAGTACTTAGTACATAATATTATGATTGATCATTCCATTATAATTTTTTAACTCCAGCATAATTAATAGGAACATTACTTATGGAATTTTAAACCATTGAAGCATCTAAAAATTTAATCATAAGTCTTGTATCACTTTCAAAAGTTTTAGCATAATCTTCATCATGAGATTATACTTCATAATTTTTAGAATCATTATTTGCTATTTCTATTAAACCTTCACTACCATTCTTTTAAACTTTTAAAGTATAACCACTTTTATTATGAAGAGAAAAGAGAGTTACATTATCTTAATTTTCTTTAAAAGAAATCCCCTTCATACTAGCTAATCTTGTTATTTTCTTAGATTCATTTCTTCTAAATGTATCTTCTTCATCATCTTAATCTAATTATTACCATTAAGTTAATGTTTTGTATAGATTTAGTATCATATCTGTAGATAAATTCAAATCTAAAATTTATAAATTTTATGTTTGACCATTAATATGAATAGTTTACATATATTGATTTTATTGTACAATTAATAATTCTGATGAATATGGTTCAATTATTGGTTCCATTTTACTTACAACTGGATTGAAATACAATAATTCAATTTAAAATTAACATGTTAATGCTTTACTGATATGATTTTAATCAAACATAAATTTTTCAACATTGAATCTAAATAATAATAATGGAGCAAATGATTTATTAATATCATTTACTAATACTATTTCTAAAAGATCTAATTTTATTTTCATTTTATTTATTTTAACAGATGGTTTTATAGTTTCAAATTGAAATTCTTATTCAGATAAAATTTCTTCTTCTTTTACTATTTCCATATCTTAATCTGCTGCTGCATAAAATACTTACATTACTTCATCTTTTTATTAAGATCCTTAAAGTATACTTGATTTTAATCTACTTAATTATGATTTTCCAGGTAAAAAACTCTTTCTTTTTGTATCATTTCTACTTAAAATTGTTTATTCTGTTACTAAAGATGGTTTAATAGGTAATTAACGAATTATAGTTTCATTAACTGAAGATTCTTGATCATCACTAAAAAATTAGTCACATAATTTAATTTATTCTTATTAAAATTTAATTGTTTGTAATATTAGAGCATAATCATTATGTGAAGTATTTATTCTAATCTTATCAAACCTTAATAAATCTTATATTATGATATTTGATATTAATTCATTTTAACCATCTGTCTTATAATTAGAATAATTCATATCACATTCACAAGTAAATTAATTTCTAATAAATTCTATTTTTATAGGATATAATATCATTTTTTTTTTTGTTTATTTTGATATCTTTTAAATAGCTGCAAAGTTAGTATTAAAAAGTGACATTGTAAGACTCAATTCTAATTTTCTATTTTTTATATTTGATTAATTTGAATATTATTCATTATTCTTTTAATGATAATTACTATGAGCTTAATTATTTAATTCATCATTTAATTTAATAAATGAATCTAATTATAAAACTAAACAATTTTTTAAAGATTCATTATGTGTTATTATTAGAGTTTTTAGTAAAATAATATTCACATTTAATAAAGGTTATTTTTATTTATATTATGTTTAAATAGGTTATGATGATGATGGAGATTATTAACTTTTAAGATCATCTTCATATTTTGGTATTTCAAAAAATAATGCAATAGTTTTAAGATAATATGCATTTATTAAATATTTAGATTCACCTATATTAATACTTACATCTGTAGTATCTTCTCCTAATATTGCTTTTACACTTAATTTATCATCTATATCAAATCTACTTACTGGTTATTCATTATAAAATTCCATTTTCATTTCATTAATCAATTCTTTCACTTCCTTAACTTTATTCTCCAAAATATCTTCATCTAAAAATTCTTCTAATTTTCTTCTTTCCAAAACTATATTATTTATAACATGTTATATTCTCACTATTAAATTATTATCATCCTATTATGGATACTAATAATATGTGCTTTTTAAATCTTAAACTTACAAAGATAAATTAGTCTTAAATTAAAATACAATATCTAATAAACTTAAATCCAATAAAGGTCTAAAAAATTATCCTTATGATGCATATTAATTGCATTCATCCATTAATCTAATAGTAATTTTAGAAAGTTTAAAAATTAATGCAGCTTAATTCTATTATTTTTTAACTTATTATTACTATTTTCTTTTCTTTTAAGTCTTTAAACTCTAAATTTCATATTAAGTTTGCATAACTTATAATAAAAATAAATAATGATTTCTTAAAATATTAAGTTGAATATCAGTAACCTTAATTCTAATCTCTTAATTTCTATTAAGTACTATATTTGGAAACAAAGTTTCATATTCACTTACAAACATAGGAGTTTATATTCTTAATACTCCAGAAAAAGGATTTGAAATATACTATAAATCTGTTGTACTTCTTATCAATATTCTCATTGTGTCTGCAGAAACTACTATGATTTACCACCACAAAGAATCTAATTATGGAACTATTTGACTTTATTTCTTATTCGCTCTTACAGACATCTCAATAATTTTATTTTTTTCTTTACTAGCATCCAATTCAAAACATACTGATTTTATTTAAAGTTCAAAAGATTAATTAATGTTTCCTGCTGGTTTAATTAGTATCTTAGGATTTTCAAGTAAAACTTTAATTTTAAAAAATGAAGGAGCATTTAGTTTCTATTTTATAAGTTCTAAATCTTATTCATTTTCTTCCTTATTAGCTTACTTTTTCTTCTAAGCTATCTCTAATAAACTTAAAACCTTAATAATTGTAGCATGTAAATAATCTATGAAACAATCTCTGACAATCAAATATAGATCATCTGAAATATCATCATTATTGATTGGTATTTTAAATTTAGAATATTTAAATTATACCATTTATTTTTCAATTTATTATTTATTTGAAAATATTGTTAATCCTGGAATACCAATATTTTTCTTAGTCTTTTCTTCTTTAGTTTTTTTCTTATCTTTTTATTCTTTTTTTCCTAAAAACATATGTCTAGTTCCTTATAATGACTTTAAATCAATAATCTCTATTTTCTAAATATGTCCTTCTATAAAATATTCATCATCATTAATAGTTAATACAGCACTTATTTAATTTACTTATATTTATAAGAATTCATTAGGCTTTTCTTTTTCTCTTTCTTTCTCTAAAACAATAACAATCAATTTAATATCTTAAGTTAAAATTGAAACCTTTATAATACTTTCAGGTAATTTTTCATTACTTTCAACTTATTAACCTTCATGCATATCTGAATCTGAAACAGAAGACTTTTATAATGTAAATGATCTCACACTCTTAATATTTACTTTAGTTTAATCATATCTAGTCTACATAAATTTAGTTTCACTAACAGGTATTTGAGTATATTTCATAGTAGTAGTTTATTGTGTAGTATCAGTAAATTCACTTAAATCAGTAGTACTTTCTTTACTTTTTTGTAAAGATGGACGAACCAAGAATAAATTAATTTTTGCTAAAAAAGATTCTAGATAATGAGCTTCTAAAGAGGATAGTTATGCAACAATATATGATTAAGGTTGACTAGGTTAATGAGAATCTGTATTGCACATTCTAACTCTTATTGCTCCATGAATTTGTTATGCATCTTCTTCTTAAAAATCAGTAACCTATTTTATTTTTCTTAATAATTTATTTTCAGTTATACTTGGTCTAACTTTTAATATATTAGGAGTATTAGGTTATGAGTAATGGATGGATCTTAAAATAGATTATCCATGATCTTCAATTGAAATAGAATTAATTGTAAATTCTTAATAATTATCATTTATTCCTGAAAGACTAAGTAATTTAATTTAATCAAATGTTATTAAGATTTCAGATTATTGATTGTATTTTAATTCAATTTAAAACCTTTTTATTTAAAATCTATATTTAGTTAATAATTCATCATTTAATTTAGGCATTTATTTAGTTGTTTATTCAAACTCTCTCCTACCCTTATCATTTTATTATGGTACAGTATTTTCTGATCCAATTTTAAGATTATTTGTTTTAGTTTTAATATCATGTATTTTCTATTAAATAAATTTAAACCATCTATTCTTTTCCTAAGCTGTTTTTGCTTAGAAATAAATTATCTCTTTTTTAGATTTAATTTTAAAAGAGTTCTATACTCCAATATCTTATTATGCTTCAGAGACAACTACATCTCTCAATCCAACATATTAATTATAATCTACATCACTTTCATTCTGATATAAATATATATACCAACCAGATAATACAGCAAAGTAAGATGACCAAGATCTCAAAAATTTACCTCTTTTTCTTAGAATTCCTTTACATGAACTATATTTAATTAATTTAGATTTCTCTTATTATAATATACTACTTAATGATTAATCAGCACTTAAATCATTTATTGTTTACATCAACTTTTAAAATGTATAAGGTACTTCTGGATTAATTGAAGCTGTTAATGAAGGTAATTCAAAATTTATCTTAGTTTAAGGAAGATTAGCTTAACTACTCTTTTTAAAATAAAGATTTAATTCCATAGAAAAGTCCTCTAACACATCATATTTTTTAGATCTCATTCTTAATGGATTATTTAATATCTCCATTCCTCTTTATGTTTAACTCAATTTCTAATAATTATAAAAATAATGAATAGATGAAAAATATTGTAATTAGACTGATTTTAATTTCATTACATAATTATCATAATTTTAAGATTTATGATGTTTTCTTTAATGTTATTATTATTAATGATTCTATTATTATGGTTATTATAAATGTTAAAGTGAAGCTGATTTCTCTAAAGGATTAATTGAATTTACATTAGCAAAATTAAATTAACTAACAAGTTAATTTTTTTCATTATGAACTGTCAATAATGGTTATTCTACTATTCTTGATTTTCCAACACTTTCTCCACTTACACCTAATCTTCTGTAATTATCTGATCCTAATTTAATAAATCCAGGAACTTATCTATCATCTACAGTTATTATTTCTAAATCTCCTAATTTCAATACCCAACAATCTGAATGTAAATCATTTATCTATTAATTTGGAATAATAACAATAGGTGATTAAATAGTTATGCTAATATAATTTTTCGTTTAAGTTTCTATCTTCTTTTCAGAATCTGGATCATCATTTTTATTTTTCTACTCCTTCTTATTCTTTCTTATATTCTCTTTAACTTTACCCTCTTATTATTTATCATCTTAAGGGGGCATCCTAAAATAAGCTATTACTCTTTATAATGATGCAACAAAAACCATAAATTCAATCTTCTAAACATCCAAATATATACTGGTGAAGTAATTTGGTCTAGATAATGGATGTTTTTCTAATTTGAAATAGATTAGAGGTTTCTCTTAAATATCATAACTTTTTATTTTCTTTACAATAGGTACAATAATATCATTCTTCTCTTCAACACTAAACATCTAAACTTCCATATCTTGTATAATTTATTCTACTTCAAAATTATTTCTTCTCTTTTACAAAAAAAAATCAAAATTCTTCCACAAAAGTGTAAATCCTTCTTCTAAATTCTTATGCTTTCTTAATAATTTTAAACTTCCTTTTACAATTGATAATCTAAACTCTAAATAAACATAAGTTTCCTCATCCATAAAAGCTGATGGTTTATAAGCTTTCTCAATTTCCTTCTTGAATGCCTATTCAATTTAATGATGCTCTTTAGCTCTCTCATATATTTCTAATGCTTATTTAGCCCACATTTATAATGTAGTTATTGAAGTCTTTATCACAATTTATTAATATTGTCTTAATTCTCTATGTTAAGATTTCAATAATGCAGAGGGTGTTGTTTTTCTTTAGAGAGCATTCATCTCAAACTCAAGAAATCTTTTTCTTCTAATTTCCATAATCTAAGCTTTGACTAGATATTAAAATAAGGATCTAAGATATAAAGAATTTGTTTCCATTTTAAGGAAATCTTATGGTTAAGGTCTCAAAACTGTTGTGAGATACTAATCCATTTGCTATTTGGCACTGTATTAATAAAGATTGAATATGGATACAAGTTTTAAAATCTCCTTATATTGAGTATGCTTGATTTTAAAATCCATTTCCTGTAATTCCACTTTAATTTTATATTCTGGTACCTTCCTAAAATTCTGATAAGTTTGTACAACATTAGCAACTGCATTAAGACAGAATATGTATTTTGATGATTTGGATGTTTTTATTCCCATAGTAAGATTGTCTGGCTCATATACTAATTCTTATTATAATCTAGATTATATTCTAGCTTGCATTTTTTCATCTATTTAATATACAGTACGTTGACGAAGATCTAAATCAATTTTATAAGGATCCATTTTTACAATGGCTTTTTAAACATCAATATTTTTATCATGTTATGGTTTGATTATGCTACTCAAAATGAGATAATGATCATCAGAATTCCAATACATTGCCAGTTTAGATAATTATATTTGTTTATTCACAAAGGTAGAGTCTTTACGTTCATGAATATAAGGTTAAGATGTTTATGAAATTTTCCATTCAGAATCCACTGTTTATTAAGTGATATGATTAATAGTAATACCCCAAGAAAAAGAATGTTTACTAATACAATGTTCATAACGAAAATGCACATCAGAAATTGAAATGTAAAGATTATCAACTATTCTGGTTATTTATTTTTGAAAAAAGCCTGCCTCTTTTTAATCACGTTCCTAGTTATCTGTTGTTGTTTCTTACTTCCTAATTTCTTCATCCATAACTTTCTTTATATAGGCTCTCACTTAAGCTGCTTTTGGTTTATAATAATTAATCTCCTCTAATCCCCACATGTCTTCAGAGACAGTAGTGACTAATAAGAAGACACTATGTATCTTTATTTCTGTTCTTTAAGTAGTCAATTTATTCCATGGAAGATTTATTTCAATTCTCTGTATTGAACTGTATACTAATTCAATTGGTAATTATAAGGCTTCAAGAGCTTCTTTCTTTATTGAAACATTCTCAATTACCAAATTGCCCTTCAAAAATGATAAATTGATTTGTTTCTTATCCAGTCCATCAATAAACCTTCCGAAGATGGCTAACAATACTTTCTAAATAAGACCTTCAAACATTTAATATATATTAATTCATAAACAACTGACTAACCTTATTACTTTCAAAATCAATGAAGATCTCAAATCTCATCTTATTCAATCATATTTAGATAATCAATAATAATAATAACTTAGCTACCTATATTCTAATTTCCTATAATTTCCATAATTCTAGTTTATTAGAATTCTTAAATATCAATTATAAAATATAGTATTTATAGAAATATAATATAAATAGTTACATTATTATGTTAAATATTCAATATCATATTGATATTATAATAATTTGAAAATATAGAGTATTTTACAAAAATAATTCTACTGAAAAGAAATGATTTTATTATAAATCAGCAATATATAATAAAATTTCAACGTTTTATTTTTTTAGATATTGATCTTTTTGCTTTATCCATTTCTTGTAATACTCTTTACATATTTTCACGATGTTCTAATTTATCTATATTGACAATTTCCATCACATGAACTTAAAATCTATTGTTTGTTTCTGCTATCAACTCTACTTCATTTGATAAATTATTCAATCTATCATCAAGAGTCTTAAGTAGTTATTAAACTGCTCCAAGATCACCTTCTTAACAATCATTACTTTTCTTTTTTTAATTCCTTTTATTTATTTATTCACTCTTCTCCAAATTAGTTGTGAGTTGTGAAAGTATTTTCTCACTTTATTAAAGAACATTATTTAATTAGTTATTCAATTAGGTATTTTATTCAATCAATGGTCTTATCGCTTTTTCTTGATCATTAATAACAACTTAGAAGTCATTGAATTTCACGATCATCATTTATTGGAGTTGTTCTAAAATTCTATAAACTTCTGATATTTGAGGTACTTGCTGTTCTTAATAGAACGATTCATTTAGATTTTATCTTTTTGTTGAACCAAGAAATTAGCTAATATTCTCCTTTTCATATTGAGTTTAAGAAAAGGATTTTGTTTGTTGAGCTTACAATTAACTAAATAACTATATCTACATACTTATGGAATGAAATATTCATAGGTTATTGTTACTATTGTAAAGGTTATTGACCTCTTCTAAAAGCTTATGAAAACATTTTTACTTCAAAAATTAAATTAAAAAAAATTTCTATTTAAAATTTAATCAATAATGCTAATTTAGAGTTTTAAACCTAACTTAATATTTAGTAATAATATTTTATGTAGAAATGACATTAAATCATTATTCAATATTATTAATTTTATTTATATCATAAATATTAAAGAATAATCCCTAATTTATTTTTTTTAATCTTTCATTTTCTATTCTAAAATAATTTAAACTAATAAATAAAAATGCTTATTTTTATTTTACAAAAATTTTAAAGAAATTTATGAAAGTAAATTAAAAATTATCATCAACTCTTAAAAGACAAAGTGAAAAAAATAAGTAAACAATATTTAATTTAAATTAATTTTAAGAAGTTTTCATTAATTAGGTATAAATATTTAATGGGGATTAGAATTAACCATAAGTATTTTGAGTGAAATTTAAATAAAACTTTAAATTGAAGTAATGATTTATTTTGTATAAATATTTTTATTAAATATTAAAGAATTAATTCATGGAAACTTTTTAAAAAGGAACCCTACGTTTAACAGAAAATGAAGTTGACTAATTGATGAAACGCTAACCACATCTTTTGAAATAAAGTTATGATCAAATACCAAATCTAACTCCTAATTCACAGGAAGTAATTAGTAGATAGGCTACAATCAATGTGGGTACAATTGGACATGTAGCTCATGGAAAATCAACTCTAGTGAGATCTGTATCTACTATAAAGTATTTGATATAGTAATACATTAAAGCACTGTGCGTTTCAGATAAGAGAGAGTTAGAAATATTACAATTAGATTGGGCTATGCTAATGCAAAAATCTTTAAATGTCCAAAATGTCCTGAACCTCAATGCTATTAATCATTTTCAAGTGAGAAGGAAGACAATGCTTAATGCGATATATGCAAAGAAGTGATGACTTTGGTTAGACATATATCTTTTGTTGATTGTCCAGGACATGATATTCTAATGTCTACAATGTTAACTGGTGCTGCTGTTATGGATTGTGCATTACTTATTGTAGCTGCCAATATGCCTTGTCCTCAACCTTAAACTTAAGAACATTTGGTTGCCTTAGTCATCACAAAATTAAAATATGTTATAGTCATCCAAAATAAAGTTGATATTATTTTTAGAGATCAACAGGTAATTTCATTAATAGTGAAGTAAGGCTGCTCTTAGAAATTATGAAGAAATTACAAGATTTATTAAAGGAACCATTGCAGAAGATTCACCAATTATACCAGTATCCGCTTAATTGAAATACAATATAGATTGTGTTCTATAACAAATTTGCAATTTTTTCCCTATTCCAGATAGATAATTGCAAGTACCACCAAAAATGATTATTATTAGGTAATCATAATAAAATGATAATTATTATTATAGATCCTTTGATGTTAATAAACCTGGTGAAAAACCTGAAAATTTACATGGAGGTGTAGTAGGAGGTTCAATCCTATAAGGAATTCTTTCAGTTGGAGATGAAGTTGAAATAAGACCAGGTAGATAATCTAAAAATGGAAATTAAACAACATGGCATCCTATTACTACAAGAGTTGTTACTCTATTTGCTGAATAAAATGAATTAGTCTATGCTGTTCCAGGAGGACTTATTGGTGTTGGATTATTAATTGATCCATCTTTAACTCGTAATGATAATCTTGTTGGTTGTGTATTGGGATTCCCAAAATAATTACCTGAACTCTATAGAGAATTAGAAGTATGAAAAAATAATAATTTAGATCAATTATTATTTGATGGTCTCAGTTGTTGGTGCTTAATAACAAGATGGAAAAACTCAAAAGATTGCAAAGATTTAATAAGATGAAATGTTAAAATTTAATGTCTTATCAAATGAAACACCAGGAAGAGTCATTGAAGTTAGAGAAGATGTAAAATAAATATATATATTTATTAGAAAATAATGAGAGTTGCTCTTAATAATCCAGTTTGTACTGGTTTGTAAGAGAAAGTGGCATTTAGTAGAAGATTAAGTAATAAATTTAGATTAATTGGTTGGGGTATTATAACAGATGGAAAAACAATCACATTATGAAATGTAAAAAAAATAAAATATATATATATATATTTAAAATTTTAATCAAACTCCTGTTATGATGTTAAAATTTCGTTATTAATCATCTTTAATTAAGGATCTTCCCATTTTAGGTATATGTTCAACAAATAACCTTTATTAAGAATCACTATTTTAGATTCCCTTCTAATTTTTTTAACTGGTAATTTGTTATTAAATTTATCGTTTATCGGTTAGTGATTAATTTTTAGTAGTTTTTCTATTATTTGATTATTATTCTCTTGGAGTTATAGAATTACTCTTAAAACTTTCTGTAGTTAGTTATTTTTAAGTCAAATTATTTAATTAAGGTATTTCTTTTTGTTATTAAAGTATAACTTAAGATTGATAATTGTTAATTAATCTATGAGTTTATGCAATTTTTTCTTATAATAAAGAAGGTTAATTAGATTTATGAATAGATAATATGAATTCAATTAATTTAGATGCTAATTCTTTATATTATTTATCTTAAGCCATTTGTTCTACATTATTATGAGTTGAAAATATTTTATTAAATTCTCTTGAAAGAAAGAAATTCACATCTAAAAGAGAGAAAAGTTATTGTATTAATTATTACAATTTATCCATTTTCTTTTATTCAAAATTAAATAATAAAAATCAATTAAATTTTCTATTTTATGGAAAATTATCAATTTGATATTCAAGATACCCTTAGTCAAAGTAATGAATCAACACACTAATATAAAATTGAAATATTGGAATAATTATAACTTATTTAAACTGAAACTCTATCTTTTATTAACATAGAAGAATCTGACGAAGAATTAGATATAACTAAACAGAAGCGAATGTAAACACAATTATTCTTAAGAAGAGGTTCAATTTAAGATTCTCAATAAAGTTCACAATAATCTAATGAAAATTATCATAATCAAGTTTAAATTAAGCAAATTGATCAGTAAATTTAATAAAACAATTAGCTAGATTATTAATAATTAAAGAGAACCATGAAAAGAAGTTAAACTGCTTTTAAAAAAGATTTTGGTCATTTTGCAAAATAACATAGATCTAAATTATTTTTAAAGAGAGCTAATTAAGCTATAGTTAATAATTTTGAACAAATAAGAAAATAAAAATCAATAATTACTTCCAACATAAATTAAATTGGAAAATAACATCTACGCACTATTTAAGTTAAATATTTTAGAACCAATCTTTCAAAAGTATTATTTATTGAAAAAGAAATGACAGCTATTGAATTTATAGTACTTGCATTAAAAGAATATAGTCTCGAAAGAAGGTTTGATTAAAATCTTTATGAATACAAGAATTATACTCTAGCCTATTAATTGGAAACTTTAGAAGATTAAATGGAAATGGATGAAGATAAATTTAGAAAACCTATATAACGTACTAAAAGTTATATTGAAAAAGATGATGATAATATTGCTGCTAGAAGAGTCAGTTGCGATGAAGTATGATAAGAATATTTATTATAAAGAGAGCAATTACATCCTAGGTTGAGTATTCTTTTGCAGATATTGAAGATAGAACAATAACTATTGATTATCCAGCTACTTTAAGTTGTAAATAAGTTGATATTGTTGTCAATTCAACATTTTAATTGCAATTTGGAATAGATTTATTAACTCTAAAAAAGGATTATGAATTATATCCTTAATACATCATATTAATGGTTGAAGATGTTTAAACTTAATCTAATTAATAAATTAAATGTCTTAATACATCAACATTAGAAAATGTTTTTGATTCAATAAACAATGGTCCAACAAATAAAAGATCTTATAATGATTATTATTTAAGATTAAAATATCCTTGTATACATACAGATATTAGTCCATTATCTTTGAATACTCCAATCAAAGAATTACCAATACATTGGTTAGTTTTAGAAAAAAAATATTCAATAGAAACTTAGACTACTGATCTTATAGATATTAGTAATAAATTTTCAAATTTCAAATAACCTAATTATATTGAAGATGGACTTTTGTCTTATAATCCATAAGAATGCTAATGTAAAATGGAATCTAAACATTATTTATCTTCCATATATTCTTACCAAGAGTATGCATTGATGCAATTAAAAAAGGATGAACAATATTAAGTAATAATAGGAATTGATTATTTTGACATTCGAATAATCTATATCAATCAATAGAATAACTTATCTTAAAATTATTCTTTGTTCTAGTATATAACAAATTATATTGTAGATATGTTCAAGAATCATAAGAAATCAGAGAAAATTATTAAAATAAAGGCAATTAAAGAAAGTTCTTTAGATAAAAAATAAAATAAATTTTATTTTACATACAAGAATAATGCTCGTAATTTTAAATAATTATGCTTTATTCCAGAATAAAGTAATGATAAAAGTACATAAGCTAAATTAAATAAATAATTTCTTGAAATTTATTAAAAATTAGATAAATTATTAGGAATTAGAAAGAATCATTTAGGAATATATGAAACATAAAAGTGATTTCAATTAATATAAATATTATTATTATGGATAATTTTTATCTAAAAATATGTGAACAACCAATCAAATGGTAAAAAGAACCAAAAATACCACTCTATTCTAGTTAAAAAGAGAATCTAGACATTAATTGGAATGATTTTGAGAACCTTTATAGACAATGCTATGAACAAGAATAGAGTTCAAACGTTACTAAAATTATTAAAAACAGCTAGGATTTTGATTTAAATATCAATCTTAATAGATTAATAAGAACAAATAATCAAAGTAGTTGGAGTGAAATCATAGAATATGATAATATTCAAAAGATTAATGATGATTAAAAAGAAATATAAGAAGAATATCCTTAAAAACCTATTTTAAAGAGAAGTAATACTTCTTTTAGAACACATAATAAATCTTTTACTTAATTAATATCAGAAAATGAGAAACTCAAACGTTATAGAATTAATAAAAGAAGTGTTAGAACTCTTTCTATGATTTCTTTCAAAAGATCACTTATTACACCTATTTTGAAAAACAATTTTAAGTATGGTTATAAAGAAGTTTAGATCAAATATTTTAATTCAGATTATAGTAAAACTATAGTAGTTGATGAAAATATATTGGTTTGTGAATTAATTGTTTTAGCAATTTAAGAATTTAAAAGAACATAAAATTTTGATTAAAATTTACTAAAATACTCTAATTTTTCTTTAGCTTATCAATTAACTAGTTTTGATGATTATTTTGATTTTTCAAATTCTTAAATAAATAGTATAATAGAGGATTAAACAGAATGTTATTAATAATATCCTTATGTAATAGAAGAAGGAAATTCATTATCAAGTAGAAAGATTGATTTAGATTTGGCTTAGAAAATATTTTATAAAGTTTTAATTTTAGAAGTAGTAGATAAAAATAAATATGGAATAGATTTATATACAATTGAAATAACAAAAAAGCAATTTCCTAATTCTATAATTATATTAATTGAAGATACAAAAAATGTGATATTTTATCATTTAAATATTGATTTAAATTCAACATTAGAAGATATTTATTATTAATTACAAAGAAGATCTGGGAATAAATATAATAAAAATGATTGGTATTTTAATTTGAAATTTCCTTGTATTAATATTGATTATAAAGAATCTTTACATTTTCAATTCCCTATTAATTAATTACCTATTCATTGGTTATAAATATAATTTAAATTTGACAATATTAATAATGCAACAACAGGAAGTATAAGAGAATTATATAATTAATCAGGAAACAAAGATTCTATTTTAGTATCTTAATCTTTTACTGATATAAATATATAGATAGAAAAAAAACTTGCAATGTTTAATTATAAAGAGTTTAAAGTTATTAAGTTAGAGAATGATGGATATTAAAATGAAGTAATAATTGGAATAGATTATTTTGATTTTTATTTTTCTTATTTGACCAAAAAGAAATCTAAATTTTCCATTTATAAACTTACAAAATGTTTTGTGTAAATTTTATTAGAAAATTATTAATCTGGATAAACAAAAGATTATAAGAGAATACCAACTTCATCAATAATTTCTGTATTATTAAAAGATAATTAGAAAATAGAAATAAAATATTAAAAAAATGAAGATAAAGTAAAATAATTAAAATTTATTTTACCAAAAAGAGAAGAATCAGAAGAAGAAAATAAAAATAAGGAAGAAATTATAAATATTAATGAAATTTATTAGAAATTATCCTATATCATTTAGTAAGGAAGAAATAGTCCAACTTAAAGAATAAATTGATTAAATTCATTTCTCAAAAATAATTATTGTTAGGCATCCAAACTTTTTTTTCTTTAATTTTTGGTAAACTTAAAATTCTACTTAATTATCTTGGAGTTATAGGATTCTCTGATATCAAAGATACTTTATTATCAAATAATCTTAAGCATTAATCTGTAGGTTTAAATACATTAACTTCCCTTTATTCTATAAGTTACTTCTTTATTTTTCCTATTAAAAGACTACTCTTCTATTTTTTTTTATTAATAAATATATACTTCCTTCTATTCTATTTCCTATAAATGATTGAAATTCTTATCCCAAAATTCAATACGACTAATCTCCTTCTAACTTAAAAATCTCTTTCTTAAAGGGGGAAATTCACTCTTTTATTTATTTGTTGGTCTATCCAATTAATGTATTACTAATATTATTTAATTTAATACTATATGATGGATTCTAGTTTCTATCAGGTGTTATCAATTAGGATTTTTAAAGATTTGTTAATTAAGGAACATCTTTATTAATAAAAACAGAATTGTTATCAAATAAATCCCTTTCCTTAATCTAATTTATAAATTAAGGTCGATGCAAGGAATTTGTAAAACTTGAAAATCTATTTTTATGATGTTTCTTAGCAAGATCATTTCTTATTTTTTATATTTTTTTTTTCTCCTATTCTTTTTCGTATTCTACTAATTATTAAGCTAAATAGTCTTATAACTCTTGGATCTTTTTCTTTGTTTATTCAACCTTTTATTGGGACTATTCAAATTTCAAAAACAGTTACAATCTCTCTAATTGAACTGGGATCTTCCATTATATAAATATTTCTATAGTTCTAAATAAAAAGTTTTAATAATATTAATTTATATATATATTTATTAAACAATAGGGATTCTTGCAGTCAAGGATTTACTGGATAAAATGGTTTAGAATTTAAGTTTAATTTTCTAAAAAATAAATGGATAAATAATTACTTTCTTTATTTTGGTTAGCCATCAGTATTTTAAAATTATTAATTGATTTGATCAATATTATTACCATTTCCATTTTTTATTTCATTCATCTTTTTAGTTTAAGACATATAATTTTCAGATTCTTACATATATGAATCTGGATGTTAGATTTAGGATAGATTTTAGAAGTTTTAATTAGAAAATACTTACATCTAATTAGGCATTTATATCATCCCATCATTTGGCATCCAATTTTAATCAAAATCATCACCAAATGGCATCATTGGAGGCATTCCTAAAATAGGTCCAGAATTCATTAAATTAGGAGGGAACTATTATCCCATAGGCATTGTTGGAGGAAAATCTGAAAAATGATTACCCATGGGTGGAGGCATCATAGGAGGACAAAATACCTAACCATCAAATTAATTGGGAGGAGATTGCATCATCATATGATTTTTATTAGATTACTTTTTCATTTAAGGAGGAGGTGCCATTTACATAGGCATAGGCATTTGAGCCATATTTGGCATCTAATTATATTTTGGAGGCATCATTTGATTCATTCTCATAGGTCCTATATTGGGTCCCATTGGAAATGTTGGTTCTAAAGGATCCATACCCAAAGAAGGACCAGGAGGAAATCCTAAAGATTATGGTGCTCCTAAAAGATTAGAATTAAATGGAGCAATTTATGGACCCAAACCCATCATTCCAGGAGGTGCAAATCCTAAAGGAGTTGTGAATGTTGGTCCTGAAATATTGAGAGGATCAGGTAAATTATTTCTACCCATTTATTATTAAGGAAATGAAAATGGAGCAACTTTAAATGGATCAAAGATTTCAGCAGAATTTTAATTCATAAAGTCTGGTTAATTATTCATCATAGGCATATCCAATTAATTTTTATTATTTTTAGGTTTTTTCTTCTTATTTTTTTTCTTTTTTTCCTTATTTTTCTAATCATTAGAATTATTTGGAAAATTTTGATTATTGTTAGGGATAGGTTTTTAATTATTAAATTAATTTGATGTTTATGTCTAAATAGGAAAGGCTCCTCTAGTAAGAACTGAAGATGAAAAATGTTAATCATAATTCATTTAGCCATCTGAATCATTATCTTATAATTGATTTAAGATGTCAACAAAATCAGAAGATTTATCTTTATCTACTAAACCTGGAGGAGGTGCTACTATTGGTTTACTTGGAATTGATAATGGTTTATTAAAATCAGGAGGTAGGACAAGATCAGAATGACTATTTTCCTAATCCTAAGTAATAGAAATGCCACAATTAATTAGATGTTATTGTAGTTTTTCTAATTCACCTAATTATTAGATAGATATTTCTTTTCTAATTTATTACAATATATTTGTACTATTGTTATGATTATTGCTAAAACTTATTGCTTTTCTTTTCAGGCTTTTTCTTAGGTTGTTAATCTTTTTTTGGTTAATATTCTTTCTTTTCTTATTAAGATGGCTATTATTTTTTTGGCTCATAGATGTATTATTTTTTGGGTTCATCTAATTAAATAATAGAAAAAGCATACTTTTGGTTTTTGTGAATACGAAGCCACCAAATTTATCAGATTAATTCTCATCATCATCTTCTTAAGGATCTTCTATCTAATCATCTCTATTACGTTTGATTTTCGGTTATTAAACATAAGCTTACAAATCATTTCTTTTTACTCATAATTATATACCTTTGAATTTTATTATATTTATTTTCTTGTCTTTAAGTAAAATCCTATTCGCCTTCTTAAGGTGAATTTCTTCTTCTATATTTCACTTAAAGATTATCTGACATCACAATTTAAAATAATATAGATAATAATAATATATTACTTTATTATTTATATTAAATTTACATATTTTCTATAGCTTTATATAACAATAATCTTTTGTATTCAATTTCAATTTCACTATAATTCTAAAAGAATCCTCATTTATATTAAATATAAAAGAAATTCTAAATTCTAACCTAATATCTTCAAATTCTATACACTATACTGAATCCTTATTTTAAATTAACTGAAAGATATTTTTATTAATGTTATAAATACTGCAAAATTATAATACTCAAAACTAATTTAATCTATAAAAAATTATCTAAAAATTAAGTGAAATCTAAAAATCTAAAGACTTAGACTAAAATTCTTATTCATAAATATTTTAAAATTAAAGTCCACAATTCCTTAATATCATCAATTAACCCATAAATTTAATAGAGCCAATTAAAAACTTAGGTGATATTTGATGAAATTAACATTTGATATCACTTGAAATTTTAGGGGTTTATTTTGATTCATTTTTGATATTATTAAATGAAAATGGAAACTTAGTTAATTTATTCTTAATACTAGTAAATAATACATTTAAAAAATAAAAAAATTCATATTATTATCTTCACATTGCTCTTATATTTTTTATAAAGATTATACCGTTATCTTTTAGGATTGATATTTTATATCTATTATTTCTAATTTTTATAGATAGAGAAGTTATTGATTTAATATTATTAGATGATTATAAGAGAGGTAATTATTTGCTTAAAATCAAATTTTAAACTTCCTAGTTAATGTAAAATCTATATCGCATATGGTGTTAGACATAATTAAATAAATTATTTTATATTATGTATGATCAAAAACCTTATTTAATCTTGGAGCATCCTCATGCACAAAATCCAGTCTTAAGTTTCAAATACAAAACTTTATCAAATAATGATAAAATTTGGATCTCTCATATTAAAATTAAAAATCCATCCCAAAATAATCAGTAAATTTCTAATAAATGCTTTTTAGAAGTCTTGCATTCAAAGTTATGTCTTCAGCTGCAGAACAAATTAAATCCTATCCCTTTGTAGGAATATTAAAGGCAGAAGAAAGTAAAACAATCAAATTGATTGCAAAAGAGACTATTTTCGATAGTATTTACTATTTTATATTTTAGAGACTGTTAAAGTCAAGATAATCTCAATGAATATTGATAAACCATAAGAAATTAATGACTAATATGAAATATTGGATTAATTTAAAATACTCAAAGATTAGATTAAAGATCTTCCTTCGATCTTCCTCCAAGTATCAAATTTTATTTAATCTGAAACAGTCTCTTAAGTATTACCTTAAAAGTACTAATAGTGAATAAAGATTACTTTACCAAGTGATAGAAGAATCCTTATGTTTACATCCAATATCTCATAAATCTAAAATGGAAATAGTATTCCTGTTTCTACTTTTATGAAATCAATGATAAGTTAACGAAAATAAAAAGATTCTTTGCAGATGTCTCAAAACTTTTAAATGGAATAAAATATTTGCTCTCTTTAAGATCTATAATAAGTTCTAATAAATGAAACTAGAGAATTGAACAAATAGATAGTTCTTTTAAAAGCCAAATAAAATATACCATTTGAAGAGGAGAAGGATGACTAAGTTAAATTTACTATGTTTTAATTATTTGTAATAGCCTTAATTAGTCTATTGATAGGGTTTTATATGCCTGAATTTTGAATACACTATTTAAAATAAAAAATAATTAATTATCAAATTATAATTCAAAAATTAACGATTCTTTAAAAGATGTTATTAAATTTTATTAGAAAAGTTAAGGAATTTATTTAAAATTAATTATTAGATTTTATAATTAAGTTCAACTGGAATATAATTTTATTCTCTTAATAATTATTTAAATAAGTATTAACTTCTTTTTCTATTAATCCAAACTATATACATAATCAAGTTATCTGTATTAATTTTCAATATAAGAAACCTCTCAATTTCCTTATAGAATGAATTATATATTATATGATATCATGAATTTAGATAATAGAAAATACTATTATAAAGTTAATATGGAAAAAAAAAATCAATTTTCATAAGAAATTTCAAGTTTAGTTGAAGATGAATTCTTTAAAATTGATTTAAAGGGAATTGTAGATCCTCCACTAAGAGTAGGGTTGATCCAATTTATATTTTTGTGTCCTTTCAATTTTTCAATCGTTTTTTATAATTAGATCACCTTTTGCCAAGGTTTATAATTACAAACAATCATTCTTTCGTTAAATGATATTTTAATGCATTCTGATTCGAATATCTCTTCATTAGGTTCATCTTCTATAAGATATTTCTAATGAACACTAAGTGGAATCATTTATTTCATCTTGAAATTAGGTGATTAAGCTAGCATTGAGAAATTTTAATTTTTAAGATTAAAAAAATTGGAATTTTCCAGATTTGAATAAAAATTACAAATAATGCGTATTATTCAAAATCTATGTTGTGATATACTATATTTATAATTAAATAAATATAATATTTGCAAAAGGATTTTATGAAACATAAAAATCTAGATTTATTCATTAAAACTGGAAATAAAAATAAATATGTTTTAAATATCAATTACAACTCAATGTTTAAGCAAATATATATATATTGAAAATACAATGATGTATATAATAATTTAAAATAATAAATAGTAATAAGATTACTTAAATTTAACAGGTAAAATGAATTATCATAAGAACAATCATCATTCACTTAATCCCCAGATTTCAAGTATTTATATACTAAAATCATTAGAGATTGATAAGATTTCGTTTTTGTAGGTTTCACATTAATTTGTGTTTCCATGCATCAAAGAATTATTCACATATAAACCGAACTTTTCTCCACATCCAATAGCCAAACCATCTGATTCACAAAATATAAAATAATTATTTGTTTCAGCCCAATTATAAGTTTTGAAATCATTTTCCTAAGATTTTTAATTGAAATGAAAAATACTTTAAAAGTCCAAAGAAATGTTTCACCATTTCCAAAGAATTTACCAAATGTTAATTATGGAGATTCATTTAAATATGCTCCAAATTTACAGTCATTAAAATCTTTAATTGCTAAAATTAATGGAGAATGGTTTTCACAATTATTAAGCAATGTCAAGAAAGATGAACCATGTATAACATTTGAAAATATTAATTTCCAATTTGATGTTTTAAAAATAGATGGAACATTAGCAATTATCTAAATTAAAATATAATTACTTATATCATTTCATCATTATCTAAAATTTAAGATTCTGAAACCATTTATGGAATAAAATCCTATCCTCCCCAAAGTTGATTAGTCCTTTCTATAAATTTTTCAATTAAAGTATCATCTTAAACATCATAAAAAGGAATGATAGTTAAATCTTGTTCCTTCTTTTTCTATTCATCTAACATTCGTTCTGACTTTGTTTTAACTACATCAGCCAATGTTTCACATAAATCTATACTTTAAATTTTGAATTCTTTTTGATCATCATCATTTTAAATCTAGATATTATTGTTAAAACACATATACTCTAAAAGTTAGAATAGGCAAAATTTCAAGTAATTTTTTACAAGAAACATTTGCACTTATATGTACCATTACTAAATAGTCTTTGAAACATTTCGAAGTAGATTTTGCTATTCTCATAGGTAATTCATTTAAATCAACTGATATTACATCTTCAGTCATAAGACAAGCTTAAAAATTGAGAATACTTTATTCTAGTATATTAATTAATATTTTTACTATGACATTTTTAAACTAATTCTTTATTTCTATCAACGAAACTAGGATCAAATAATATGACATCACTATTCACTGTTAAAACTCCTTCTATACAACCATAATTAGTCACATAATAAACATTAACTATAAATTTTAAATGGAATTTACATTTTTTTGTTTAACCTCTAGACATTATTTCATCCATTAAGTTTCTTCCATAAAATGATGACTAATTCAATTATAAATCATTAATTTCATTTTCTTAAAAGAAAGGTTAACTTTATTCTTATTAGACAGCAGGTACTTTAATTCTCATTCCAGGAACAAAACATTCTGGTGAAATATCATTTATTTTTAAAATTCTGTTCTAACTTTATTATTAACATTTTGAATACTTGATATTAAATTTCAATTCTAATCCAAATAAAGTGTCATCTTCTTATACAATATAATCTACTAAGTTTGTCTCTTCTTATTAAAATTTCAGCTATTAATCATAGTTATTTAAATAAATGTCTTCTATGTCTTACAATTTGAAATCTAAATTAGGAATAACAAAAAAACCTATGTATTCTTGTTCTTCTCCTTTTGTCCATTTTTCATAAAGAGGGAAATATTCATTAGAAGTAAATTCAAAAATAAATGTTTCAAATTATTAATCAAGCTTAGGATCTTTAACATCAGTATTTTTACTTTCCTAAAAATAGTTAATAAAATTTACAGATGATCCGTAAAAATAACTAAAAATATTTTTCATTAATAATAATAATAATAAGTATTAGTTTATAAAAATAAAAGTACTTCTTTCATTATTATAACAATTAAATTGTATATATGATATATTAATAATCAATCCATTTGTTTAATGAATATTAAGTAATTTTAATATTATTATTATTATTATTATATATGTATTAATGAATGCTATATTTTATATCAATGATGATGATGACCATGAGCTTTAGGTGTAGGATTTCCAGTTTTAACATATCCCAAAACTTGAGCTGCCTTCAAATAAGGAATGCCTTAACATTTCTTGTCTAAACAGAATTAAACATACTCTTTTTCTTAAATTTTGAAGCATGTTCTATAACATAATTCTAATCATAACAAAATTGCATTACTATCTTCCCAATTATTATCATGAAGATATTAATGTCTTAACTTATCCTAAATTGTTTATTATTAAACTGGATAGTCTGGTTAATCTTCCAAACCATGAAATGATGACAATAAATCAAAGAAATGGATATGTCCTTTATGAAAGATTTCTGGATTTTATGGTGTGTAAGCTGATGAATTTGATCTCATGATTAATTTTATTATTAATATTTCTTTATATTTAAATATTTTATTTCTCATACTCTATTTATTAGATAATCTATTCTCATTTATTATATACTTTGATATAAAACTCAATTTAAAATACTAAAACTAATTTTATTTAGTATTCTCTACTTTATGTTTAATTTATTGGAGAGTTTATTTCCTAATATTTGTAAATAAATATATTTATTTCATGAAAACAAAAATTGTGTCATTATTTCTAAAAAGAGAGCACCTAATTCTATTATCAAAAATGCTTTAATTAAGTGAAAATGTAATAGAATCAGATAGTCAAATTTTAAAACTTGATATTCAAAACTAATAAAGTGAAAATAAAATATTAAAAACCGAAAGATGGCCATAATTAGACTTAGACTATTTTCAGAATAACTTTCTATAAATTGCAAATTTATCATTCTCATACTTCAAATTACACTTTCCTGCTAATTCTGCAATCCACATTAAAGACCACATCAAATTTATATAGATTTTAAAGTAAATTAACTATGGTGGTGTAACAATTGAAGATGTTTTCAAATAACAACGTGTATACAATTCATTTTTATCTGTAGTCTCGTCTTTAAATTGAAGTAACAAAAATAACGAAATCTATTAAAACTGTAGATGAACCAATCATGCCAAAAATAATGAATTACAAAATAGATCTTGAATAGATATAAACTATTCAAGATAAATATTTCTATCCTAAGAACTCTGATTTCTTAAATCCTTACTTAATTCTTAATTTGAAAATGCCACTTCCTAAATCAACTGCAAGACCTCTAAATAAAGAACTTTATTAAAGTATAACTAGTTTAGAAGATGTACCATCATTTTAATTTATGAATTCTACTCTCATCTAACCTATTCTCAATTATGATATGCTCAAAAATTCATTTGAATATAGAATGAATAAACTTATGTAAAGAAATCAACAAATTTAATACACTATTAAAAGATATTAATTATCTATTAAAAACTATGATAATATCAATGATGACATTTAAGATAGTTCACTACAAGAAATCAAAAAAATATTCTGTTCCTCTATTAAATAAATATATGATAAAAAAAATAAAGATATTGTACTTGAATAAAATAAAAAAATCAATATAGATGAACAAATTTCAAAACAATCTAGTCCACATCAAACAGAAGTTTTTAAAGAAAACGACTCTCTCCTTTATAAACCTATATAGGAAGATGAATAATAATATTAAGATGTTGTTACATGTACAAATTACAATGAAAGATCTCAGGATTAATTACCTGATTTCGACCCTGAATCACCAAAGTTACATTCCTTAAGATTGACACCATATGGTTTTATGGAAACTACTTATTAATAGACATTATCTTAAAAAATGTTACCTTTAGATCATTAACATTAATTAACTCAAAGTCCCTTAAGAGCAATACCAAAATATAAGGGTTCTTATAAATCTTTAGATCTTCAATAATCTCTAATTCTTAGTCCAAGTACTTTAAAATATCCTAAAAAAATATTTGCATATCAAAAAGCCTAAAAATTGAATTAATAAAATTCACAAAATGATCCAAATACAAAAGTTATTTTGGATCTACCAATTTAAACTTCAGAAAATTTAGAATAATCAATTGAAACTTAAACATTAGATACTCAGAAAGCTATTTTAACTAATAGAAATACATAAAAAACATGTTTAGATAAAATACCATTAAAACCTATTGCAATTTAGTAAATTAGATTGAAAAAACTGAAAGATAAATTAATTGATAAAAAAGAAACTACTTTACCTTATGTGAGGGAATCTCTACCAAGAGTTTAAGAAGTACTTATGTTTTAAAAAAAAAACAATATGAAAAATCAATTATAATACTAATTAATATTATTGACTCGATCTGAATAAATCTTGACATCCTTAATGTCAAATGGATAAATTAGAGGAACAGAACTTTATCAATAACTATTATAACCTATAAAACTAACAACAAGTCAAAAATTTTTAAGTCCCAAAAGTAATACTTTAATATCAAGAACAAAATTTAAGAAAATATAACAAGAAACAAAAATGTTTAATTTGAAATGATTAATTGTTAATATACCTAATTTATCATAAAATATTTATATTAATAAATAAATGAAAACCATTTAATTGATTCCTTCTACAGAATAAGTTGTTACAGGATAAACATGGATTGGTGGTCCTACTTATGAATTATAAAAGTAACACTTACCTGGTTATGCTGGACATGTTAGAGGATTAAAAGCTGGTATTCAATTATATATATTTTAGAATCATAATATGGAAAACCTTTTGCAAAGATAACAGCTGAATGTATGGAAGACAGATTAGCTAGATGTACAAATTCTGAAGAAAGAGAAAGATTATAAACAAGTTATAAGATTGAGTTTGGAGTATCAATTTAACAGTTATCTAGGAACCAAATCTAAGAAAACCATAACTTCAAACTGCAGCTGAAAGAATTTTAGAAGATGCTCATAGATAAGAAAAAGCTATTAATGAAAGAAATTATCGCACATACTAGTATTTCATTTATTTGAAGTTCTTAGATCTATGCCTAAAACAATTAATGATATTCCTCCTATCGATAGATTACCAGTTGTTGGATATCAAGGATTCAGACCAGTGTTTAGACATCCATTAAAATAAGTTGTTCCTCCTGAAAAACCTTAACCTTTTGTACATCCCTTAAATCAAATGGAAAAGGAAATGGCAAAGACTATGCTTGAAACTAATGATAAATTCAGACAAACTGTACTAGACATTTATATTCTAGTATGAATCACAAAAGCCTCCTATTGTTGGATATACTGGATTTATGACTGGTATCAAAGCAGAGAATATGTATGGCGAATCTTACAAGGATATAAGTAATTAAGTTTTATAGAGGAAGTAAAGATGAATATTATAAACCTATTTCATATAATTCATTCTAAATACTGATTTCGGAAATTTAATTATACATTTTCAAAATGAGCATCAAAATCTATAATTTTCCAATGAAGACCAGCTTTTAAACAATCTTAAATAATCTTCCACTCTAAAGTACTTGAAGAATTAATCACATATTTAATATTCTCATTCAAAGAAACTATCTTTACAATTATAATACAAAATTATACTTTAGCATTTAACACAAGATTATCATCAACTTCAATTTATGAAATTCTCATCAAAATTGCTTATTTTTAATTTATATTATTTAACATTTCTTAAGCTATTTCACTCATAATTCCTCTAGAATTTGCTCTAGCCTCATATATTCCAATAATCTTTCTATCACTTTACAATTCACTTGATATCTAATTTTATGATTTGGACATTCATTTACAATATCTAAGGATACTTCCAAAATGTTTAAACTAACTCTTGAATGAAATAAAGGATATGCATCTACAATATTAATATTATTATCATTAATTTAACCAATCAAAATTCCTATATCATTAGATTAATCAATACCAATAACATCTTCAGTGGAATATTTACAAGCATGTAACATTGCTTTTTTATATACAATTTTCTGAATATCAACACTCACTTATTCTAATTATTAATCCATAAATAATATTTTATTAAATTTAATTAATTATTTTACAAATTGATGTATCAACCATAATTTTGAGTACTAATAATCTTGAAATCTTTAAGAATTAATGAAACTTATTAAAATCAAATACTATATACATACAAATTATGAATACATATTTCTGTTATTAATATAATATTCCTTAACAGAATATGGTTTTTTTAACATGGAATATATCTAATTAATCTAAAATAATTCTTTTTAAGTGAAAAAAATTATGAATAATTCTTTTATATATAATTAGATACATCATTCAATATGCTTAAAATTAATGTTCTTTTATATTTTATTTTCAAAAAACAATCAATTAAATTGTATATATAATAACGAAATAAGGAGTTTTATAATTAGAATTATCAGTATAAATAATTTATAGTATATAGTAACAAATGATTATTTAACTTAAAAATGTAATTCGTATTAAAATAATTGAGAGCATTTTTTTATTCTTTACTATTTGTTTAAATTAGTTTGATTCATATAAATTTTCTATTAAAAATAAAAATTATAATATAATGTTTTTAGTGTAGCTAGTATAATGTCTACTTGCAAACTTATTATCTTATCTAAATTTATATCATTTTTACCATATAATACTTATAATATAGTAAAAATGATAGTTTTTAACTAATTACATCATTGTATATCTAAATCTTTTAATGAATTATGAATACAATCTTTAAATCATACATGAATCTAAAATTTTAAATTCATAATTCTTATTTTTAACTGATTAATAATTTATAATTTTATTCTAATTTATAATATCACATTAGTTATTCTCAAAATATCTTATTTTTTTTGATTATAATAAGAAAATATTGAGAATATTATAATAATGGGAATGTGTTCCATTCAAAAAAATTAATATGATGAATATATTGATTTGGATATTTGAATTCAAATTCAATGTTAGCAATATCTAATAGGTCTTTTTCTCAATATTATTGATGGAAGACTGGCCTTCTAATTCTTCTCTTTTTTATGGAGTTTTTGAATATGTCCTCCAAGACTATAAGAATAAGAAAAAAGCTTTTGACAATATCCACATTGATATTATATAAGATCATTTTTTTTTATGATGAAGTTGTCCTTTTTAGTTGTTATCTTATTAATATCCTAAAACATATCACATGAGCAATCTCTTTCCTAAGGGGAATCTGATAGGTTCAGATAATCATATATCTTCTCTACATCTAGAACACTCTAAATTGTTTTGTTTTGATTGACTCTTTCTTTGAGAGTTAAATCAGATATTTAGAGAGAATTTATATCTTCACTCTCTATTTCCATTACAAAAGGAGTAGAATTCATATGTTTAATTATGAAAAAAAAAGTTCTTTAAACAGGATTTATAATGTTAAAAAATCTTATTCAAAAAGTTAAGGCGCGTAAAAAATACCCTCTTAATAGTTCTCAATGTAGTATAGTTTATTTTGTAGTCAAAAACCTCAATAGAGCCCGAAATTGGTAAAATTTTATTTAGTTTACAATTGAAATTGTGAGAACTATAATTGAAATAAAGAGATACTTAATAAAGAACCTCCATTTGAGTAAATATTCTTGGATGACATCTTTTATGACTTCTAAAAAGGATCCAAAATGGTTATGCTAATTTGTATCTTTGTTTATGTTTTTGAATAATTTTCAAGTAAGCACACCTAATTTGTTAAGAAATGGTAATAAAATGAGATTTAATAATCAAAATTACCTATTCCTACAATTATTAATAATAAATTGTAAAAACAGGTACTTATGATTGTATAAAAATCAAACCTTGATTAATTAGGTAGGATGATCAATCTCATGAGTATCATTAATTAATTTCTAATCATAGATTGGATTAATTTGATCAAAATTTATTATGATTCTTAAAGGAATTAAAATTACTATAATTGTCCCCAGCATTTGTTGAAACCACTGTTTTTTTGTATTTCCAATTGATTAAAATTTTTCAAAGAATTTATTAAGTATTTTACATTTTATCAAAGATAAAGTTAATGTTTGAATATATAAAAAACGAGCCAAAAAGTTTCCTCAACAACCCTACTTCTCTCAACTCATAAATTTAGACCTTTAAGAAGAGATATTAGATATGTAATAATATAGATCATCTACAATTAATTTTAGAAGAGCTTTAAAATTTAAATTTAAAAATTGAAAAAGACTATTAAAGCTTTGTTTTTCACTTGAAAAGCAAAGTTCTTATCAATCCATAAGAGAAGTAAGAATGTCTTTAAGAATGATGATAAAGTCAAATTTTTAGAAGGTTTTTTTTTTTAATTAGTACTTATTATGAAACTAAATATTGATAAATTAGATCCATATGTAATATATTCTTTGTTTGTTTAATATTATCTTATTATTTATGAAATGATGTAAAAATTTGAAACTAAATTTGATCATATGATTTTCTTTTTATCAAAAAATTGCAATCTATCACTTAGATGACGACTATGTTTAGTTGATGAACCAGAAGATTATTCAGTAGAAGTAGAATGATGTCCTTAATGAAATTCATATCCTTAGAATTGATCTATATTTATAATTAAAAATAATTACCTTAAATAAGTTAATCTCTCAAGACAAAAATATTTTATTAGATTAGTTCATTATTTTCTTCATCTTCTACAATAATTTATTTTTAATCAAAATTATCTTCTGTTTACTTTAATGATAATTTATATACATACATTAGGAATGAAAGGGGGAATTAATGATTGATTCTATAATTTATCCCATGCAAAATTAGTAAACCAAGGATGTTCTTTAATTTCTTAACTTCCATTAAATCCCAATCTATTTTATGGTTTACGTTGAAGCAGCTAATATATTTGCTAATAAAACTACTCTATTAATAAAATCAACTGCTTCAAGAGACCAATCATCTGGTATTTCATTTCTTTTAATTTATGCTTATTTAGCTAAAATTTAATCCCTAATTTCTTATCTTGATCTTCCAACATATGGTCTCTAGATTAGTATATTATAATTACTCTCCCTATCATAAATTCATAGGCAATAACACCAACAGCAAAATAATCAACTGCATAAGTATGATTTTATTTACACATAACTTCAGGAGCTAAAAATATAAAATTATAATTCATACCCATATACCCAGGAGTGCCACTAGTATCACAACTATTTTCAGGTTTGATGACTCTAGCAATACCAAAATCTGTAATATGTACATATCCTTTTTCATCAAGTACCAAATTTTCAGGTTTGATATCTCTATGAATTATTTTATTTGAATGTATATATTCTAATCCTTAAACAATACAGGCTATAAAAAACTCTTATTAATAGTATTGCATCAATACTTGTTGAGTTTTCATCAAATCTTCTCATTCTTCCTATATGATATCTAAGATCACCTCCTTTCATAAAATCCATCAATAAGTATAGATTTTCTCTGTCCTAATATGCAAAGTTCATATTAACTAATAATGGATGCTTTAATTGACTTAATAATGTTCGTTCATTCATAACAGAATGGACACTCTTCTTTGTTACAATTCTAAATAACACTGAATTTATACAATGCTTTTGACATTTCTTTCATAGCAAATATTTAACCAGTTTTTTTGTGTTCAACTTTCCATACTTTACCAAATCCACCAATTCCTATGACAAACTCAAAATTAAATGCATTTCTGCAAAATAACATTTCTTGTTAGATCTTACTTGAAGTAGAATTATGAAGTAAGTCTTTAAAGTTTACAAATTATTAACTCTGCAATTTAATATGCTTTTTTGCTACTTATGATTTAGACTCTGTCGTTATTTTTGCTATTTCTCTAGCTTTAGCAAGTAAAGCTTATATCTATTGGCTATTTACTGACTATCCTATATAAGATATTTTACCTCATTAATCTTGGTTGATTTTATTAATCGTGTTAGGTTAGTGACATCAATCTAAGAACCTTTTGGACTATGAAGATTTTTAAAACTATTGAGTCCAGAAGCTACAGGGGAAACTTATTAACTCGATGGAACTACTATTGGACTTCTAAAAGTAGACAAACTATTTTGTTTGAGTTTTCGTTAACCTGTTGAATTAAGTAGCATTATACAACAATTAATATATTTATTTACAAATTAAATTTATTATTATTTGAGATATTAACATTGACTTAATCAAGTCTACATAAATGATCTATTATTTATTCTATTATCATATAATTATTACACTTAATCATTCAATTATATATTTAATAAATGACTTTCTGAATAAAATATTATAATCTGACTGATTATTATAGATAAGAGGATCTATTTTTATAAATTTATTTATTGTATACTATTTTGATCTTAAATAACACAAGACATGTTTAAAGATAATTACAATATGGTAAAGTAATAGTAGATAATGATTTAAAGAGCAAAATGGAATACAAAGTAATATACATATCTCTTTGATTAATAAAATAGATAAATATATATACACCTTAAACAAAAAAGGAAGATCATTTTGTATTAAGCTGTAGAATTATTATATATAATTATATCATTAAGAAATCTTCATTATTTAATCGAGCTATACAACTTAAATATCATTACTTTTATCTTTAATGAACAATTTAATTAATAGTAGTTATATATGTAAATGGATAGGCTTCATTATATAATAAAAATTTATATAATCTTAAAACTAAATTTGGAATACTCTTTCATAATATATTAGATTTTATTTATTTTTTCATGCTTCATTGATAAATTATTCATCATTCACTTTTGGATTTTATTCAATCGATAAAACTTTATGAGAATTTTTATAGTCTACATTAACTTAGTTCAATTGCATTTAAATGTTATTATGGTGATAAAGCAATTATGGGAGATGTATTATTGAATCATATATTTGTCAAATACAAAAACATAAATTACTGGTCTTTACATTTTAAACTAATAATTTATTTTTAGATATTCAAAATAATTAATACATTTAAGAGCTGATAATCAAATTTTAATTTCTAAATAATTTCAATAGTAACCTTTTTATTTGATATAAGATTCAATCTACCTTGAAAATGCTCATATCATTTAATTGATAAGGAATAATATTTATTTATTTCTTAGGTCATATTCCTGCCTATTGAATAATCCAAAAAGGCGTTACAAAATATTGAAAAATTAAGAGAGAAAACTGAATGAAAGAGAAAAAACTCAAAAAGTTCTGATTTAAGTGAAAAAAGTAATTATAATATTATCAATACACTGATTTTTATTTAGATTTATATAAGAAACAATTTGATTAAAATAGTTAGTCAAAACTCTTTGAAGAAACTCTCAATAGAAAGAAAGATAATAATTTATTAGCTTAACCCTTTTTATATAAATAAAAATATTTCTGAAATATTTATTTACATGAGTCAGTTTTTCGAAACAAATTCGCAATCTTAAATACCATTTTAAGATAAAAGCAAACTCATCTCGAATCCATAATTAGGAACATCTAACTCGTTAAATGGTTATAATCAAAATATTCTTGAGTAAAATGAGTAATGAATGATATATTGTAATATTTATAGATCAGTTCCTTAAACATCTTAATAACCAAATAAGTAAATAGTATAATCAATATATGCAATAGAAATTAATAATTAGGTTCTAAATTATCCTCATATTCATAATTAGACTACCCTATGATGGGATAATAAACAATAATGAAAGATTAAGAATAATTAGAGCAAATATAAAAATTAACTAAAGAAATAGATACAATAAGGTAATAAAGATAAATATGTAGGTATTAATAGAGAGTAATCGAATAAGAAAATCAAAGACTAAAATGTGATAAGTAATTTTATTGAAGTAAAAAGTAGTATACAATTGAATTAAAGAAATAAATCAAATATGAATGAAATATAAGAATTATAGTAATATTATTGAATATTAAGTTAGAGATCAAATATTGATTTTAAAAAATGAAAATAAAAGATTGACAAATATTGTTTAAGAAGATCAATTTTTGCTGATAGATGTACAGAAATTGAAGAAATAAGTAGAATTAAATAGAGGACTTGAATATAAGATTATTGATTTGGATTAGTAAATTATAAGTGTAAATAAATTACTTTTAGAATAAAAAAGATCAAATGCATTTTTAGAATCTGAATTATAGAATTAAAAAGAAATCCTTGAAAAATATAAATCATAACTAAGAGATTAAACTTTGGGATTTGAATCAGAAGTATTAAAAAATGAGTAATTATTAAATGATAATCGAAAAATGAAAATGGCTTTAGATTCAATCAATAAAGATTTAAATCAAGAACAGGAGTAAAACTAAATGCTTAATTAAAAGCTAAATTAAATATCATTAGGAGCAAAGGATTAAGTAAGTAATTTATAAAAAAGTTAATCAAATCTAAATTTATAAAATGAGTAATTAAAGAATTAAATTAATCAATTATAATAAAAAGAGAAAGAATTACAAATTTCACAAAATCTAAATATTTAATAAGAAAATAAAATAGGATAGATAAATCAATAATTAAATGAATGTATTTTTACTTTATTTATATAATAGAATAGAGATAAATTGAATAAAGTAATGTAGCTATTTCAAGTAGTAAAGTTGAATATACTAAATTAGTAACTAAATGCTAATAATAGGATTAAGAAATAAAGATATTAAAAGAATAAATAAATTCTATGACTTAATAAAATACATTAATATAAAATAAATGTACTTAGTTGGAAAAGAGTTTAGAAGATAGTTAATAAAAACTATAGATGTTATCTTCAGATCTAAAAGTGTAAATAGAAAAATGGAAAAATTATGGGACTTAATTAGAATAGGAAATAAAGAAAAGGGATATTGCTATAAAGAATTTAGAGAATGATTATATTAAGTCAGAAACTTAATTAAAATCAGCTCTAGATATCCAAACTCAATTAAAAAATGAAAGAACTATTTCAATAGGAAAATTAAAAGAAATGCACACAGATATATTGGCTTATGAAAAAAAGACTGATTCTTTAGAAAGAGGTAATTGTAAATATAAAAAAGTAGATGTTGTTACACTTTAAGCTCAAATTCAAAGTTCATATTAACATTAAGATAGATTAGAATAAGAGAAACAGTTATTAAATCAAGAACTTAAATAAATGATGGAAGAATTGCGTAGAATAAAAAATTAATGTGATTTAAGAGATAGAGATATTCTAAATTTTAAATCTTAAAATGCACTTTTGTCTGAAAGGAATATTTCTTTATAAAATGAATTGGGTCGAGAAAGAGTAAAATTCTAAATTAATAAAATTAGGATAAATAATTATAATTAGATTCTAAAATAAGAACTTTGGAAAATGAAATTCATAAATTCAATTTTTAACAAACTCTTAAATAGTAATATTCTTGGAATACTGATCCTCAATTAAGTCTAGGTAATTAGAAATCTTTGTTCACAGAATAAAATCAAGATTATTATTCTCCATAAACAAATATTCAAGGATTTAATTCTCCAAAGAATGGCTTTTAAGTTTAATTCAAGTAAAATCCTATAGAAGTTTAGAATTCTGGGTTTGAAAATTAATACGTAAACTCATTGAATTAATTAAAAAACGACCCTTACAATTTAAGGTTTTAAATTTAACCTTAAAATTAATTAAATTGATTGTGATACATTATAAATAATTTAAATTGTTAATTATGCTTTTATATATCATTTACTTAATCTCATCTTTAAATTTTTGAATCAATTAAAATGCCAATCAAATACAATTCAAATAATCAAGTTCAAAAATATTTATATGAAATTCAAGTTTATTCCTGTAAATTTATTGATTTCCTTAAATAAAGAATTCAGGTAAATAACATATCTTATTTAATACTTCTAAAGATGAAAATTTAAATTAAACATGAGATAATTTATTATTAAAGTAATTTGGAATGATATAAAGCCTCAGAAACAATAAATTCTAGAAGAAGATTAGGAAAACATAAATGAATTAATTATGTATGCCTTTTATATTATACAATTTTATATTATTCCTTAAAAAAACTATTAATGTAGATTTCAGAAAAAGCGTTGAATATTAAATCAAAACCAAATAAAAGGACTTATATAATCTTAATAATAATGATTGATAGATCTAATAAAAATTAACAATGTCAAATTCATATAAGAAATGCAAAATCATAATGTAACTGAATTTAGTGACTTAAGAATTAGTGATAATGAATATTGGAACATATTGGAATTAATATTGAATTAATTTAAAATATGGAATCAATCTCAAAATAATTGTTAATTTTGATCCATGAGAATAACAAAGATGACTATGAGATTTAGTTTTAGATGATAGATAAACTATTTTTAAAAGATATTGAATTGATAATACAAGATCGAGTAAGATTTAGAAATATTAGATAATAATAAAGATGGAAAAATCTCTAGTTGTAAACAGATTGTTTGACATATCTAGTTTTAATAGTTTTGAGAATTTATTTGTATATCAGCTATAAACATCCAATCAATTCTGATAACAGATATCAGAATAAATCTTAGGATTCTTATTAGAGGATCAATGCATCTAAAAATATGTTTTTTCTAACAGATCTTATATCATTTTTAGATGAAATAGTTGTTCTATTGGTAATATATTTAGGAGAGATTCTCAAAACATCTCCTAGTATTGGTCTTGTAATTTTAGGTGAATTAACAATATTTCTATGAGTTGATTGTGATCTTGGTCTTCTTCTTTCAGCTGATGTTTTAATTGGTTTTGAAAATGGTTAGGTATACATTTTGTCTTAGGCAAAAAGAGTTAGATTGATTTATTAAGCCACTTAATTGTTTTTATATAGTCTAAGTATTTAATCATGCAATTCAAACTTGTCTTTCTTTTAAATTTTGTTTAATTCCATTCTATCTCTATAAAATTGCTAGAATTTAAGTTAAAATAAGCTATCATTGGTAACTTATTTTTTAGCAATAATTTAATTGATGACATCAATTCTAGAGCATCTCTATTTTTAACAGTTTGGATTGGATGTAATAGTTGTATTATTAATTGATGAATGCATATTTTATTATATAATTAATAATTCAACTCTTGACAATGATAATTTTCAAATGGTGTTTAGCAGGAGGAAGTTCATTAACATGAATTCTAATGAAATCCAAATGTTTTTCATAACCACCTGAGACAGCTCCAAAAGTGTGTCCAGGGAAAGAATAAATGAAATGAACACCATTCTTAACACCAAAAGATTCCTCTTTTCCTTTATAGGTTTTGAACTTCAACTCGTTAATTCTAGCACCAGCATGTCCTGAAATTTCAAGAATTTCATCATCTAATGATTATAATTGTACAATTACCATCATCAATCTTGAAGTGCTTCTTGTGCACTTTACCAAACAAATGTCCAAAAGGTTTGAACTTTTCAATATCATGACCATCAATGGTGTGTCCCTTGGCATCAGCATACTTGAAGACTGTTCCAATGATATGTTCATCAGTATATTAGACTATTCAACTTAATGTAAAATTAAACCTTCAATTTCCTTGATTCTATATGGTGCTGGATGTTTTGCTAATTCTGTATGATCATCAAATGTTTATAATCCTTCTCTTGGAAGTCCGATTGTGACATGTTCAGGAACTGCGTGCATTTCTTAATATATATTATTAAAGATAAGGTTTTAGGATATCGGAATTTAAAGTTAAGATTTTAGGATATAGAAAATTTTTATCAATTTTCTTTAATAATTTAATTTCTAGATTATTCTTTAGATATATGTAAATATTAAATAATAATTTATATTTTAATGAAATTGATGACCGAATTATTTTTTCATTGATTAAATGAATTAAAATCTTTAAACTTAATATTATATAATATAAATTATAATTTATATTATATAATATTAATATAGATATTTAGATTTCTCTATAAAATTACTTATACATTTTATTGATATTTAATATATCAATTAATATTTGATAGATTATAAAATTTTAGATATAGGTTACATATAATAATAAAATATTAAAATACAATAAGATTTAAGTTTTAAAATACATAAAAAATGAATAAGTGATTATGAATATTAATGAATGATTATTTATTATAATTGAGATTTGAATAAAGAATTGCGCAAATTACATTCGTTGTTATTTAATTATTTTTCAAATTCAAAATGTAATTTCTATAATACCCTCCAGATAAGAAAATTCAGAATTATCAATTTAGTTTCAAAGCAAAATTAGGAAAGGGTGCCTATGGTACTGTTTATGCTGGCAGAAACATTATTGATAGTAATTTTTAATTGTTATATATTACAGATAAAATTGTTGCATTAAAAATAGTGGATAAGAAAATATTACAAACAGATTATGCAAGTTAACTCATTGCATCTGAAATTGAAATAATGAAATTGATTGAAGATAAAAATATTGTTAGATTAATTGATGTTTTATAAAGTGTGAATAATACATATATCATTACAGAGTTTTGTAGTGGTGGTGATCTTAGGGAATACCTCAAAAAGAGAAAGTATAAGATAAACTATAATATTAGATAAATCCCAGAAAATGATGCAATCAATGTTTTAAAGGATTTACTACATGGCATCAAAGCATTACTAAAAATAGGAATCATACATAGAGATATTAAACCTGCTAATATTATGATTCATGATGGTATATTCAAAATTACAGATTTTGGATTTGCCAAATAAGTTGATTCTCATATTGATACCATTATGAATTCATTAGTAGGTACACCACTTTACATGAGTCCATAAATCTTAAAAAGACAATCCTATACATCTAAATGTGATATCTGGTCCTTAGGTCTCATATTTTATGAATTGATCTATGGTATCACTCCTTGGCATTCTCAAAATCTTGTTGAATTAATGGCCAAATTAGATACCAAAGTAAATTTTCTATTTTATTCCTCAAGCCTTTAGAATTTCCTACTTATCCTAAAGTTTCCGAATAAACCATCAAGATCATCAAAGGATGTTTACAAATCAATGAAGATAAAAGAATTTCATGGGATTAACTCTTTGAATTAGTTGGAATTTAAGAATAAACAATTCTACCTGAAATCAATCAAGTTTTACCTGTTATTTAAAAAAATACATAATCCTAATATCAAAGTTAATAATAAGAATCAATATAAATTAAATAAAATTTAAGTTTTGTGGAAATCAAACCACATTAAAGAGTAAAATAAAGAACTGAAAGTATGGGAACTTATCATTTTGTAAGTAGACATAATAGAAGTATGAGTAATGCAACTCCAACAAATGATATAGATAAATCAAGTGAAAGATAGAAATGTAAATTTTATACAAAAACTAAAATCTCTTATTTATAACCTGATAATCGAAAAATCACTCCTTAAAGAAATATTACTGCCTATACACAAGAATCAGAAAGAGATAAGAATAGTTCATTTATCAAATTTACTACTTAGAGAGTTGAACTTATTAAATTTTTAGAAAATGCTCATACTCCTCCTCTTCCAAATAAAAAATATTCTACATATAATAATGATTCATTTAGAACTCCAAGTAATTTGTAATCTAATTCAACAAATACATCAAATAGATATGTTCATGAATAAGAAAATTCATCAAATGTTGTTAAAGTAAATGAATTTCAAATTGAAGAAAAACCCAGAGAACCACTTAATTACATAATAGCAAATGGTTATTTTAATACTAGTTCAAATTTAAGATTAAAAAGAACATTTAGTAATCATTTCTAAGATAATACATTGTCTCCTATAAGTTAATAAAAAAATAGTATTCTACAATTACTCAAAATAATATAAATTTAATTTGATCTAATTCCAAATCATATATCAATTAAAAAGGATATTGAATCTTTATTAAATTAACATAAAATTACTATTAATAATGTGAGAGAATAACTTTATACACCTTAAGATATTAAAGAATTAAAATCTATTATTAATTGTCTTGTAGATTATTTAAATAATAATCCTTAAGATAATTTTATAACATAATTATCTGTTATGTTACTTTTATTACTTAATTACAATTAAATTATACTTTTTAATGTACAAACTAAATCATTACAATTATCAAAATCATTGATTGAATAAATCAAAAAGAATTAAAAATTACAATAATAATAATTATTATTAAGTCCAGAAATATTAAGAGACCAAATCAAAAAATTGCTTAAATGATTTTGTTGAGTTTTTTTAATTAATTTTTCTTTTTTTTTGTTTGAATTTTACATATTAATATTAAATTACAAATATAAATTAGATTCTCAATCAAATACTAAACCCTCTTTTTCATTAATTTCTTATTAAATCTTACTTAAATGAATAAATATATGTTCAAGTGAACTAATTAATAATAAATTATAAATATACTTTTCATTTATTTAAAAATCTACAATTAAATTTTCTTTTATTAACTTTTCAAAATATTAAAATGTTCTATAAAAACTGAAATCTTCATCTTCAAACTTAAATGTCATAAATCCATTTCTTTTATCTTCCATTATTTATGAATTTGGAAACATTTTAATAACAGAATCAGCTATTTCTTAAATCTATTCATTATTGTGTTTTATCTCAATTTGATATCCTTTGTTATATTTTCTAAATTTATTAAATTAATAAAATACTATCTAAGATATTATGGAGTTCCTAAACATTTAAATTATCCAGCTATTAATATTCCCAAACGTTAACTTAAACTTTCAGCTTCTTCAATAGTATGAGTAGTCATTATAGCTGAACAATTTCTTAATTGAATATTTCTCTATAGTGTATTAAAGAGAAATCTCCTTGATATAGGATCTACACCTGTGCTTGGTTCATCAAAAAAAGTAATATCACTTCCTCCTATTAAAGCATCTGCAACACATAGTTTTCTCTTATTTCCACCACTTAATTATCCTGCCTTAGTCTTTACGAATAAGTCCAATTACATAGTTTTAATAAAGTATTTGACTGCTTATTATAGATCCTATCCAGTTAATCCTTTGATTCTACCAAAGAGTTATAAATGTTCTATTGGTGTTAGATTCTCCCAAATACAATCAAATTATGGACAAATACCTACATGTTACATAACCTTTTGATTTCTTTAATTGGGTTCACATCCCTTTATTAAAGCAAGTCCTTTAGTGGGTGTATTAATTCCAGTAAATACATTTATTAGTGTAGATTTACCTGCACCATTTGGACCAATAATTCCAAATATCTCACCTTTCTTTACACCAAATGTTAATTATTATAATGTTGGTTTATCTTTAATATATTCTTTTTCTAAATATTTACAAACAATAGGATCATATTTTTTAGATTGTTCAATTCTAATTCTTTCATCTAGAATTTCTTATTCTAATTATTCTGTTTATGGTATTTAATTTGTATTACTTCTTGGAATTGTAAAACTTTTTGATTCTATTAAATAAAGTATCAAAATTTAAATTATGATTTATCCAAATAAAATTAATTGAAATATATAAGTTCTTTAAATTAATTATGGAGTTGAGTATAATTATAAATCATAAATTTTTTAGAAATTATCTGCTAAAAATGTGCATGCTTCAAAAAATGCATAAAATGGAGATACTACAACAAATAGAACTTAAAATATATAAATCAATAATTTTGCAATTTCATTATTAAATTCTTAATAAAAGAAGTCAACAAAAGCTATTACAATAAAAGGAACACAAAAATTAGCAAAGAAACAAAACATTGAATATAATTTTAATGCATTCTCTAGAGTTTTAAATAAAAATCCCATAAGATAAGCAAATAAAATATAACTGAAACCAAATAATATATAACATGATAATCCTGTCTTCCAATATTTAAAAGCTATATCTAATTTCAATAAGGCTGAAATGATATAAAATAAGGCTACATAACATAAGTATATCATATAGTCAAATAATAAAGTTCCAAACCAATATGGAAATGATCTACATCCCATTCCTATTAAAGCTTACTTTAAGTATGTTTCTTTTTCTAAGACTGGTTAAGTTATGTAGACTGTTGCATTAAAACAAAATGCCAATACACTACAACTAGCAAGTAATGAAATCTTGAAAAATTCAACAGCTTCTTATAAATTATTAATATCCATATCAGGAAATACAGTATGTAATAATTCATCAAAATCTACACCAGCTACAGTACTCATACCTAAAATAAAAGTAAGCATAGGGATTATAATAGAAAAATAATTTGTGCTTGTTCTGATCACAGTATAATATCTTCTTAAGAAAATTGCTAATAATTATGAAGAAAATTTATAAGAAGGTTCATTTTTTAAACATTCTGGAACATCTTACAATAATTGTTTTTCTTAATGAAACTCAGAGATATTATTGTAATTTTCAATGTTTTAATTTTATTCAATGATATCTTAATATTCTTTTTCAAATTCCATTTCTTCATTATTATCTGGAATTCCCATACTTAATTTAGCAATTTTGATTTCACTTTTTCTTACATCATTTAAATGACTCTTTTCATCTTCAAGTCCAATTTTTACAAAGGCATCTTCTAAAGTTTTCATCTCTAAACCAATTTAGACATCTAAAGATTCCAAATTATAAAATAGATCACTTAATTTTCCTTTTGATGAAAATGGTATATTAAATACAAGTTTATTATTATTAGAATGTTATGTTTCTAAAAAACTATTAGGTACCATTTAATTAACTTTTTCTTAAATAGTATTTCTTAAATTTACATCATCAAATGATAATTTTAAATTATAACCTTCTCCAAATTTTCTTTTAATATAATCTGATGAACCTACTGCTAATAATTAACCTTTTGACATAATTCCAATTCTATTAGCAAGTATTTCTGCTTCATCTAAATGATGTGTAGTTAATATAATTGTTCTTTTGTCTTCTCTAATTCTCTCTAATATATTCCAAATAGATCTTCTTGAATAAGCATCCATACCTGATGTTGGTTCATCTAAAAATATTATTTTTGAATCTCCAACTAAACTCATAGCCAAAGAGAGTTTCCTTTTTGAACCTCCAGATAATTCTTAAACTTATTTATTTTATTCCTCTAATAATTCAGTTTTTTTCATAATTTAAATCATTTCCTCTTTATCAATTCTACCCTTTATACTAGATATAAATTTTAAATGTTCTTTCACTGTTAATTCATTATATAAACAATCCTTCTAAGTACATAATCCTAATGATTTTCTAATATCTGATAATTATTTATCCAAATTCATTCCATACATCATAACTTAACCTGAAGTTTTTTAAATCATTCCTGTCAGTAAACTAATTGCAGTTGTCTTACCAGCTCCATTATGTCCAAGCAAACAAAATATCTAAGATTCATATAAAGCTAAACTCATATTATTAACAGCATTCAAATCTCCAAACTTTTTTAACAAATTCTAAATTGTTATACTTGGTGATTTATTCATTTTTATTTCCTCTGTATACATAGCAGAACTTAAAGGTGTATTACTATTATTAATTTCTAATGAAGTATCATAATCTAATTAACTAACTTTTGCTTTTTTCTAATAAGAGACTCCAAATATAAATAAAGGATGTTTAGCTATTCCATATTCATTTGGAACAACTTATTCACAATACAAAAACAATATGAAATAAGCAATTAATTGTATTCCTAATTGAATACCAGCCATTTAAGTTGAATATGTACTACTTATTATATCAGTTGGGAATAAATTCAATTTAGTTAAATCATTTCCACTTTAACTATTCATAGCTGATATATATGAAAAGGCTATTCCACATTATGGACTTATAAGTGTCATAAAAATATAAAATATCATCTTATCAGCCAACTTTTCTACAAATGAAAAATATATGAAAAAAATAAATGCAATCTATATAAATGATTACATTTCCCCAGCAATTTTAACTTCATTAAATAAACTTGATAAAAAAAAATTCTAATTCATTGCCTATTGTATTTAATATATATTCTTACAGCAAAAGCAAATAATACATAAGGCCATAATAGAGATAAAAAAGATATATGAAATTCTTCATCCCAATCAATATTAAAAACTATATTACATATATACCAACATACTTCAAATATTATTAAAGACTAAAATTAAAATCATTATATTTACAATTGCAATTCTTATATAACCAGTTATTACCCAACCATAAAGATATGCATTATCCTTCATACCCATAATCTAATAAGTAAATTATTTATATACTTACTTTCTGTAATTCTTTATACCTTTTACTTTTCTCTTCTACTAACTTAATCAACATAGATCTTTGTGTAGAAGTCAATGCAATACCATACATTAAAGGCATCAATTATTAAATTGCTTATATTTGACCTAATCATCTCAATCATTATTATACCTTTTAATGAAAGCATAGCTGCCACAACAATTGGTAAAATTGACTCAACAAGGAACTCTTTGTTTCTCATACTGATTAATAAATTTTTTTTAACCAAATAGCCTATTTGTTGCCATGTACTCATTTTTTAGAAAAAAATAGAGTTTTGGATTTTCTTAAAATTTATTATTGTATGAATTAAGAATACTTATAATTTATCAAATCACTGATATATATTTAAATATATTCAAACTAAATCTATTTGTAAAATTCAGTGATTTAATAGAATTTATGATATTATATAGTAAATGTTGGTTTTATGAAAATATTTACAATCTATATTTAGATTTATAATTTCTTTTTATATTATGAATACTTATTCAACAAATAAATAAAATTTATTATCTCAATAACATTGCATAAAGAATTTGAATATTTTTTGCTTAAATTATAGAACTCTATATGTTATTGAATTGATATAATCATTAAGCTCTATAATTTAACAAGTTTTTGTATCTTTAAGATAACTTCAGGATAATTATCAAATCCATCTATTTTCTTCATTCTAGAATTCATATTATATTTGGGGAAGAGAAACTAAAATATTACAATAACTGACAAGATCATCTTATAATTAAAAATATTAAACTAATGATTTCAAAAAATACTTACAAGAAATTTATAAAACTAATTATTACAGTTGGTATAGTTCACAGAAATTAATTGAAATCTTTTTTGGTATTACTTATATTCCATTATCATTGATCTAAATAGTAAACTCCATATATCATTTATATTCTGATCTCTAAAATGAATAGGACTGATAAAAATACAATGCAGGAGTATTGGAAATAATGAAATAAGTTTATATATTTAAATTAGGGATGTCATAATACAACGGCAAAATTAATTAAAATGATAATTATTTTGAATTCAAGAGAGAATTAGAATTTATTTTAAATCTTTTTCCTCATTATCATATGCAAAATATACATAGGAATTATTTTCTTTCAATTACCTAAGAGAATGTAGAGTTTAGATTTAATAAAGTATCTAATAGTACATATTAACTATATGAGGCAATCTTTAATTAGAGACCTTATGTTAGATTAAATTATTCTAATAGACTAGAATTACTTTATTAAGTGAGATTTATAAGATACTTAAGAAAATTAGTAAAAATTTTAAAGAATTAGTGATTAAGCCTTCTCATCTATAAAAATAAAATTTATTTGAAAAATTGTGATTATTAATAATGGCAAAAGGAAATATAATAATGACACTACCCTTACTAGACCTTAAGAATTTATACTAATTAAGGTAAATTTGATTCATCAATTTATTTTTCAATTAAAACTGAAAATATTGGATAATAAAACTTAAATGCGAACATTTAATGAAAACTAAGATAAAATAAAGATTAGAAATATGAAAATAGTTTACTTAACAAGATTAATAAATTAAGAAATAGAATGAATAGTATATTATCTTATATATAATATATAAAATGTTGTCAAAATTATCAATAATAAAAGGAAGAGGATTAAGAAATTTATCTTTAAGAAAAAGAAATTTTGCCAAAATTATGGAACAGAATGAAGAATAAGAAATCAAAAAATTAGATATCAAGTAAGAAAGCTAAAAAGAAATTTAAGAGCTGAAGGCTGTAAAACTTATAATAAAGAATTTAGTACACTTAAATTGAACATCGAAATGACTAGGGGTTGAAATATCACCTTAGCTGTATGCACTCTCATAAAAATTCATAACATTTATAAAACTATTTATGAGTCAGAACCCCGTTTAATAAATAATGGTATCCAGAGAATTGTTTAGTAATCTACTCTTCAAGTAATAATAATATATATTACCAAAATCAATATTTATTAATTTTTATTATTTGCTTTTATTTGATTAAAATATAAATTAGAAATAAACATTCTACCAATTCTTAAAAGTTTTATGATCGTCTTTAAATAAGCTTTAAAAAATATTATTTCAACCTATTATTGGTTTTTAGAATATTATAAATAACTAGTAATAATTTTAGTTCAAAAAAAGGAATTTGATTTTTTTTAGTAATTTCAAGACTAAACGAAGTAATTTTTTATTTGTGATTATCACAAAATTTGAAATATTAAAATATGATAAAGTTGTTGATTAGATTAATTCTCATCAAATAGGTAGTTGGATGGAGAGATTACGACTCAGCGTATAGAATATTTAGAAATCACTAAAGCAGATGTCCTGAATTACATGCATTCATGCCAGGAATGCATCCACATAAATGTGTCTGTAATTATTAGCTTTATTAATAGCATATGCTATGATTTGCAAAGGTGTTACTGAAATAGTTGTAAAAACTGAAGTAAATGGAACTTAACATATATGTCATCCCAGATATTAACCATGGGGAGCAGGGACTCCAACTTTAGACAAATATGGAGTTCATTGCGGATTTGAATAAGGTGTTTCACTTGTAATGGAGTAGCTACCAGATGGAAATTATAAATATTATTGTAAATGTAAGTATAAATGACTATTCAATTAGATTTTACAGATAATTCACATAACATATGTTTGATAACAGCCTATCAGCAAGGTGCATTTCGATGTTATATTTGTAAATTTCCATTTATTGGATATGGCTTTGATTGTCATTCAGTTTTATGGAGATACGATCAAAGATTTATAAGTCCTTTGACTAGGAGTAGAAAAATTTAATTATTAAAGGATGTTTAGGAAATTGTTTGTATTGTGATAATATAGGATAGTGTACTCTATGTATGAGTGGATTTGTAAACTAGTATTAGGATGATAAATTTTGCAGTTTATGTACTTTATATTTATATGGATAGATTGTTATGGTTATACAAGTTGTTATATTGAAGATGGCAGAAAGATGTATTTTCAAGGAAATTGCATATCTGGATTTAGATATAATATTAATTATTAAACAGTAAGAAAAATTTAATAGCAGATAATGGTATCTGCAAATGCATTCCATACTATGGCTTTTTAGAAGAAATTTGCACACTTTTTGAAGATGTTTATTGTTATAATTGTGAATATGATGGTTTTTATGAATGTATTTCTTGTAAACCAGGATCAAACAGATTAGTAATAAATAAGGAGGAGTGCATTTGTTAACCAGGTACGTACGACCCTGAAAATGATGATTAGATTTGCATTTGTAAATTTATTAATCATTTTAGTTTGCGATAATTCTTGTTAAAATTGCTTTGGTCCATCAATTTTAGAATGTATTGATTGTGTAGAAGAAAGTATTTCAAAAAGAATTTTAATTGGAAATGTTTGTTAATGTAAAGCTGGATATTCTGAATATGAGATTAAAGAATAAACATGTGGAAGTATTACTTTTTATTAATTTTAGAATGCCATGCAAAATGTCTAACTTGTTTCTAAGCAGCCGATGGATCTGAAAATCAATATTGTCTGACATGTATACCTGGATAAAATAGAATAGTTTCAGACACTTTTAAATGTGATTGTGAAGTTAATTATAGTGATTTTGGAGGAACTTTAGAAATTTGTGCAGGTAAATTAATAAATTATAAATAGTTTGTCATTATTCATGTGGAAATTGTTATGGTGTTGAAGCCACAAATTGTTAATAATGCTCAGAAAGTTCTTATAGAGAATTAACACCTTTGGGAGAATGTTTATGCAAATAATAATATTTTGATGATAATACTGAAAATTTAGAATGTTAAAGTACTTAATTAAATGTGATTAATAGAATGTCATCATTCTTGTTTATCATGTGCAAACAGTAATGAAAAGGATGCATGTTTAGAATGTCCTTTTAATAGAACAGCTTAATCATCAGGTAGTTTCTTTGAATGCTTTTGTACTAATTCAAATACATTTGATGATGGATTTTCACAATAATGCCAAGAATGTGATTAATCCTGTAAAACATGTTATGGTCCACTTTAATCTAATTGTCTAACATGTGATACAAATTATAGATAAATGGAATTATCATATTGTGTTTGTCCAATTAAATATTATGATATTGGATAATTAGAATGTGCAGGTATTTTTTATTCATTATTAATAGAATGCCATTATTCTTGTCACAGATGTTTTGATAATAATGCAGAAAGTTGTATTATGTGTTCTTTCGACCTTAATCTTAGAGTTTTGAAAGGCAATATTTGTAAATGTGTTGATGGATATTATGAGGTTGGAATGGCTAAATGTTAAAGTAATTATAAAATTATTAATATCTATTAGAATGTGCATATAAATGTGAGACATGTGACATTCAAGCGGATAAATGTCTGAGTTGTCCATTAAATTCAATGCGTAAGCTTGATCCAATTAAAGGATGTTATTGTTCAGAGGAATACTTTGATAAAGAAAATGAGATAACTTGTCTAAGTAAAATAAATATAAATTAAAGAATGCCATTTCAAATGTCAAACCTGTAAAGGAATTGAGCAGAATGAATGTCTCTCCTGCAATTCTACTTAACATAGAGAACTTAAAAATAATTTATGTTAATGCTAACCAAATTACTTTGAAATGGAAGTTTAAGAATGCGCAAGTAACAATTAGATCAAAAATAGCTTGTAACCCATACTGTTATGAATGTATTAACAATTCTAAAAATTGTACTTCATGCAAAGATGATAGATATTTAGATGGAAATACATGTAAATGTAAAACCAAATTTCATGGAGTTGCAATTAGTACATTTGATTTTAATGGAATGCTTATATGCTAAAGTATTTTAGAAAATAAAAATTAGAATGCCATTATTCATGTGGTATATGCATGGGAATGGATGAAGGACATTGTATTTCTTGTATGGATACTGATAACAGATTTTAAGTAGGAAATACTTGTGTTTGTAAAGAAGGATACTTTGATACAGGATTGCCGACTTGTGAAAGTATAAATGTTTGTTATAAATAGAATGCAGTTATAAATGTAAAGAATGTGAAAAGTATTCTGACAGATGTATTTCTTGTCAGGATAACAGTTTGAGATTATTAGTTTCAGGTTTCAATAGATGCCAATGTATTCAAGGATTTTATGATGATGGATAGAATGATGTTTGTTAAAGTATATATGATTTCTAATAATTTTAAGAATGCCATTTTTCGTGTCTCAAATGTAATGATATGGAAACGAAATGTGAACTATGCTCAATTGAATCAAATAGAATATATAATAATCTGCTTTTTTCTTGCGAATGTAACATTGGATATTATGATATTGGAGTTCAAAATTGTTAAAAATGCCACTATTCTTGTTTAAGTTGTAATTCTAGAGATTCAAATTCTTGTATTTCATGTATAGATGTGAATACTACTAAAAGAGTATTTTATAATAATGCATGTAAATGTTTATTTGGATATTTTGATGATGGTTCATCAATATCATGTTAAAAATGTGATATTCAATGTTTAGATTGTATAGGACAATCTTATTAATGCTTATCATGTCCTTAGACAAGGAAAATAGAAATAAATTGTAAATGCTAATAGGGATATTACGATATTGGCTTATAACTTTGTTCAAAATGTAATTAAAAATGTCAGACATGTGAAACCATATCAAATAATTGCACATCATGTGATCCTAATTAATTCAGAGAAATTAACACAATAAATAAAACCTGTGATTGCTAAATAGGTTATATTGAGATAGATGGAATCTGCTAATAATGTCATTCAAGTTGTAAGACATGCTCTTAATCCATAAATTAATGTTCTTCTTGTATTTAATTTAAACACTTAAAAATAAATGATTGTGTTTGTAATGATGGAATGTATGAATAAAGTAGTGATAAATCATGTAAATTATGTGATAAGACTTGTTTAACTTGTGCCAATACTAATACTTATTGTTTAACATGCTCTATTGATAATTTTAGACAATTTAAATATGGGAATACTTGTGAATGTATACAAGGATATTATGAAAATCCAATTAACTAGAATTGTGAAAAATGTATGAGTTCCTGTTTGACTTGTTCCTTAGTATATGATAATTGCTTAACTTGTGATAATAATCTTAATTTATCTTTGATAAACAATAAATGTTTGTGCTCACAATCTTATTTCTTTGATTCTGTAAGTCATTCATGTTAATGTAATAAATAATTTTTATGTATATAGAATGCAATATCACTTGTTTATAATGTTAAAATAGTAATGAATGTACGTAATGTAGATTATCAACTAGACATTTAGAAGTAGATTTAAATAAATGTTTATGCAATGATGGATATTTTGAAAAAAATTAATAGCATTGCTAATGTAATATAGAGTTAAATATTATTCAGAATGTCATTTTTCATGTAATACTTGTGAAAATATCAATACTAATTGTTTAACTTGTATGAGTTAATATCATAGAATATTAATAAATAAGTAGTGTTTGTGTCTAGAGGGCTATTATGAAGCTGGCATCGAATTGTGTTTTAAATGCAATAATCTTTGTAAAACATGTCAATCTTCTGCTTCATTTTGTTTATCTTGTTACGATATTGAACATAAAAAATATCATTAAGGAGACAAATGTTTATGTAAACCTGGTTATTATGAATAAAACACATAGATATGTTCAAGTAATCAAAATTACATGATAAAATAGAATGCTCAAATGAATGTTTAACCTGTTAAGGTTCAGCTGATTATTGTACAAGCTGTGATATTAATTCTAAAAGAGTTGACCAATCAATTTTACATAAATGTCCTTGTATTATTGGATTTTATCAAGATCAAAATTTTCTTTGTTAAAGTAAATTTCAAAA